CCAGGTGGTTTTCGCAATCAGATTTGGAGGCGCTGCGGTCTCTGTCCAACAGGGCTCGCAATTTGTGCGAGGCTGTGCTTAGCCGGATAAATGTTATAGCGAGTGCGGCAGTTACACCGATGGTGCGATTAAGAGCGTTAACATAATTTCAGGATACCCATTCTGCTCAGCATGTATAAAAGGTCACATTATTTTTCTCACTCAAACCGTTTTTCGGTTGCACAATAAATCAGCAATAGCCCAATGATGGCATCCCATGATAGCTTACATGGCAGTATGATATCTCATCAGAGCTTACATGGCAGTATGATATCTCGTCAGAGCCAAGATGACCATTATGAGACTGAGAGGGACGGCGAAGTCGAATTAGAGATGGTCAAAACAGTTGAAACCTCGGTTGAAGCAAATCCGCATGATAACGTTTTGACTAGACTTGAAACGTTGTCAAAAGCTTTATCCCGTAAGACTACACGGTCTACGGGAGGCCCAATCACTATCGACCCCAATGACTTTGAGTTGCAAAAAGTCTTGCAAACGATTTCCAGAAGGGCAGACCGACATGGACTGCCCTTGAAAACGTTAGGGGTGGAAATGCAGGACGTTACTGTCTACGGTCATGACGAAGTTGCTTCGTTTGCCCCAACCATTGGAGAAGTGTTATCTAAGCCTTTCAGAATTGGCGAAATTGCGAAGAGCATCTCGGATAAAAAGGCAAACCGAGATTCGGGTTTGAAGAAAGTGAACAGGAACATAAACGTTGTCTGTGACCCAGGTGAAATGGTACTGGTGCTTGGGAGGCCTGGCGCAGGCTGTTCTACAATGCTGAAAACAGTTGCCGGTGAATTAGATCAGTATGTCAAGCACGAAGGCTCAATCACTTATGACAACGTTCCACAGGATGATGTCATGAAGATGTTCAAGAAAGAGATCATTTACAACCCTGAGTTGGACGTTCATTTCCCACATCTTACGGTTGACCAGACTCTCAAGTTTGCCATTGCTTGTCGTGCACCCTCGTTTGATTGGCCTGATTTTTCGGAAAACAAGTACATTGAAACCTTCAGAGATATTCTGTGTACTGTTTATGGCCTGACACATACCAAAAACACTAAAGTTGGTAACGACTATATCAGAGGTGTTTCTGGAGGTGAGCGTAAAAGAGTCTCTATTGCCGAAGTGATGACCGCAAAACCTGCAGTCTTATGCTTTGACAACGCAACCAGAGGTTTGGATGCCTCAACTGCACTCGAGTTTGCCGAGGCTTTGAGAACTTCCACAAATATCATGAAGATGTCCTCGTTTGTCACAATTTATCAGGCCTCGCAGAACATCTACGAGTTGTTTGACAAGGTGGTAGTTCTTTACTTGGGAAGGCAGGTTTACTATGGCAGGACTGAAGATGCAAAGGCATACTTTGAGAACATGGGCTACTTGTGTCCGGAAAGGCAGAGTACTGCGGAGTATCTGACTGCCGTTACCGATCCTATTGGCAGATTTGTGAAACCAGGGTTTGAGGGAAAAGTCCCAAATACTGCTGATGAGTTTGAGGCTTATTGGAGAGCGTCACCAGAGTTTGCTGCTTTACAGCGTGAGATAACCGACAGAAGATCTCAAGTCGATGTTGAGAAAAGTGTTGCTACGTTGAGGGCTGTTCACGAACAAGAGAGAGGCAGATTTGCCAGAGCTCAATCTAGATACACCGTTAGTTATGCCACTCAGCTCAAACTCTGCACCATCAGAGGTTGGCAGCGCATGGTTGGCGACAAGACATATGCGGTCACTAATGTATGCTCCGGTGTTTTCCAAGCTCTCGTCATTGGATCTACTTTCTGGAAAACATCTGATGGGACTGGCGGTGCCTTTTCCAGAGGTGGTGTCGTTTTTTTTTCATTGCTGTACTTCGCGCTCATGGGTATGGCAGAAATTTCAGTCTCATTTGGAAAACGTCCAATTCTGTTCAAACAAAAAGGTTACTCTTTCTATCATCCCTCTGCTGAGGTCTTCGGCTACATCTTGAACGATATTCCCCTAAAGTTAGTTGCTTCCTTGTTGTTCTCGATTGTGATTTATTTCCTTTCCAACTTGAAGGCTGATCCTGGTGCTTTTTTCACATTTGTGTTGTTTCTGAACCTCGGTGCATTGGCGGAAAGCACCATGTTCCAGGCAATTGCTTCTGTTTCTCCTAACGTTCCAGCAGCTAATGCTATCTCAGGCATTTTCCTCTTTGTCACACTGGTCTATACCTCCTACATGATTCAGCAGCCTTCAATGCATCCTTGGTTCAAGTGGATATCGGCTATCAATCCTTTACTTTATTGTTTTGAAGCAATGGTTACAACAGAGTTCCATGGAAGAAAGATGAACTGTGACAGTTTGGCACCAAGTGGAAGTGGCTATGAAAACGCGGCTACTGGCACTCAAGCCTGTTCATTTACAGGCTCTGTCAGTGGTCAGTCTTGGGTTTCCGGGGATCGGTATTTGAGTTTGACCTACAATTATGAGTTCACACATGTGTGGAGAAATTTTGGTATTGTGATCGGGTTCATTATTTTCTTCCTGGCAATCAATTGCGCTGGAGTTGAACTACTCAAACAGAGTAAAGAGACAGGTGATCATCTAATGTTCTTGAGAGGCAAAACCCTAGACGACATTGTTGTTCAAGATGGAACTGTCCCTGTTGCTGATGTCGAGAACCAAGCAGATGTATCGTCAGCTGAGCCAGAGAGGGTTAGTGGTTGCCAGGGCGAAAAGGAGGGAGCTTCGAAGGATTTAGGAAGTGGGGAAATATTCATGTGGCAACATGTTGATTACACAATCCCATACAAAGGTGAAACTCGCCAGCTTTTGAAGGACATTCAGGGTTATTGCAAACCTGGAACCTTGACTGCATTGATGGGTGAATCTGGTGCCGGAAAAACAACTCTTTTGAATGTTTTGTCCCGCAGAATTGATATGGGTGTGATCACGGGTGATATGTTGGTTGACGGAAAGCCAATTGATCACTCCTTTGAGCGTCGTACTGGATATGTTCAGCAGCAAGATTTACACATTTCCGAGTTGACTGTTCGTGAATCACTCCAGTTTGCTGCTAGAATGAGAAGACCAGTCTCAGTTTCCGAGGAAGAAAAGATGGAATACGTTGAAAAGATCATTGATATTTTGGAGATGGGTCCATATTCTGATGCTCTCGTTGGTGATTCTGGTAGTGGTCTAAATGTTGAACAACGTAAGAAGCTTTCCGTTGGTGTTGAGCTGGTTGCAAAACCTTCGTTGTTACTCTTTTTGGATGAACCCACCTCTGGTCTTGATTCTCAGTCTGCTTGGGCTATCATTCAGGTCATTCGAAGCCTCGCCAATGCTGGTCAAGCTATCTTGTGTACTATTCATCAACCTTCAGCTACTTTGATCGAGGAGTTTGATAGACTATTGCTATTGAGAAAGGGAGGTGAAACTGTCTATTTCGGTGAAATTGGAAAGAGCTCCAGAATCATGCTGGACTACTTTGAAGGTCAAGGCGCACGTAAGTGTGAGATAGAGGAAAATCCTGCAGAATACATTTTGGAAGTCATTGGAGCCGGAGCTACAGCAAGTGCTGCACAGAACTGGCACGAAGTGTGGAAAGCCTCTCCAGAATTTGAAAAGGTGTCACACGAAATCAGCAGTTTAATTGAACAGTCTTCACACAAGCCTTCTGTTGCCGTGAATAAGGAGATGCAAGGAACTTTTGCAACTCCTTATTTTTATCAATTGAAGAATGTCCTTTGGAGAACAAGCCTTCAGTTCTGGAGAGACATAGATTATTTTATGGGCAAAATGAACCTCGTGATAATCACTGGACTTTTTGTTGGTTTCAGTTTCTGGGATCTAAAGCATACCGTTGTTGGAATGCAAAACGGTCTTTTCGCTACGTTTTTGTGTCTCATTTTGAGTGCGCCTCTTTCATCTCAAATTCAGGATAAGGCGATTGCAAGCAGAGAACTTTACGAAGTTAGAGAGTCCAAGTCGAACACTTTCCACTGGTCGGCATTGCTCATCTCTCAAGTGATTATGGAGATTCCTTTTAGTATTCTTGCGTCTACTCTGTTTTTCGTGTGCTTCTACTTTCCGTTGAAATCTGTTTCCACAGATGCAGAGACTGCTGGGTATTTCTGGCTTACCTATTGTATCTTCTTCCAGCTCTATTACATCACGTTTTCCCTCTGTGTTCTCTACTTTTCGCCTGATTTGCCAACAGCCAATTTGCTCTATGCGATGCTCTTCTCGTTTGTTGTGGCCTTCTGTTCCGTCACTCAACCACAACGTCTTGCTCCCGGATTTTGGAAGTTCATGTATGACGCCTCACCATTCACCTATTTTGTCCAGAGTTTACTTGTCACAGTTCTTCACAACCGCAAAGTTCATTGCAAACAATCGGAGCTCGCCATTTTTGACCCACCTTCGGGACAAACTTGTGAGGAATGGGCTGGTGCTTTTATGGAGACTGCCGCTGGTTATCTAACCAATGGAAGTGCCACCGAGAACTGTGGATATTGTGAGTACTCTGTTGCCGATGAATACCTGGAGACGCTCAACATCAGGTACTCGGAGAAATGGAGAAACGTGGGATTTTTCTGTTGCTACATTGTTTTCAACCTTTTTGCCATGTTTGGCCTTTACTGGCTCTTCAGAGTTCACAAATCGTCATTGGTCGGCTCGTTGATCAAGAAGCTGACTGAAAAGAAGAAGAACTAACCAGAGAAGTACAAGTCAAATTTGTTGAATGTCCGATGGAAATGCATATTTGAGAACGACAGTGAATATTACACAGATCTTCTGCTTCTGTGGATAGCATCCTTAATACTATTTTTATTTTGAAATTCATTTTATAGATTGGACTTCCTTAATGTTCGTACCATTTTTGAACTCTTACTTAGGGGCATTAACTCCACAACATACTTCCAAGATTAACCCTACCCTATGATTAAGATATTCACCCCGAAAAGGTATTTTCCCATGATCTTTTCAAAAGAATATCTCACGTCCCGAGAAAAATTCGGCATACAGCGCGCCATCCGACTCCCCTGAGTTTATGGGTAGGATACAGTATTCCAATAATAAAACTATGGCGGAGCCAAATCATCAGCATCTATCCCCAGGCAAAAGGCCGAAACCGAAAAGCGAAGAATTCGGACACAGTCCACCCCAGCCTCGGATAGCACTCACGAAGAGAACACTTAAAGGCCCAGATTTTTGGAATATAGTATTTTGCTATTTAACACTTTTCGGGGCAATTATTCCAATACCATTGAGTTTCGATTTCTTTGTTGGCCAGGGTTCTCCAAATATGGTCTCCCTCGGATGGCATACCCGAGATGCCATGGGAATTTCCTACTGACCCAGCTAATCGCGGGGCGGGAGCTCGGTCCGAATGCGGGGTACATCGGATGTAACCCAATCACTTGAAGTGAGACTCATCGCTAGGTCTGCAGATTTACCGAATGCAAAACTCAATATAGTCTGCTCTAATGCTTGAATATTTTCCAGGTCTCGCTCAAATAAGTTCAGGCGAAGAAGACTGCATCAAGGTTTTGAGTCTTTTATCTTAAAGCCAGCTTTGTCACCCAATTTTCAGAAGCAACACTATGACTGTAGGGACTACGGTTGTTCCTCTGCTCATCAATGGTGAACAGATCACCAGCTCTGGGAATCCAAACTTGGAGTTTACTGTCAGCAACCCATTCAAGCCGGACCAGGTTTTATACTCCGCAAGAGGAGCCACCCCGGAAGAAGCAAATGTTGCGGTAGAGACGACTCAAAAAGGCTTTTTTGAGTGGAAAGAAGTCTCGTACACAGAGAAAAGAGAAATTTTCAATAGAGCTGCTATCTTACTATCTGAAAAGAAGTCGTTTTTTGTTCAAATTCTCAAAGAAATGGCAATCTCTGAGTGGTTCGCCAATGTTAACGTTGAAGCAAGTATTGACATGCTTAAAGAGGCAGCTAGCTTGACCTCTGTATCGCCCGGTACTCTGGCTCAGAGTTCCTCCCCAGATCTGTCAATTGTCGTGAATGAGCCAATAGGACCGGTTCTGAGTATTGTCCCATGGAACTCACCAATGGTGCTCTGTGTTAGAGCTCTGGTTTGGCCACTGGCAGCAGGATGTAGTGTTCTCTTGAAAACTTCTGAGCTATCGCCCTTGGTTCACTACGAATTGGCCAAGGTCATGCAGGATGCTGGTGTTCCTGCTGCGGCTATGAACTCCATCAATATATCCTCACAGGATGCTCCCTCTATCATCAAGCAAATGATAGAGCATAAAGGAATCAGAAAAGTCAATTTTACTGGCTCAACAGGAGTTGGTAGGGTCATAGCACAGATCGCGTCCGGTGTACTGAAGCCAGTACTTCTGGAGCTTGGTGGTAAGTGCGCTTCGATTGTTACTGAAAGTGCCGATTTAAAGAAGGCAGCATTCGGTGTTGTCACTGCTGCATTTGCGAACAATGGGCAGATATGCATGAGCACTGAGCGTGTGTTTGTGGTACAATCGGTCTATGATGAATTTATCAAAGAAGTCGCTGCAGCTGCCGATGTTGTCACCAAAGAGGTACATCTTCCTCAGAGAACCAGGAGGTTTGCTGAAGCGATTGAGGGAATACTTTCAAGTGCCAGCGAAGACAAGGCTGAAGTCATATATGGTTCTATTCATCGAGAGGATGCGTTCGTTAAGCCTGTCATTTTGGGTAATGTACATGAAAAGCATACTCTGTACGATGTGGAAACCTTCGGTCCAACCTGCTATATTAACAGTGTTTCAACAGTTGAAGATGCAGTCAACAAAGTGAACTCCAGTAATTACGGTTTATCGTGCGGTCTTTGGTGTTCTGACATCATGAAAGCTGTCGAATTGGCCCGACTTCTGGACACAGGTGCTGTTCACATCAATGGTATGACCATTCATGACGAGCCAGTTCTTCCTCATGGAGGAGTTAAATCAAGTGGTTTCGGTCGTTTCAATGGTGTTTGGGGAATCAGAGAATTCCAGTATCCAAAAACTATAACGATTTCCCCGAAATAAAATATCCAATTTGGCGATCTTCAATTTGTGTTGAAAAAGTAGCGAACTTTAGTTGTGAAATATTGACAATACTAATTCTCGAATCGAACTCAGAGTTGCGTTGTTATCTGTAGAATACCAATACGAATGCTTACTTTAACGAGAAGATTGATGTTAATGACGCCTAAAGCACACTCAGTTTGTTCACTAGCCAGACAGGCACTCCATTTCATTATGAAATCCAGTTATATACCTAGCCTAAACAAATTGCATTTTGTTCGATAGTGTTCCAATCTCTTCAATGGTTATCTCGACTACGTCTCCGTCGTTCAAAGGCCTTGGAGTTCCGCTAGCAGCGATTCCAACACCACCTGGAGTACCTGACATAATCACAGTACCGGCCTGTAGAGTAGTTCCTTGACTAATGAAGGCAATAATAGCAGGAATATCGAAGATCAGGTCGTCAGTATTTGTGTGCTGTCTGATTTCGCCGTTTACCAGAGTTTTGAGGTCCAATTTTCCCGGTGAGGTAATAACCTCACTCGAAACAAGAACTGGACCTAATGGAGCCCACTTATCAAAGCCCTTTGAGAAGTTCCATTGAGGTACTCTTCCCGCAAATTCGGGCTTTCTTTGCCAAAAACGCGCAGAAACATCATTACCTGCGGTATATCCCAAAACATAATCCAAAGCATCTTCTTTCTTGATGTCTTTACCCGTTTTGCCGATGACGACGCAAAGCTCTCCTTCATAATCCAACTGACCGTCTTGGGCTATCTTAGGCACAGGAATTGGCTCCCCATGGTCAGCAACTGCAGTTCCTGCCTTAAAAAATATAGAAGGATAAGGAGGAGGTGTTCTGTTTGCTTCCCGAATGTGCTTCATATAATTCAAACCAACACATTTCAAGAGAGGAACCTGGGCTGGTGTCAATGGTCCCAGAAGTTTCTTCACCTCCAATATTTGCTCGGTAACGATAGCATCATGGAAAATGTCCCCCGTAATCACATTGGCTTGAATTTTGGCACCCTCAGAAAATAGCTTTCCGATATCTTCAGATGGGCTTCCAATAGGTTGCCCTTGGTAGATTTTACCATCCTCAGCAACAAATCTAATCAGTCTTTTCCAAGCAACCATTTTCTCTTAATTTCAGGAATACGGGCTTTCAATTTGATGATTTTGGTTTCTCTTTAGCATTAGAGAGAAAACTCCTGGTTTAAGTACACCCATATTTGAGGGCGAGATTTCTCGGGCTCAATCCGAGATTTTAGGCTCGGATCAAAAACCGAGATTGCGGGGACCTCACTAAGCCCTGATATTTATTTTCAAGGCTGTGTCTGGGGACCCCACGTCTCATCCGACAGAGATGCATTTGAAAAAACTACGTAGATTACATGTGCTACACAGACATCTCTGTTAGAAAAAATGGTCTAATCCAATAATCGCAAAAATGAGTTAAACCGAATCACTATAAAAGTTGCTGTAGCAAGATCATTTTTTCAGGCGCCTTAGCTGTTGGAAATGGACAATTGCAATGACAATTCCTGCAACAAGGCACATGCCGGCCATAAATCCGGCCGATCCAGCATAATTCAGATTCTCAAACATTTTTGGGAAATAGAAGGGACTGATAAAACCTAAAATCAGCCTGCACATTGGAAGGAAAAGGCCTATATTGTTTGCTTCCCAGGGAGTGTTATCCACAAGAAAGGTGATTGTGATGGTCAGAACGATATCTGCTCCAGCTGCTGCCACACCTGTTCCGATCGACGGCTTTACATTCCATACACCCGGAGTTGCTTGCTTGAGACAGACTCCCCATACTATCAAACCCGCAATTGTGCAAACAATGCCTAGGTAACTCAGAATCAGCCTATCTGCTGGAACCCTCACTCCACCCCTCTTGCGTACACACCTCTCCATCCATATATCCGACCCTTTTCCAGCAATCAGTTCTCCAATGACTGTACCAACAATCAGGGGAATATATTGTAATGCTGTTTGCTGAGAATCTAACCCAAACAGCCGTCCATAAATCGAAGGTGTCTCAACTATAAACACCACATTTGCATAGCAGAAGACGACTGAATTGGCGAACGTGATAGCAGCTGCCACGAAATTTTTAGAGAGTTTCAAGGGAATGAAGATATCCATAAATCTGAAAGACTTGTTTGGGTACTTCTTGATGTACAAAGACGACTTCCAATCTCTTTTAGCCATTTGGTCGTTTCTTTCGTACAAGGTTTCTTTGGAAATCGCCCAGCCCACGAATTGTAAGAAGTTGAATATAGCGAATATAAAGTATATCCACTTGAACCCAACATGCTGAACAACGAACCCCATAAGAAACGGACCCATTGGAGTTCCGATAATAACTGAAACGGACCACAAACCATTCTTGACACCTCTTTCGTGAGCAAAAAACAAAGAGGCAACGAAATCACCGCAAAGCCCACACGCAGGTGAAAGGAAAATTCCATTCAAAACTCGAGTTGCCATTTGCTGCCCATAAGTTTTGCAAAATCCACCTCCGATGTTGGTCACCATTGCCCCAAAAGTTGCATATGCCATAACTGGCTTCCGACCATAAACCTGCATAAGACGATACCAAACTAATGGACCTACCCCCAAACATACCAACTGTGCAGTCGTTAAATAGGAGCAATCATCTACTGTTTTCCCGTACTGCAAGGCCATCGCACTATATGCTGGGGAGATACCAGCTGACATAAAGGTGCAAGTAAATGCTTGACAGGATAATAAAATCAAATGCCACATCTTGGTGGAATCTGGCCAATTTATTGGTTCAGAAGGGTCGCCCGAAGGTAACGGGTCAAGGTCAACGGAGCCATGACGGGAAATAAGAAACTCTCTGTGAGTCGACGTCAAATCAGACTCTTGAAGAGCCTTTACAGCAAATTGGTCTTCCTGTGAGCCATCAGGGAAAGAACTTTCAACATGCTCTGTTGAAAATTTCTCGGTATCAACTTGCGACGAAGACATTTTTGTGGCTTATGTTCAAGTATACTTAACACAGCGTTGTCTTGATCTATAGGGGAGAATGGCCATGTATTTAAATAAGAGAACTAATTCCTGTCTATAGTTCATGCCAAGTCATCAGAGTGAAGCATCATATCTATTCATGCATGCGGTAGAGTGGAGAACCTCTCTCTGGTCACTGCAGGAAGTGGATCCGAGCCGAGCCAAATGAAGTTTCAAGGGCTTATTTTTATTCTGTCACTATCTCGGCGGTGAATGAAATTTCTCCAAATCCAGGGGGTGTCGGTGGAAATTTTGGTAGATATTCCGACGATGCGGGGTAACCGAGCTCGAGGGCATCGCAAAAGCCTTGGATTACACATTCGGTTTTCTTGATAGGTTAAGGGCTTATGATTATTATCTGAATACAAATAATTGGTCCTTACTCTTTTCCAATACAAAGTTTCAAAGTTTGAGTATGATCTCGGTAAAAAGGGCATCTGACCGATCCAGGTAAAGCTCTCACCAAAAACAAAAAATACCAGAAGCAATCGTAGTAGATCTCCAAATCTTTAGAAAGTGCTGTCGAATGCATTCCATCCAAATAACCACCTCTGAAACTTGACATCGGACCATTGGTCAGGGTTTTCGGAGTCTTTCTCCTTCATCAAACGATCCCTCTCCTCTTGCTCCTCACCATCTGGAAGATGCCAGATATGTTGGTTTTTTCTACCTCCGAGTTGGACTATTTCAGCCCGTCTCTTTCTCTTTCTCTCAAACTTTCTCAGTGCCTCGGGAAGGTCATCTAGAGAATTGACGGAGTCAAGCTCTTCAGCCAACGTACATCCATCTTCAACGGCTTGAGCAGCACCCTGGGACAAGAAAGGTAACATCGCATGAGCCGCGTCACCTATCAATACAACCCTTCCTTTTGGACTGACCCAGCGAGGAAGAGGAGGTAGGTCAGCCAAGACCCATTCAAGACAGTGCGTAACATGAGTAAGAACTTGTCTAATGACCGGATCAAAAGATTTGTAGTGTTCCTTCAGTTCATCTACATTTCCTGGCATGTTCCATGTTCCGATTGGTGCTTGACCTGGATGAGCCATGACCAAATTATACATCTCTCCATTCTTCATTGGATATGCCATAATGTGCCTTCTATAACCAATCCAATTGTTGGCATTGACATCTGTCATCAAATGAGCAATTTTTGGATCTGAGAGCATGACTTCTCTGGGGACAGTGGCACGGTACGCACACTGTGGAGATGCGATTGGCAAGATGACTTCCTCGGTTATAACAGCCGTATCTCTGACTCTTGAGCGAATACCATCCGCACCAACAATTACGTCTGCGTGATAGGCCTCGCCAGTGACCAAGTAAACAGTGTTTGTATCGTCATCAACATAATCAACCCTTGAGTCAATTTGGTACTTAATTCCGAGCTCAACGGCTGTTTCCCAAAGAATTCTTTGGTAATCCGCACGGTGAATCAGCCAGTATGGAAATCCATAACTATCCGACATCAGAGGATCCAATGGGGTTGTGCTCAAAGGCTTTCCGTTACTGTATCTTCTCAAGACAATATTTTTGGGGATAGTGATTGCGTCCTTGAACTTGTCCGCAATACCATATCCTTCCAAAATTCTGACACAGTTGGGCGGCATTTGAATTCCAGCTCCGACCTCACTGAGAGTATGAGACCCTTCGAGAATCGTTACCGTATGTCCTTTTCTCTTGAGGCCAATAGCACAGGCCAAACCACCAAGGCCTCCTCCACAAATAATGATGTTTAGTTTTTTGCCCATAGTGGAATTTGATTTCTGGTTTTCTTTAGTTGTAGTCATTTGCAACTAGATGATATGGCTGCAGTTGGAAGTTAAGTTTTCATTTAGCCAAAATCATCTTATTATATTTTTCCATTCTATCAGTCCAGTCTCGGTTAGCAGATCCGAGGTTTATGTGGTACCGGCTTGATGATCGAAGAGAGATTGCACCAATGACCACCATTCACGTCGCGCGGAGAGAAAATGGCTTCTCCTACCCCTCCCCCACGTCCGAGCTACTTCGGGGCCATGCAACAATCTCGGAACTAAATTTTTATCAATTGAGCCGTCTCCTATTGGCCTCTGAGATCATCTAATCGCCAGTTGGGACGACTATTATTGGTAATTCACATCTAAACTGGAAGATAAAATTGTGGTCCAGTCACTAAAAATCATTTCGTAGAAGGCACCAAAATTCTAACCAATCTAAAACCACGGTCCCATGAAAAGCTGGAGAGCATGGTCGAAGATAGGGCCTAAGTAAAAAAAGACATAATTATGTAATCAAAAAATACCCCACACTCTGTTACTGCGCGGGGACCAACAAAGTGACACATGGACGTGCTTAGAGATAAATATGAACAACACCAGTGGTTGCTTGTTATATTCCTTAACGATATTCAAAAGGTCAAACTACCAAAATGCAGCAGGACCTCAAGAGAAAACGTATACCAACAGCCTGTGAGAATTGCAGGAATCGTAAGGTGGGATGCGACGGAGCACTGCCGACTTGTCGGCGTTGCGCAAAGAGGCAGGAAACTTGTGAATACTTACAGAGACCGAATAAGCTAAGTATGGCTTACGTGAAGGAGCTTGAGAAGAAGTTGGGAATAGTTGATGATAGCGTGATTCAAACAAAAAGTATAGACTCTCATGCTTCGAGTGAGCTCAGCAGGTCTGAGTTTTCTTTGGCGAACTCCTTGAAAGGCACACCCCCTTCTGCCATTGGAAGCGATTCTGGAGCGGTGACGTCTCCAACGAATCTTAGGACTTCGCTTTGGTATATAGTGGAAAAGGGAAATGGCACAACTGCTCCAGAGGTGCGAGAGCGTTCCAAAGACACAAACAGCGTCGCAGAGGGCAAGGAAGATTCCTTACATATTGATGCTATGGGTGCGGACAGCAATATTCTGAAAGGGCAGGAGGTGACAAAAGAGTTCTATGGAAGTTCTGCAGCTATGTCGTTTATGAGGGTACTTTCTGGGTCGATGGACAGTCAAATGCAATCGGGCCATGCAAACATATGCAAGAATAGGCAGACAAAATATCGCCTAAGCGGTTACAAAGGAACAATTTCAAATCAAGAGACTTGGGTTTTTCCTCCAAGGTCAATAGCCGACAGGTATGTCGAGAGGTACTTCCGTTATGTTTATCCTCTCTATCCCTTTGTCCATAAAACTTCGTTTATGTCTGTCTATGAGGAGATATGGACTAGCAATGGGACCAAAGCTGAAGAGAGTGACCTTTTCTATTGCATAGTGAATTTGATTTTTGCATTGGGATGCCATCATAACGTCGAGGCATTCTTCGATGCCGAATCACCTTCGTCGCAAGAAAAAGAAGGCAATGCAGAAGCGGCTCTGGTTTACTTTGAAAGATCACAGAAATATTTGACTTTTGAGATCATGGAGAAAGGATCGCTTCTTTTGATACAGACATTACTACTCAGAGGTCAATATTTACAAGCAACTTATCGAGCAGAAGGGTGCTGGAACACTATTGGACTGGCCATCAGAGTTGCTCAAGGTTTGGGGCTCCACATGAACTATAACGTGGCATCGAAAGGGAGCTTCATTGAGCAAGAGGTATGCAAACGAGTTTGGCATGGGTGTCTAATGATGGACCGAATTGTTTCGATGACATTTGGACGTCCCTTGATGGTGACATCACCAGGAAACGTCGACCTACCCCTTGCCGTAGACGACGAGCTGATTACGGACACAGAAATCAAAGTATCTAACCCAGACGACAAGTGTGAATTGCGCTTCTTTTTGGAGTCGCTGAAACTGTTCGGCATACTTTCTGAGATTTTGCAAAGGTTTTACTTAGGCCAGGATCACAGTGATTCCATGGGAGACCCATTCCCAAGCATTTTCCAATTTGAACAGAAATTGCAAGAATTCGAAGAAGGGTTACCTTATTTTTTGAGGCGTGAAAATCCCGAGCAGGATCACCCGTTCAGACGCCAGGCGATCATTTTGAGGGCACGATACCTCCATCTTAAAATCATGTTGTACCGCCCCATACTACTTCCTGATTCCAGAATTTACAATGATTCTGTAAAACGCAGAGGATCTGAGCTGTATAGAGGAGCAAAAGAGATGACTTCGAAAGCTTGCGTCGATTCCGCGATACAGCTGGTGTCCTTGTTACACACCCACATGAACAGACCTTTCTTACTTCCCGCATCTTGGTACAATGTATTCTATATCTACACCTCTGCAATGGTGTTACTAGCTGCCAAGTTGCAAACAAATGTTTCAGATCTTTTTCAGCCTAAAGTTTTGAGGACAACATGGAAAAATGCCCTAGGCATGCTTGGTAATGTCCAGACAAGATCAGGCTCTGCCTTAGGATGTCTGAAGATCCTGACTGAAATGCATAAACGGATTCCTTTACGACCACCATCCAACTGCAACGCTCCTTCAGTTGGTATTGAACCAGAAAGTACGGCCTTCAACTTTGACTTGAACCCTGGAATTGGGGGCTCCTCCGATCTCGAATTTGCCTTCGATTCAGATTTGTTTTTTACCACTATTTGTGAAGGTACGGGCGCGGTTGGCCCAGATTTTACTATAAACGGAACTTAGTTCTCAATGCAATTATGAGCAGTGCGCTTGTTAACGAAAAGACTATAAAACATTAAAAAACATAGCAATCTTGACAGTTGGGAAGTGGATTTCTAGGCTGCATTCAGTTCCTATTCTACAGTCTGATCTTCCAATTTCCACCATAATATCAAGTGTTATTAAAAGCAACAACCTGAAAATACAAAATATCACCCTTAGAAGGGTCCATAAGACGATTCCTACTCAACCAGTCTTCCGGACTTTCCACTTTTGTGAATTGCAAGGTTGGTCAGAAGTGGAGTATCGTTGAAGTTGTAGAGATAAGTGGTTTCATCAGTGAGATTGAAATGCTGAAATTCAGTCCAAGATGGAATACAGAATGTATCCTTACCTTCCCAATAAATGGTCTTAGTTTCTCCCTTAACCAACTTCATCACAGTGTAACCTTTGCCAACAACGACGTGGAAAATAAAGGAACTATTCTCAAGACGTGGTGGAGATGACGCTTTTGGACCAACTCTTTCCGCCTGGGCTCCAATAACCGTCGATACAGGCGAGACGTTGTCCACCTTAGAGATGTAGTCATAGATGGCGTGGTCGCCTGGCTTGGAGTCAAGTGCTTTTTGGACGTCCTTCCAAGGGTACTTCAATGGAGTGTCCACGACAGGCGAGCTTGGGTAGCGGGACTCAGAATATTCGTCAGTGAAATTTACGGGAAACTCACGGAAAAAGGGCAGGTCTAGACCGTCGAGCCAAATCATTGGACCGTTACCTTCTTTGCCGTGATCGTGCCAGTCCCGACGTGGAGTAATGAGGACATCACCTCTCTCCATAGTCAATCTCGTACCTTGAACTCCAGTCCATCCACCATTTCCTTCGATGATAAATCTCAAAGCAAAAGCGGAATGTCTGTGAGCAGAAGCGGTCTCACCCGTGTTGATGTGCTGCAAACCAGCGTAAAGGGTGTCGGTTGTCTTACACATTGGAGCCTCTCTAAGAGCAGGGTTGATCAGCATAAGAACTCTTCTATCGGCATCTTCTGCCGAAACAATTTCACCAGCATCAATGAGCAAAGGTCTGATTTCATTAAACCTCCAGATATTTGGCACTGCCTTTGGAACTGGTAACTCAGGGATTAGCTGGTTCATAACCTTCCACAAAGGTTCCACATTTTTACCCTCCAAAGACTTGAGAAAGCTTTGTTCGTTTTGAGGTTGGAGAGTTTGTGGATAAGTGTTCTGTACAGTTTCGGTAGTAGTGGTTGACATTATCGGTTGATTTCTTGTAACTAACAATCTGCAAAAACCGCCATTGCATTCAAATGCCACAACTTCTGTCACTATATATAATATCTGGAGCTATTGTGATTAGTTACGAATCTCGGTTGTGGATTCCGAAGTCACGTTCACGTCAACGAGTTGTTTCCTAAGTTCGGTTTGGATGGGCTCGGATGTCCTTCCGAGCAAAATGCGGCTCGGGGTTCGGGGCGGGATTTCGGTCATTGAACGGATCCCGGACGGAAGGCGATGGTGGGGAGGGCTTCGGTAACCAATATATATGCGTTTTCAAATGTGATAGGTCAATGTCATTACGATAGAATCGGCAACAATCGTGGTTCCTCATACCTCGTCTTGATACCGGGTCAGAACAGAGCCCGTTTTGTCGGCCAAATGGCGAGATCAAACTATTTTGGTCAAAACACACCTCGGATGCATGTTGCTCCCCGCCCTACTTTCCCAACTCGGAAAGCTGCGGTCAAAGCTGCGTTCAGCAAGCAAGCAAGCAAGCAAGCTAGGCTTATCTCTCCTCGGCTGTCATCCGCTTTGATCTGACAATGGTCTGATTGGTGAAAATTCGGGCGGGGCAAATGCCCTCCGACTTGATTTATTTAAATTGATTGACATTCATCTTCTTTTCTCAACACTAGAATTAAGTGAACCACGGAATCAAGAAACAATGACGGTCACAGACACTTCCAAACCAGCTATGAAGCCTACAAGTAATTATTTTTTGGACCAAGAGTTAATGAAATTGGTGCCAGGTTATCTCAACGATGCTACAGAGACCCCAGAGCCTGTTCTTTGTGAAACAGAAGGCAATTGGCCAAGTTGGATTGAAGGCTCTTTGGTTAGGACAGGTGGTGGTAGATACACTATTCCGTTATCTGAAGATGGATCCAAGCCGCCTGCAATTATGCAACATTTTTTTGATGTTTTGGGTATGCTGCATAAGTTTGACATTTCCAACGGGAAAATCAGATACAACTCTCGTCACATAGCTGAAGGTGTCGTTCGCAAGGCAAAGAAGGAAGGGAGAGTAGTCAACACTCTCAGTTTTGGCTCCGATCCCAACACCTTACTCACAGAGACTCAAGATCCTTGTCAGGCTCTTCTTGGAAAGCAACAAGCCATGTTCATTCCAAAGGGACATCTGCAGCCGGATGAGCTGAATCTTAATGTGACAGTACGTCGTGGATTTTCCTTGCCCGAAAACGATAATCCGTACTCCAAGCCAGAAGCAGCCAACCCAGCTACGGATGAATTGGTGGTGCAGACAGAAGGTCCATATTTTCAGGTTTGTGACTCCAAAAGTTTGGAACCAAAAAGAATATTGAGGTATTCAGAGGTTGATCCGAATTTGAAAGGTATGGGCACATGTGCTCATCCTGTCAAGGACCGTACCAAGGGTGAAATTTACAACTATTTGGTCACAGAGAGAGGGGAGCTTACTATTTTTGCCCTGGACATAAAAACGAAGCCATCGAAGTTGATATGGCATACGGTATTGCCTTCGGTGCCATGTTACTGTCATTCTTTAGCAATGACGGAGAAGTACGTCGTTTTTGTGAGAAACCCAATCACGTTAGATCCCGCTGATATGCAGAACAAGTCATTTTTGGATGCTTTCACTTACAATTCTGATTGTCCTGTATTTTTCTTTGTTTTGGAGAGAGCCTCTGGTAAGCACATCGCAACTTATAACTGTCCCAATTTCATGTTCTTTCACTCGGTGAACGCATATGACTTTGTGGATGAGGAGACGGGTAAGGAAAATATCTGCGTCGACTTGGTAAGCTATGACGGGTCAGAAAGTCAAATTGTTCCATTCAGAGAGTACAGCCTGAGCAATGTGATCAATCCTATCAAGCCTTTCGAGCAATCCTACTTAATCAGATACGAGTTGAACGACGTGTTGGGCCCCAAAGCAGCCGCAAGTACTAAAGTGTTTGTGAACGAGCAGACGACCGAAGTTCCAAGAGCTTATGTTAGACAAGCGATTGACCAACACATTGAGCTGCCCCGAATCAACACATCTTTCTCCTGTGATTCATCGTACCGCTATGCCTATGGAGTCGGCGGTACTGGAAAGCCTTCTCCAGGTACCAGAATCCCTATTGGACGTCAGGGAAATGGCGTGAAGTTTGTTGAATTAGCTTTCTTCGCCTCAATCACAAAGACGGATTGGGAAACTGGAACCTCCATCAGTTGGCATCCACCTAATGGTGAGAGTTGTCCTTGTGAGCCAATATTCGCTGAGAATCCAGCAAAACGGTGGGAGGACGATGGATGTATTTTGACGATTGTTATGGACAGAGACGGAAAACATAGTATACTGGTTTGTCTAGATGCCAAGGATTTAAAAGAGATTGCCAGGGCCCATTTGCCTCAAACATTTTCGTTGGCTCCGCACGGAACTTTCGTTGACGGAGTTTCCATGTTTCCCTCTGCCCTGTGAGATGACTTCAGCGACAACATGTCCTAGTGAATCTCTTTTGTAAGAACAGAATGTAACTGGTGAGCTCAATGTTTTTATGGAATGCAAAACTCAGTAGTAAAAGATATGACTGTTAAGTTGTGTCGTTAGATTTGTAAGTTCATGTTGAACTATAGAATATTTTTGAAAAAAGGGTAAACATTTTGCTTAATAAAAGATCGCTACTCCAGAGCCACTTCACTTCACTTCATTCAGAGATCGAGAAAGCGATTATCATCTTCTTCGTCTGTCTCCTCCTTAACTTTGGAAAGAACGACTGGGATGGCAACAATCAATGATCCGGCCACGAGAGCCCACGTGGACGCAAACATTGACATATATGGCACTTTCAGAGCATCCAGACGCCAAACAACAGCTGATCCCGCACTCTGGATTCCTTTATAGAATCCGACGTAGATCGCCAACTTTCTAGGAGAATTTGTCAAGGCACCCATCAACCAGTAACAGTAGGTTTGAAATACCGAATCCCAAGCACCATACAGCATGTATAACACAACATAGCCACCGTACTTTCTGTCTGACCAATCTATACGTACCCAATCGGATTGTTTGACAGTTTCTCTTGTGTATCCAAGTTGTACTTTGAGACCACCACCCCAAATTACCATGGTCAGAACAAATACGACAAGAAGGCCAATTCTAGCCATTTGCTTACGAGAGCAAAATCTCAGATCAAGAAAAGCGCCTGCTCCAAGAGCACCTAGTCCTTCACAGGTGGCGAACAAAAGACCATTCAAAGATCTGGTTCTGATGTTGAAGTTGACCAGATTATAGTCATTACTCTCATACGTTCCAAACCAGTAGGAGGACCAAAACATTGGGAAAAGAAGAATGATCCATGGCTCAAGTTTGAGGACTACCCACAAACCTTTCAATTCGGACTTCCAGGTTGGATTTGGCTTCATGACGACTCTTGAGTTGTCAGCTTTTCTTACCAATCTGATTGGCAAAAGTGCAGCTGCCATAATAGCACCAATAACAATCAAAACGATGAATCCGGCATAAGACCCATCACCCAACTGGTTACCAGTGGAGTTGACCGTTTGAACCAAAGGGATGAAACAACCGATAACCTTACCCAATTTGAAAATTGCCCAAAATCTACCAATACTTTTACCCTTATTACCTTCTTCGGCATATGAGAGCATGATCGTACCTTGTGCAGTCCATAGGAAAGAAGCACAAACTCCCAAGATTGCGCCAGCAGCAATGACAAATGAACCGTTTCCAGTATGGTTGAAACACAATAATGAACTGACGTACAATGCATAGCCCCAACCACCGGAACTCAAGAGTGGTCTTATACCAACCTTATTGCAAATTGTACCCGAGAAAAATCCCACTGTTGCAAAGGTAGAGTAAAGAGCCACATTCGAGTTGTTAACAACAGTCGCATCTAAAGTACCACCTGCACCTAGGGCAGTGACAGCGCTGTACATCCCTATGGTCATAAAACACACAAATGAAACCATCAAGATTTGAATCTCACCTTGAGAATATGGTTTGCATTGATATCCAAAAATTCGTAATCCTTTGTTGTACCATTTTGTTTCATCGAAACTAGAGTGTGACTCAACGTCATGAAGCGCCTCTTCCTTTAATTTGAAGTCATTCTCCTTGTTAGAGCCAGAGAACTCTGGTACGGAAGACGCTGCCGACATACTTGATGAGAACCAATCAAAATTGAATCGGGTATTTGATAAAAAGACAGTCCAGCATGGTAACTATAAGGAAAAACAGTTATGCTGATATATATATTCTTTGACCCCTTGCATTGTTTCGCTCATTACAAATTTTTTCGAAATACCGCCACACATATTTAAGCAGACGTTTTATTCAGATAATCGGGGATTCTTTTCCGCCACACATATTTCTGCACTCGTCGTCCAGATAATTAGACCCTTCTTCGGAAAAACTTTTGGTATCAGCCTGCATATATGCAGGTTTTACCAAGTGAGAATTGCGCCTCGGAAAATATGCACTCACACGCAATAAACAGGAGATATGTTGTTACTGATTCTGAATTTTATTTAGCCGATGCCTTCTCAAAATGCAAGATTAGGACTGAACTGTAAATACTGTGGCTCCCGTATGATGTAATCAAAGGGTGACTCCTTCCTCTTTTTTTTATTGTGTTCTCCACATAAATCTCTCTTACTTCCCCCTCCACAACGAAAAAGGAAATATCGGTACCTAGTAAACTCACTTAACCAAGGTTGAGGCATGCCTTCATCAACAGCAACAGCGACAGCGAATGGCTACACTTTTAAGTCCAACTCGGCAGGACAGATAAGGACGAGCAAAGTTTCCCCCAAGATTTTCAAGGAGGCCCATAATCAAATATACGGCCAGAAACACAACGATTGGAGAGATGATTTCACTAGAGATGGATATGTTGTCATCAAAGGGGTGATCCCCACTGAGAGGGCCTTGGGTTACCGTAAAAGGATGCTTGACTATTTGAAGACGTTCGATAACCCCGAACTGGACTACAAAGATAACTCTACTTGGATAGCCGAAAACTTGCCGGCCCACAATCCTCATAACATTTTCTTTTACTACTCCTGTATTCACGAAGACTTTGCATGGGAAGTCAGAACGGAGCCAGGAGTCCTGGAGTCGTTCGCGAAGCTTTGGAATACCGAGGAGCTGCTGGTATCTTTTGATGGGTTTAATGTTTCGTTTCCAAATCGCCCAGATCAACCCCCGTTTCCAGCTTGGCCACATATAGATCAATCCCCTTTGAAAGAGGGCTTACAATGCGCACAAGGAATCGTTTCTCTCTCCAAGTCCAGTGCAGAAGATGGCACACTTGTCGTTTTGAAAGGGTCTAACAATCTGGTTTCGGAATTTTTCGAAAAAGAGGTCGGACGCGAGAATTGGTACAAATATGAAGAAGATGCATACCGTTTCACCCAGGAAGAATACAATTATTTCCTGGAAAAGGGATGTGAGGTGGTCAAGGTTGAGGTCGATCCGGGTGACTTGATCATTTGGGACTCCAGAACAATACACTGGGGCCAAGCACCCACGGTTGATAGTCACAGGATTAGAGCTGCAGTCTATGCATCATATACTCCAAGGAACTTTGCTACTGATGAGACTCTGCAAGTCAAGGCAGATGTGTTTAAGCACTGGCTGGGCACCACTCATTGGGCTCATGACAACATCAAACCTAGGTTGGTCACTCCTATACTGCCAGATGGTAGTATCGATCCGAGGGATCGTTCAGAACCCAAGCAGCCTCCTGAACTGAATGACACCATCCTTAAGCTTGCGGGAGTCATACCGTACTAATCTTTGTATATAAACACATCTCCGCGAAGTCACGTTACCCCATATCATGAGAAGTCCTCAAAAAAGAGCTGAAAACTCTCTCCACTTATATTATGAACCGTCCAAAAATTAGTAGCAGTGACAATGCGATTAGACAAGATATACAACCTTGAGCAAACCAATAGAACCCAAAACATTGAGGCACAAAAAACGATAGTTCAAACTAAAGTGAACAAAACGAACTGAATAAGAAAAAGATTACATCGCCCTCAATATTAAGATCTCCAAAATCAAATCAAAATAGTAGCAAAGAACTAAAAATGTTTTTTGTGGAAAAAGGCACGCTTTCTTCATAAAGAGTATCTGAAGTTTGGGTTCTCGAAATCCGTCAAATCTGCAAATTCAGCGTTCTCTGGCAATTGAACTGGACCGCCTCTCTCAAGTTCGGCCTGATCTCTTCTCTTATTGTCCAAGGAGTACGAGATATATATGGCTATCATCAGTACAAGAGAAACACAGTAACCAACAACCATAGCGATTTTTCCGCCGCTGTATGAAGGTGCTTGAGACGCGATGAAAGTCTGCGGACCTATCAGGTTACCAATACAGTAGCCGATAAGGTAGATCGCGTCTACAGTGACCTTCTTAGTATGTCCAGCAGTGTTGGCAGCAAATGAAGACAAAAGACAGAAGTAACCAACGGGTTGAAGGTTTAGCAAAAAGTAGCCAGCCAATCGGGCCTCTTTACTGTTCTTTGCAAAGGCAAGCATGGAGGAGCATACGACGCCCAAAGCACATACAACGAGCGCCATGATCATTCTATGTTTGACAAAGCGAACACATGCAGCAAAAGCGATACATCCCACAAACTCTACCATACCGCCAATCATTCCCATCTTCAAGGATTCCAAGGTGGAATAGCCAAAGTCTTCCTTCATTAGGATCGAGCCAAAGTTGGTTAGCGAGCCGTTAGGGATGTCTGTTGCCAGGGCAAAGAAAAAAAACAACCATGTCCTGTAGTCTTTCAAAGCTTCCATGAACTGAGATTTCTTGAAATGTTTATTACCAAACCCTTGTTGGTTAGTTCTGATTCTCTCAACCACCAACAACTTCTCCTCCTCGGTCAAGAACCACGCCTCGGCCGGTGTGTTTGGAATATGAAAGTAGAAAGCTACTCCAACACAGATAGTCATCATACCAACTATAATGAACAGAATCTTCCATGCGGCAACGGAGTAGGAATCTGCGTGCTTGGTCAGTCCGTAGGCAATTGAACTGCCCATGATATTACCGAAGCCATTTGAAGAGAACCAAAATGCAGTTCTCAAAAAATTCTCATCCTTTTTCCACCATTGGGAGGTGATCATCACCATGGCAGGGGTGACAGAACTTTCCGCCATACCAAGGACAGTGCGCAGAAAAACAAAACCAGCATAATTTGGAGTAGCGTGCAAGCAAAGGATTATCCCCCAGAAAACAATGAAAGTAGAGGCAGTGCCCACCAATGGCAGCCTCTGTAGGGCATAAGATGCAAAAAACTCGAAAAACAAATAGCCGAGGTAAAATGCTGTACCCGTCCATGAGTATTGGTCGCCAACCATATTTAGGTCAGTACGAAGACCCATGATGGACGCAAGCGAATTGGTGGTCTTGTCCATGAACTGACATGCATACAGAAAGCAGCACAGGGGCAACATATAGGTGTCGATTTTCCTCAAAAGTCTTTTGTTGGTGGCCTCATCGATGACGAGACCCTTCGATTTGAGCGCCAGTCTCATGGCATCGTCGACATCTCCCGTAACTTCAACCTCACGACCATGAACAGAGGTTATCGTTGTGATCAGACGGTTGGTGCCAATGTCGGCTTCTGTGATAGATATCACTGTGTCGACCTTCTCGCCGCTCTGCTTTTTCTCCAAGTCACTCATATTTATACAATACCAAGGCGGGACACTAAAGGAGTTCTGCGTCAAGGGAAACAAAAGAGTAATTCAGAAAGGCAGTAACAATAATCTTAATCTGCAAGAACACTATAGTCGAAGCCATAGGAGCAGTCTGTCTATTATTATACAAAAAGTTGAGCAATTGAGATATTGGTCCTTATCAGGTTTAATTTCAGCGAACATCCTGCATGTTCCCGGAGGGGCCTTCATAAAAGAAAAGTCCTGAAGCAATGCAAGACTTTTTCGTCACTAAAGATTTTTCTTTTTCTTGTTCTTTTGCTTGTATCTGTCGCAAAGTTTGATGTGTATCGTCTTTGCTTTGAGAGGACATCGATCAATCAAAAGAAAATACTTGATTTCAGATACGCATCAGGGGCTTTTGGTGGTTCTCTGGATGCGAGAACTTCCTAAAGATGGAGTCTTCTGGTTGTGGAGTAAATATCTCAATTTATCTGCAGCGATAAAAGATAAGGGCGCGTAAGCAAAGTCGGGTGCATGTTTGCCTGCGATAAGACGGTTGTGCTGATCTGCCCTTCCAAAAAGGGAAACTTGATCTGCAGGGGTCGATCGATCTCGCAACTTTCAGCAGATAACAGCGCAAAGATATCGCCAACGTATTAACTAGAGACGAGGTATTGGAGTCTGCAGAACTGAGACAGGATACCCCAATTCACACTGGTGTATTGGTATCACCTCTTTAATGTGTTCTTCCTCCTACTATGATTTTAAATAGGGCTAGTCGGGTTCAAGTTTTCATAGGGGTATACAAGAATACGGCGATCAGCAATATCGTAATTAGAGCTTGAAGCAGCAAGATGTCCTATTGGTTTACCTAAAATTGGGGAATCCAGCGCATTAACCCTCTAATTTTGTTCTTTCCTCCCTCGATAGCAGAGCACGGGTGTCTAGACGAAATTCCGCAAAAACATTGTTCTCAAGCAGATATTGTTCCGTGCTTGAAAACCATTTCTAAAATGTCTTTCTCTTGACAGTTCAAAAAAAAATCCTGGTTCACCTCAGACATGAAGTCTCAATACAGAATATCTAGTATAAATTATGCTAGTACCTGACCAGGTATGCACTGCAATGGAGCCTTGGCCCCATCGCGCTTCTTGCGTGATGACTTCAGCCCTCTTACATCCAAGCTATTGGTCTTCTCTTTTTCTTCAGGATCAAAAAAATCATGACTGTCACCATCTATCACAATCCGGTGTGTGGTACCTCACGCAACGTGCTTTTAATGATACGGAACAGTGGCGAAGAGCCTACAATCATTCAGTATTTGAAGACCCCACCAAGCCGTGAAGAACTGAAGGGCTTAATCAGCCGCATGAACGTACCGGTGCGCGAGGTCCTTCGAGAAAAGGAAACTCCATACAAAGAGCTGGGTCTTGATGATTTGACACTGACTGATAATCAGTTGATTGATGCCATGGTTGAGCATCCTATCCTCATTAATAGGCCGATCGTAGTCACCCCTCTTGGCGTGAAACTCTGTCGCCCAGCAGCGGTGGCTCTGAGCATTCCTCCTGGTCCATAAAATGGCTCTGTTACGAAAGAAAATAGCGAGATGGTTGTTGATGGGACGGGTACCCGCATTGTCTGACGTGAGCACAACATAGTTCATGGTGTCCGTGGCAGAACTCCTTGATTCGACTATCGATGATTGTTCTGTAAGGTAGCCAGGTTTGAGGTTACTCTCTTCATGAAGTTAGCATTTTGTAACGTATTCGTTGTCATATGTGAACAGATCAATTTTTATAAGGACTTCATTTTTGAAGGCACTAGACCAGAGATAGATTAAGTTTGTTTTATCCTTCCTGACCGGAGTGCGGAGAGTGTACCCCCAGATAAAACGACTATGCGTCCCTGCCTGCGCTATGCAGACTGCACATAGTTTATGTTCGAAATCTTTCGAGTCCCCCTTTTCAAATCCTAGCCACGTAAGCTTGTGCACCAGTGCGGGATACAAAATGGACTATTCCAGCATTGACTGTACGGAAAGAACTCAGCTTCTCTCTGACATATCTGAAAATGAGAAAAGCGAAATCGTTGAACGTTATGGAGCCGATTGCATTCGACGTTGTTGCCCCAGACTGATATCAGACGATGCAGATAACGAGAAATCTTTGAACAAAATAGGTTTAAGTATTATGGATTGGCTTTTGCCGGTTTGGATTATTGTTGCGATTGCTCTGGGTCTGATATTAGGTAATTTTGTGCCTAATACGCACGCTGTTCTTACGAATGTCAAATTCGTCAACGTATCTATTCCCATCGCGATTGGTCTGTTGGTGATGATGTACCCTATACTTTGCCGCATCCGCTACGAGGAGCTTCACCATATAGTAAGACAGAAATCGTTTTTGGTCAATATGTTGCAGAGCGTCGTGATCAACTGGGTCATTGCCCCTTTGTTGATGCTCGGACTGGCTTGGGCATTCTTACCTGATAGACGCGAGCTAAGAGATGGGTTGATTATTGTTGGGCTAGGCAGATGTATTGCAATGGTTAATGTCTGGGTCCAGCTGTCCTCGGGAGATGCTGATCTTTGTGCCATCATTGTTGCTGTGAATTCCATCTTGCAAATCGTGCTGATATCTCCGATGTCCCTGTTGTTTGTAAATGTGATTAGTCATTCAGACACCGCTCACAAAATAAGCTACGATCTTGGTGCTAAGAGTGTGGGTGTATTTCTTGGCATTCCCTTTGGAGCAGCCTTGCTGACGAGGCTTGCCATTCGACCAATTTGGCCCTCCTTCTACGACAAAAAGCTGATGCCCACAATTGCGCCTTTGACTCTCATTGGTTTGCTGTTCACAATAATCATTTTATTTGCCTCTCAAGGCCAGGAAGTTGCCCAAAACATCGTATCTGTGGTGAGAGTTGCAGCTCCCTTGGTGGTGTATTTCTTGGTGATCTTCCTTGCGACCTTCTTTGCCTTTATGAAGCTTGGTCACGATTATCCCAGAACGTGTACTCAATCTTTTACTGCTGCAAGTAACAACTTTGAACTTGCAATCGCTGTATGTGCAAGTGTCTATGGAATCGATAGTCAACAGGCCCTTGCTGCCACAGTGGGCCCTTTGGTCGAAGTACCAGTGCTTGTGATATTTGTGTACTTTGCAAGGTTCATTCGGCCTCGACTTTCTTGGAAGAGACTTGCTTAAAAATCCATAACCCTTAATATGTAGACGATCTGTGGAAATGGTGGAAATTGTAGAACAGTATCGGTGCGGTGCAAAGTTATTTCCAGTTTGGTCTGCTTTCCTGGGAATGCTTCCACAGCCAAACTCTGCAAAGTCGCAGGGCTTCTACAGTAAAGCCGCAGTTTTCGCAAACCTTGTCTCTTGAGTGTTGGTAAGACACGTCGACAGACCAAATATCAGCTTGTATTCCAAAACATTATTAGAGTTGTGGCAGTTTACTCAAAATGGCTCCTGCATGAGTGTGATCAAGACAGGACTATACCTCTCCTACGAGGGTAGAAAGACCATTTTGGCATCTGAGCTGTATAAGGATTTTTTGAGGAATTTCCTGGGAAACGATCAGGTGAGATTGCCAAACCATCTAGTGAAAGGCACTTCGACCTGAAGCATGATAGTCACAGAGTGTGGGCCGGCCATAATTAAGCCATGGGCCGAAAATCTAATCTTGCAGGAGGGGCGCTGGATTTCACACCTACCATGAAGATGAATAGAAGATCTTCCTTTAGACGGCTCCCCCTGTCCTAGAGCGGGGGTGTTTGCCTTGGCATTGTTTCAATTGGTGGGGTCATTTTGCAAAGGGTCCGTTAAAACAAGTATCTGTTCGATCAATTAGACCGAAAGGGCTTATGGGAAATGGGAAAACGATCCGAGAGTCCGATGTGTTTGCAACTCCGAGAGTCATTGCCCAATTGATGAAGACCAATTTCCTGTTTCTGCTTTCAGATTAATGAGATACATCTAAGCAAAAAAAAACATCCGTTTTGGGAAGTCTTTCGACTATTATGGAATCCTCGGTATTATTGTTAAATTTTTTTCAAGTTTTTGATTCCGGGCACGTTGCTTAGCACGGTAACAACTTTATAATCTTAGAAATTTAGCTTAAGTGAGTGAAATAAATGATTTATCATTGTGCAGTTCCGTGAACTTTCCTCACAGTCTCCTCAATGGGTGTTCTTGTGTGTGTAAGGCATGGCCTTGTGGATATTACGATTCAGTCTTTGAAATGGGATAGGCCCTTTCCGACTATCCGGTGTGTTCCGGGTCGTCCTCAAATAAATTTTAAATGGCCTGCATTTTTCTCGGAGTCTTGGCAACCACCCAAAAGTGAGAGAGAATAAACACTTGAGACTACTTTGTCTTGCATTATATCCTTTAAAAGCGATATTGGCGAAACTGTAGTAAAATGCTTTCTGGTCAAGCAGATTTCGAACTTCTGGGGTTGACGTATAAAAAGGTGAAGTACTCGCACCTAGATTCCCGAATGACTTTTTAAAATTGTAAAACGAACCAGAAAAAAAAGCATTCTGCTAAACAATTTGTCAAATGTTGAGAAATATCATCTGCCTCACTTTCCTCCTATCCTTGATTTCTGCTGCCCCTATCGGTAACTATACCGGAGTGGATGTCTCTGAAACCAATGGTACAGATGCCAAAGGAAGTATCTTGTACATTTTCAGATCTCAATGGAAACAGAGGGATGTTGATTTCGAGATCAGAGACCACTTGGTCTCCACCGGATACAACGTTACTTTTGCTGACCAAACTGAAGACGCAAGCATTGTTGATGGCCACGATCTGGTCGTTATCTCCGCTACTATTAGGTCCAGAGACTTCGTTCCTGGCGACTACAAGGACATCGAAATCCCAATTTTCACCTGGGAGAACGATATCTTGGATGACTTGAGATTCACCGGAAAGTGCAGAGACACCAACTTTGGTGGATTGGATGCCGAGCACTACGTCCAATTGGTCAATGCCCCACACCCAATCAGTGCAGGTGTTGAATCTGGTGTTAAAGCAATGTTTGTGTCTGATCAAGAGGTTGGTTTCGGACAGCCTGGCTTGGGAGCTGACATCATTGGAACCGTTCCCGGAACTCCAGACCAAGCTCTTATTTTCAGTTACGAAGAAGGTGCCACTATGGATTACGACTTCATTGCTCCAGCTAGAAGAGTTTTCTTCGGTATGGGCAACGCAGCTTTCGGTAACCTCACTGACGCTGGTTTGGCCATCTTCGACGCTGCCGTTGAATACGCCATCGGTATTACTGATAAAGAGGGATACTGATTGACAATTGCGCTTACCGAAATTCAAAATTAATACCATGAAACAAAGCTACGATAGCTCATGCTTCAATCCCGAATTGTCCCCAATTATAGATAATGTATGTCCATAGGTGTGTACTCAATTTCGCTAAATTCATTCAACCATTGTAGTCCACACAATAATGAAGCTGTAAAAAGGTTGGCACGACATAATAAGTATTTCAGCTTTTCCTCTTAGAAAGGTATTTCTTGGGTGCTGATATTCACGATAGACTATAAGTATCATCATGTAATCATAGCTCGTCATGCCCTGCTGGCTCTTCACGAGACTTCTGATCAGAAAAAGAAGGATGAGTACGCAGGATGACTCTTTTGTAACCTCTCATTGGTGGACTACCAGAGTCTGTAACCTCCAATATAATATGATAAGACTTGCAATGATCAGCTCCTTTGTATCTTCCAAAATGGTGGATACAGGCCTTCTCAAACTCGGGGACTTTGAACGAAACGACTTTAGTTGTGTTCCCTGATACAGCAATTTCAGGCACTTCTTTGAAGGTATTTGAATTTGTAGCTGTCACGTCCCTGTAATGAAACCAGCGGAACTCCAATTTGTCCTTCTTATCCAAATCATACGTTGCAGAGGCATCCAAATACACTGTGGTCCCAGCTTCTACTTTAAGCTCCAGAGGAGTGGCAGAGTCCGACCCGTTGACAATCACAATCGGAGCATGATTCGCATCGTTGAATGATTTTACTGTCCATTGCATCCTACCTGCAAAGTCGTTTTGATATGCGTCTCGCCATCTCCAGATTGTAGCTTTATTGCTGCAGTGCCATTTACCATCTTTACCCAATACATCATCGGTCACGTCAGCGTAATGATTTATTTGACCTGATATGTCAATCAGGTCGTACCTTCCACCCCAGCCTCCATGTTTTGGTGACTCTGGGTCGTTTAGTCCATTAGGCAACACATGCAGGAGGGAAGGTGTGTCCCCTTCCATGATAAACATATACTCCGGATAGGCCTCTCCTAGAGGACTAGCATGCCTGATGTACTTCGACAACCAGTCCTTTGCGACGTAGGATGAGTCTGGTCCACCCTCCTCAAACCTGTTGTAGCTCTCACCTGATATGCCGACCCACGTCGATAGTGAGTATTGATTGAAACCATGAGACGACGAAATATAGAATATAGCAGGATATCTATACCTGATCCAAACCCCTGCATCATCCTGGTCAGAAATAGAGTACACTCTCAATTTTTTGATGAAATTTTCAACCTCTTCTGTGGATCTCGTCTTGGAAATCTCGTTCAAACTTTCAGCCAAAACTCCTGCACCACCCCAGACTAAAATCCAAATAGTTTCGTCTGGCGAAGTCTTGTCTACGGCCTCGATCAACTTTGATGCTCCTGTGCTAATTTTTTCATACTTCAATGCAGCCAATCCGTAAACAGGATATCCAGTACTTACTATTTTGCGAAAGTAAGAAGCGGGTGGATAACTTGGAGAATGCTTTAACAGGTTGGGGTGCACTTTCTCATATGCATTCAAGATTGGATAAATGTCCTCGTCATGTATAGTGTCATTGAGCCAGTATGATGTTGTAGCAACAATTCCAGAAACGTTGATTTCGTTTGAGTACAGTAACATCCGGACTAGACTCTCTGCATCGTCGGGTTCATTGGAGATATCAGTTAAAATGAAGACATTTGGCTTGATGTCCTTGCTGGGAATGGACTTAGCCCATACAAGTACAATACAAAGAGCAGTTGCAAGAAAATGACTGATCAACATGGTTCTGGGATCTAGGCGAGAATTGCTGACCGTTAGGCCGGTGACGTACAAAGGCCCTTATACCCTATAGTTAATGTAAAAGCGTGTGAGTGAGTACCATCTTGGAAGGTGGGCGATGAGGTAAGGCTACTTCTTACTATTGCAGGAAGAATACGCGCTCCCCTATTGCTCTTGGCACCCCATGCAGATGATGGAGAAAGGGGCATATGTTTACCCCACCTCCACTCTGTCTGGGGGAGCCTTACCCCAGCTTCATTTTTCTATTTTCTGACAAAAAATTTAAATGGCACAGCTATGTAGCTAACCAGGCCTCTTTAGCTCACCATATATCAATGTATTTCAAAAACAATCTAAGAGAGAAACTTTCAGTTTGCCCACGCACTTTCTCTTAATCTGATTCACCAGTGTCGACTGTTTCCAAATGCTCTGACTCAAGAGCCTTCTCGTCACGCCCACCATCGATCTGGTCATGTCCAATCTTGGATACTTCTGTCTCGTAGTCTTGAAATTTTCTGAAAGGAACTTTTTTATCATACATCTCATCAATTTCCTCAAAAGACCTGTGCGCAGTTTCTGTTTGAAAGAAGTAAACGTAGATCGTCAAAAGTGCAGATATACTCGCAAAAATGAACATGGTTTTCGCACCAAGATTGGCCTTATCTGGATTAAAGATGTATGGCAACACAAATGACCACATCATACCAATCATGCTGTGAAATGAGAAAGAGAGGGAAACTGTTTTGTTTCTCAAGCTGGAACGAGCATTTTCAGAAGCAATTGGATATGCAACTGCTCCAACCCCCAAGTTGTAACAAAATCCGTAAAGAACCATGAACGCAACAGTTGTAGTTACAGCTTTCGGGTTGCGGCTACATCCGGCTCCTCCAATGATGAAATCAGTCACCGAAATTAGCATGGTTCCCCACAGTAGATTAGCTCTCCTGCCAAACCTGTCAACAACAAACCAGGCGGCGATATTGCCGCCTATGGATAAACATTGGGCTCCCACGGTGAGTCTGAACGAGGATGCAGTGTCGTAACCTGCCAGCTCGAAGAAGTAGGTCGTGTAATTGGACGTGAAATAAACACCAGACATGTTTTGGATAATGAGTGGCACGGCAGATATTAGAGTTCTCCATTTGTCCCGTCCTTTGAAGCAATCAATATAAGAGGAACTCCGTTCAAATTCTGCATTCTGTTGAACTGTCACATGAGCAACCGTAGCTTGTTCGTGAGCAGCGACAGGATCCTTGAGTAACTTTCTGTAACACTGCTCTGCTTTGTCAATGCGTCCTTTTAAAACATAAAACCATGGGGATTCGGGGAGAAAGAAAAGTAACGGAAGGGTGACAGCTGCAAACCCCCATTGTGAAGCAAAAACTGCTTTATATGCCCAGGGAGACTCCTTATGAGAGATAGAATAGTTGATGATAAAACAGACAAGAGGACCAATGCAAAACGACACATTGCAAATAGAAACAACCAAACCTCTAAGGCGCAAGGGAGCAATTTCTGAAACATAAGTAACACCAACCGCTTGGATCAGACATACACAGTAACCGTTTAAAGTCTTGCCGGCCAGAAACATCTGAACATTTGTTGCTGCGAATTCCAATGCAATAAAAGCCACTGAAAGCAAGACATGTGCGAACAAAGTCCACTTCTTGCCGACCCTATCTGCCAGGAACGAGCCAACATTCTGGCCAACAATTCCAGCAGCAATTGGAACTCCACTAAATGCGGATTGCCAGCTAGCCTCAATAACGTATCCAATTTCGCCGGTGGAAGTGGTGTAGGGATGACCAAAATTCTTTCTGAACTCGGGAATCGAGACCACGATTCCGCCAGCTTGGTTCTCGAAAGAACACAAAACAAACATCCAGATGACAACAAAACAGCAGTATACAGCATAAGGATACTTCTTGATTGTCTGCCAATTTGTCAAGGTATTGTCTTCAACCTGCGTTTGAGCCGCTTGGTTCAAAGCTACATTCTCACTATGTACTAAGTCAGTCGTCATTGCTGTTGATACGCATCATCCCGAATATTCAACAATCCAGGAAGGATTTTTTGTCCTATTTATACTTGGTCTTGAATATACCTCAGAAGCACCCTGAAATCTGTGCAATGCAGGGTTTAGTGCACCCTTACGTGGAATCTCTGTTCACCCCATGGGGTAGATGATAGGGGTACTATTAGGTTCACAGATTACTGGTTCTGGGAATTATAGACGGGATTAGCAATTTAATACACTACTGATACTCACAGAATCATAATGAGATCATGATTTGTAGGTTTATCTCATCAGTATTGAGTTTGGGACTTATGGTGGCACCTTCCGATACAAGACCTGGGATAGTAGGTCTACGCTTCCCCACACTTTCCGTCACGTCCACTCTACATTATTTTGCCACGCATTAGTTTTTTGAAAAAAATAGTCAACGATAGTCGTTAAAGTAAAACACTAACTAACATTCTGGCTCAATCTGAGTCTGCTGTCTCGACAGTCTCCAAGTGCTGTGCCTCCTGTGCCTTTTCGTCACGTCCCACATCAATCTGCTCGTTTCCTACCTTCGAGATTTCTGTCTGGTACCCTTTGAACTTTCTGAAAGGAACCTTGTTGTTGTACATCTCATCAATTTCTTCGAAAGACCTGTTTGCAGTTTCCGTCTGGAAATAGTAAACGTAAATTGTAAACAAAGTCGAGATTCCAGCAAATATGAACATAGTCTTTGGTCCCAGATTGGCCTGATCGGGATTGAAGATATAGGGTAGAACAAATGACCACATCATACCGACAGCACCACTTATAGAAAAAGAGAGGGCGACAGTTTTGTTTCTCAAGCTGGAACGTGCATTCTCTGAAGCAATTGGGTATGCAACCGCTCCAACACCCAAGTTGTAACAAAATCCGTAAAGAACCATAAAAGCAACAGTTGTAGTTACAGCCTTTGGATTACTGCTACAACCGGCTCCTCCAATGATGAAATCAGTCACAGAAATCAATACAATTCCCCAGAGCAGATTAGCCCTTCTGCCGAACCTGTCGACAACGAACCAAGCAGCAATGTTTCCACCTATAGATAGACACTGGGATCCCACGGTGAGTCTGAATGACGATGGAGTATCGTATCCTGCCAGCTCAAAAAAATATGTCGTATAATTGATTGTAAAGTATACTCCAGACATAGGTTGAATCACCATCGGTACCACAGATATAATGGTTCTCCATAAGTCTCTGCCCCTGAAGCAGTCAATATAGGAGGAGCTGCGTTCGAGCTCCGCATTCTGTTGAACGGTTACATGTGCAACTATTGCCTGCTCATGTGCAGCCACAGGATCCCTCAGTAGCTTTCTGTAGCATTCTTCAGTTTTGTCCACACGGCCTTTGAGCGCATAGAACCAAGGTGATTCTGGAAGGAAGATCACCAGTGGAAGCGTGACAGCTGCAAATCCCCATTGAGAAGCAAACACTGCTTTATACGCCCAGGAAGTACTTCTCTCAGAAATGGAGTAGTTAATGATGAAGCAAATGAGGGGACCAATGGAGAAAGACACATTGCAGATCGAAACGATCAACCCGCGAAGACGCAATGGAGCGATTTCCGCAACATACGTAACACCGACAGCTTGAATCAAACTCACACAGTATCCGTTCAAAGTTTTACCAGCAAGAAACATTTGCACGTTAGTTGCAGCAAATTCTAAGCCAACAAACGCAACAGAAAATAGCACGTGAGCAAACAGTAACCATTTCTTACCAACCCTATCAGCCAGAAGCGAACCAACATTCTGGCCAATGATTCCTGCAGCAATTGGAACTCCACTGAATGCTGACTGCCAGCTGGCTTCAATAACGTAACTAGTTTCTCCAGTAGAAGTTGTATAGGGATGACCGAAATTCTTTCTGAACTCGGGAATCGATACCACGATTCCACCAGCTTGGTTCTCGAACGAGCACAGGATAAACATCCAGATAACAACAAAACAACAGTAGACTGCAAATGGATACTTTTTCACAGTTTGCCAATTTGTCAAGTTTTTGTCTTCCACCTGGGTTTGGGCTGCCTGGTTGAAGGCAGCGCTCTCACTATGTATCGAGTTGTTCTCTGTCATTATCGGTAGTTGGAACCTACTCCCATGTCACGAGTTACAACGGAGCGTTAGTTGATCCCCTTTATATATGCTGTCCATTGTTTTCATTATCGCGTTCCGTTCTTTCTCAACTCCGACATAATTTATCTTATGCATGATTGTCCAATTCATATTTTTCCCCGTGGGGTAAAATCTGAGATGACACAACAGTTTCTAGAAATTATAGCCGCAGTGCATGTTTCTGCCGCGCGATCCAGTTTGCGTCTCCGCTGATTTTAACGCAAAATCTTTATAATTGTAAGCTCGTGTTAATTTTGCGCTTATTGTGCGCATTGTAGTCGGCTACTTGGTCATTTCTGTGACGCGTCGATGAATATAGCCTACAGATCTTTTTTTTTAGTTTCTCGCTTCAATTGAAATTGGAAAATACTATCTCCCTTGCACGTCAGGAGAAAGGACGTTGTGATCAATTCCATTCTGACTTATAGGGTGAGTAAATCGATGCTGATATGTGCAATATATTGAATTCAAAATATACAAAGACCTTGATAAAGCCTTTATGTACTGCCCTTTAAACGAGGTCATGCAATGTTTCAACGGCAATCTTCCGAAGGCAGGCTCCTAGATGAAGTATGTGTTCCTGGAACACCTATATAATTCTCCAAGTTTTCAACCAGTTCATGTAACTATAATTCTCCAATGGTCCCGTCATACCATCGCTCATAGGCCAGAAAAACACAAAGGCTCCAATTACGATCGATTGTAGCACCACGAAAATCACCAATCTCCAGTTTCTATTCATAGTGATGGTGAAATACTCAACCAAAAACCCCATTTGGAAAATCGCAAAATACAATGCTGGAAAATAGTGATGGACATAAGTCACTCGGGACATGAGCACAAAGGGCAAGAAATGCAATACCCACGCAAGAAGCGGGAATACCCCGCCCATGGTGAAAACCCATAGATCATGAGAATTCAGAATCAAGATCTGTCTCTGCCATTGTAGTGCTAACTTCAAAATAATGAATACACTGACTAGAATACTTGCAGATGATAGCCAAACGACTATTGGATTTCCCATCATGAAATAGCGCACTTGGCTGCGGCCCCAACCACCCATTCTGAGACCAACGATATCGGTTGGCCATTGCCACCACGAAGAAGCTAAATCATCCTGCTTATCAGGATCTGGAACCAAAGCATTATTTGATGCCATCATGGCGTAGTTCAGAAGCACAAAGTCCCTCCAAAAATGTGACTTCGGAGGAGTGTAGTCTTGGTCTGCCACGGTTGCCTCGTTGATGTGATCTTCTACGTTCCACCAGGTCCCCTTTTCCTTGACAAACCACGAAGGTTTGCAGATCACTTCGCCCTGCTTGAAACCCCATGACGGATAAGACATTCCAGTAGTGGCGAGGTAGCAGCCCAGAACTTTGTGTCTTAGCCTGAAGGAGGTAGAAAGAGGATGGACCAAGTCCTTGAACTCTGAGTAAGATTCTTGCAAATCGGCATAGGTCTCATTGGAACTGTGTAACTGTTCAACAATCTCCACGACCCAGTCGTCTTTTTCATCTCCAATGTTTTCATCGCCATAACCTGAAACTTCCCAGAACTGAGACGATACATGGCCCCTGATATCGTGCGAGTGTAGGTTGGCTCTCGTCATTGGATGGCTCAGTCTTATTACATCACCATGTCTCACCTTACCATCTTGCGAAATCGGATATTTGCTCCTAGGGAGCTCTATGACCCAGTCGTTATTGGAGTCTCGAAACCCGTAGGTAGTGACCTGATGCTGGCCCGAACCTTCTGGATACACAGAGCCGTGAGAATGTAACAGGTTCGGACTAAGACCCTGTGACCTAATCGTGACTTTGGATCCGTATAGCACGTTTCTGGGTGCTGTAACTGTTATTTCTGTGTCTTCCTGATTGGCCTGGAATAACGAAGTCATCGACGACGAGCCCTTGCCAAACTTGTAAAGTGTCTTGAAGTGGATTTGGAAAATCAAGATATAGACAATTGCAGGAACAATAATGAGGGTCACCACCCGCACCATCCAATGAAACAGAAGACGAGCTTTAGAGGTCGAGTTCCAGTATTTCAGCCAAAGATCCAAAATCACATACAGACCAAAGACCACCGTGATGAAGAGACCAACCCATTTCACAGAGCAAACACACCCGATCGAAACTCCGCTAAAAAGCATCCATGAAAACCACGAAATACTCAATTCTTTGCCCTTTCTCTGGAGTGAACTGACTTTGGCCAGACACATGAAGGTCGTGGCAGTAAAGAACATCAGCATGGAGTCCAGCAGAATAAACTTTCCAAGTACAACGCTCATGTTCTCGAAACAGACGGTCACTGCAATGAACAAACACGTGGCTAAAGAAAAATTCAATAGTCTACTGGTGATGAACGCCAAAGGCACCGTCATTATGCTGAAAAGACAGTTGAATAGTCTCATCCTGCCATAGAGCATACCCTCCGGATACGCATCCCCCGAGTTGAACTCAAAAGACCCATTATAACCCGCCAAATATCCGCTGAGACCACACAGAAGTTTTCCGAGCGGCGGATGAACATCAAAGTAGAAATCGTGCCTCAGATAATGCGACGCAAACTTGCCAAAATGCGCCTCGTCCCACACAACGTGGTTATTCCATGAGATCTTATGGACCCGGACCGCTGCAGCAACCGCTGTCAATGCAATGACAAACACATAATCCGGAGGTGTTTTCTTAAACGTCACCATATTTCAATCAACTGAAATATACCGGCCAAGCAAACAACTCCCCTTTCGGCAATCAAAAACAGATAGCACACAGAGGCTTAATGCTGACGCGAGTGAAAAGTCTCAGACACGACCACATGCGATCGCATCGGAGCGGCGGGCGAACCTTCTGTAACTTCGGATTCACATGTTTGACGACTTTGTGTAAAACACTACTAGCTACTGATAAGCGATGACTGTGTAAGAGGAGATATTCACTTTACTTCTTCGTACCCAGAATGTTATCAAATATGTATACAGTCTTATTGTTTCTAATATTTACTTCAGCGTCGATGGCAACGGCATGGGATGTGGTCCCGAGTAACATTACGAGGCAATATGGCTACATTAACGTGTTGAGATGTATCAACCACAATGTTGGTGATGATATCACAGCAGTTGCTGTAAATACCCAGGGTTTGCTAGGTTTATATCATGATATGAACAGCACCTCATCGAGAAGAACATCATATATGATTAACAAATGCAGACATACCTTTAATGCATCGTTAGCAATTTACGAGGCTTCAAATAGATATGCGGAAGATGAAATGTTATATTATGGCGGAATTGATGAGCTGTTGTATGGTCATAAAACACTGGATAGCCTCATAGCTATGGGCAGAGATGATGACCTCACATCTGGTACAGACGCTGACTTAATCAAAGAAGAGAGATATCCTGATTTATACGAAATGCCGATATCTCAAACGACGGGCAGTTGCTCGAGCTATGAGGCGTTTCATACGTACGCTGACTTATGCCAAGACGATCAAAAGAACCCTTTCTATGCCTTTGGAACGAGTTTGGTATCCCGATACTTCACGTGGATGTGACATTTGTCACCCATTCGGAAGCAGAATACCAGCATATACCGGAAGACCAACTATTTCCCGTTCTTGAAAGCACGCCAGACGTCGCGGACATGAATACTGTTCGTGTAGCTCGACTGAAAACCGTTGATAACGTTTGACAAGAGTACACTGGCTGCCAAAAATGCCCTACTCAAAGGACAGAAGACGGATCTACGTGTGTTCGAAAGAGGCGCTACAGTGTAAGAGGAGATAATCTCTGTCCTTAATTTGCCATATAAGATAATAACAATTTACACCATTTTCTATCCAGTTACCTAGTTTGGTCATCCCTTCCAGCAATACAAACATGAAGGGTAGATTCGGATATCCCAGTATTTTTTTCAGTGCTTTTCTTGCTTGCGAACTTACCAGGTTTGACATAACGGGTCACTGCAATGCCACTGATATCTGGGTGAACTTATCATATCGCTTGAAAAAGTCAAGTGACAAACGATACTGTGTTTTTGTAGTACAGTCACTGTAACTGCTCCTGACCCAGGCCAGTAGTCAATTTTTTGAGATTCAATAGATCGGGGACGTTTTGCCTTTATACGGAAGATATCAGGCGTGTTTAAGTTGAAAATCAAATGAAAATACCATGTTTGTTGAGGTCGTGCAGAAATATCTGCGAAAAGAGCCTGTGCATATCACCGACTTCAGCAAGACATTTTCCCACTAGCAGGGTTTCTTTGTATGCACTGGCTATTCTTTTTTGGATTATCAGATATGCCGCACAGATAGACCAAACGGATGCTAAGTGTTGCCGTCACCGATTATGGACTAGAAAAATTTGTATGTCAACTCATAGAATGAGACCTACATTACATAAACTTATATATACATTACCCAATTCAAGAAAGAGTGTTAAAAATCTTACTGGCATCTCCGAACAAGAACGCAAGATAAAGGCCAGGTTACACATGCGATGACATCGGAGCGTCGCTCGGTCACATGCTCCATCGGCTAGGGCAGTTGCGGGTATAAATAGTCTCCGCATCCCCAGATTTCTAGAGCAAGTAGTCTTGTCTTCATTTTGATAACAAGGTTCGGTTTGATTCTTTGTTATTCTGGAACGTTTATTATTATCCATCCATGAAGGTCACAGTGTTAGGCGCGGCAGGAGGCATAGGCCAGCCACTATCTTTGCTACTTAAGCTGAACACATCCATTGACGTTTTATCTCTGTACGATATTGTCAATGCACATGGGGTTGCTGCCGATTTGTCACACATTCCCACGAAATCCTCTGTGGAATCCTACCAGCCAACTTCCAAGACGGATACGACGCAATTGCAGCAAGCCCTGGTCGGATCAGATGTGGTGGTGATTCCTGCAGGCATCCCTAGAAAACCGGGTATGACCAGAGACGATCTGTTCAAGATAAACGCGGGTATAGTTGCCGGTCTGGTGAATGCTATCTCCATACATAGCCCAAAGGCCAGCGTTTGTATCATTTCCAATCCCGTGAACTCCATGGTGCCTTTGGCTGCCAAAATACTGAAGCAGAATGGCGTTTTTGATCCCCGCAAGCTGTTCGGAGTCACCACATTGGATTTGCAAAGATTTGAAACCTTCAGTGCGAAATTGCTGGGTGTCTCAGATCCTGATCTACTCAAAGGCAGAATCAGCGTTATCGGAGGTCATTCGGGCAACACGATAGTACCCCTCTCACATCTCTCGAACAACATCTCTACCAAGTTCCAGCAGTTTGTTCCAGAACCAAAGGACTTGATACACAGGGTTCAATTTGGTGGAGATGAGGTTGTGAAAGCCAAAGAGGGGCGTGGTTCCGCGACATTGTCCATGGCTGCTGCTGCCTATAGGTTTATACAGACGATTATTGATCCCAGCACAAGACACTCCGGTATAGTACCTGAATCCACGTTTGTGAGTCTCAGGGGCATTCAGGGAGGTGATGCTCTTGCTGACCATCTGGGTGTGGAGTTTTTTGCAATACCTGTGCAAATAGGACAAAACGGACAAGCTGAGAGGATTGTGGATCCGTTTGAACTGGATTTCGTCAGTTCTGACGAGAAGAAACTCGTTGCCATTGCAGTTAAGGAACTGAAGGGCAATATAGAAAAGGGTTTGAATTTCAAATACGATGCAAAGCTGTAAGTGAAGGATTGAACTCAGATAAAGGTTTTCCTTCATTACCATCAAAGGGCTAGAGGGTATTTACGAAAGTAACAATTACCAGAAATGAAGCAAAGTCGCGTTTGGTAAAAGTGGATTTATATTCAAGATTTTAGCGGGTTTTCCATCTCATTCAAAATAACTTTTCTCGTTCATCACTTACTTGACTCCCCTTCCCAATACCGGATCGTAGCATCTCTCACCACCAAGTCTTTCTTCTTCTTTAACGTAGAAACCCTATACTCATCATCCGCCAACTTGAACTCAACCTTCTCACTAATGATGTTGAACCACGAGTAATGTACCGCACACTTACGCTTATCCTGTAGACATATCTGTGCAAAGTAGTTGTCCTCTGGTATATCAGCGTTGTCCTCCAGTGCCTCATACATTTCAAAATCTGATTTGAACTTTTCTTCCGTGAACCCTAGGTCTTTTAAACTCTTGAACTCTTCTGAGATCATCTCTCTCATACTGCCTAGATCTCCAAGACGTTTATCATAACCGCAGATGTCCTGAGCTTTACGCTTGCCTTTAGCCTTGCTCTGCTGTAATGGCTCGTCATTGAAGAACTTGGAAATATCCTCGTTGGCCTTGAGACTTGTAATGCAATCGCTTATAAGCTTGGTTCTGTCTTTGACTCTCTTCAGCAACTGTTGCTGAGCACTCAACGTCTTCAGATTATCCTGCAATTCTGTCACCTGCAAATCAAGCCTATTAAGCTTATATTGGATATCCGATGGGAATTCGCTGATGGCAGGCAACGATTTGCCCAAATCCTGAAAACTCAACAAGTCCTCGGACCTCTTCAAGGCTTGAGTAATTTCCTCGGGATTTTCCACTCCTTGAAGCTTAGACCTCAAAAATTCCACTCCGTGCTCAGAAGAACAATACTTGCTGGCTTTACCATCATCAATTTTGATAGGCTTGTAGCAGCTCGGCAATCGGCACTTTCTCTTCCATTTCGTCTTACCTTTTCCTTCAAGTGTATCGCAAAACTTGCAGTAGAATTCTGCCACAAGATGCTGATACTGGATGGGCAAATCCATGCACTTGAAATGCCACCAGCCTTCACACCCATCACAACACACCATCAATGCTCCATCATCTGGTTTGCGACAAGTACAATACAATTCTTCGGAGTCAATTCCATACTTTGGTGCTTTCAAATACTGCTGGTACTGTTGTTTCAGGAGTTTGAGGCCCTGTGTTTCCTGGGCTTTGGCTGTAAGAGGTTTCGGTTTGGGTGTGGACCTAGACTCGTCAGCGGCGGGGGTGGATTTCCGAGAGTTTTCGACTGTGGACATTGTGAGATTTGAATAGTCACCCAAAAATATCACAAAGAGGCAAAATCACAACCACCACAGAAGACTAGAAAAAGATACTCAAGAAAAATACGCGGTTTTCGTTGTTCGAAATAGCTCGATATCAGTTATCAAAATCAGATATCGGAATCAGATGGTCAGCACACGACACAAAAACATGTTCTCTGGTACACGACCAAACCACTTTTTGTTTTTGGTGGCACAACATGGCAAGACAGATAGAGAATAAAGACTAAGCTTCATATTTCCTTTTTCTCCACTACATTTTCTCCTTTTCATGACAGTTGGCCATGCTAGGAATACGGTGTATAGGACTACCGTCCTTTAAACGAGTGGCTTGCTCGAGTATAAGAGCGGGCCCTCTCTGCAGAATACGGCCCCTATCGTCTTCGTCGCCTTCTCCATTCCACAGCCTCAAACACCAAATAAAAGCTCCGTTGGTGGAGTCTTTGGTTCGTAATGGTGGCCGTCAATTTTCCATATTCTCCATTGGCAAAGTTGCTGGTAAAATTGTGAGGGTTCCTGCTGCGGTTGGCGGAAGCCTAGCTGCTGCCGGTACCTATGTTGCTTATAAAGTTGAACAGGCTTCCAGTTACACCCAGGACCAGTTGGGAAAGGTCAAGGACATTACTGATGGAGTGATGGACTCTTTTTCTGGACTTTGGGACAAGGTCGGCTCCATAGGTGGTGGGAGTGATGGCGGAGGTAGTGGAGGCGGTGATGATGGAGTGGCTCTCGGATCAGGAACTGCTGCAGCGGCCGTTGGGCTTGTTTCCGATGACGATGACGAGACTCTTATTGGGGATGATAGCGAGGAAGATGAAGATGAGGAGTTTGAAGAAGATCCAACTTCAAATGACATGTTGAACTTGACTAGACAGATGATCGAGATACGCAGTTTGCTTCTGAATGTCGATGGCTCGCACACTCTGAAGCTTCCTTCCATAGTGGTGATTGGGTCTCAGAGCTCTGGTAAGTCGTCGGTTTTAGAGTCTATCGTTGGGCAGGAGTTTTTACCCAAAGGCTCCAACATGGTCACTAGGAGACCGATTGAGTTGACCTTGATAAACTCTCCGGAACAAGCCTCCGAAATTGCAGAGTTTCCAGCCCTGAAGATGTACAATCTGACAGATTTTCAGACTGTACAGAAAGTTCTTTTTGACTTGAATATGGCCGTTCCTTTGAATGAAGCCATATCCAATGATCCCATTCAGTTGACCATCAAATCTCCCAGAGTCCCAGATCTCTCGCTCGTTGATCTACCTGGTTATATACAAATCGAGGCAGCTGACCAGCCGACAGAGCTGAAGACCAAGATCAGGGAACTATGCAATCGCTATCTGGAAAATCCCAACATCATTCTGGCAATATCTGCTGCGGATGTGGATTTGGCAAACTCTTCTGCGTTGAGAGCTGCCAAACAGGCCGATCCCAAAGGCGAAAGGACTATCGGTGTCATCACCAAGCTTGATTTGGTCACACCAGAAAGAGCAAAGGAAATTTTGACAAACAAAAAGTATCCTCTCAGAATGGGTTACGTGGGAGTGATTACGAAATCGCCCAGTCAAACATCGTTATTTCGCCGCAAGACGGGTATTCAGGCCTACGTTGCTCAGCAAAACTATGAATTCTCATATTTTAAAGAGCACAAATCCCAGTTTGATGGTACAAGCGTTGGGACTAGATTGCTGAAGAAGAAACTTATGAAGGTGTTGGAGAAGTCCATGGGAGAGAGCCTAAGGCCTATGTACTTGAATGTTCAGCAAGAGCTTGAAGAGACGGCTTACCAATTTAAAGTTGAGTTCAACGATAGGAGTCTCACTCCTGAAACTTATCTGGCAAGCTGTGTTGATATTTTGAAGGGTTCGGTGAAAGAGTTCAGCGAAAGATTTGGTAGACCCGAGCTCAGGTCTTTATTGAAGAGTGAACTGGATCAAAGAGTTTTAGATTTGCTAGCACAGAGATATTGGAATAGACCCGGTTCTCTGGAGTTGACGAATTTGGATGAACTGTCTGCTAGTAACTCGCAGGATGTGTATTGGCATCGGAAACTTGACCTTGCTTACAACTCTCTCACTAAGCTCGGAATAGGAAGACTTTCGACAGGCCTGATCACTGACTCAATCATGTCTGAGATTTCGAATCTGATTAGTGGAACCCCTCTGAGAAACCATCCTTTGATGTGCGATGTCATTCAGGAATGTGCTCTGAATGTTCTGAACAGCAAATTCTACTCGACTGCAGATCAAGTGGAGAACTGTATCAAGCCCTACAAGTATGAGATCGAGATTGAAGACAGAGAATGGTCAAAATCTCGGACCCATTCAGTCCAGCTCTTGAAGGAAGAGCTGAGACATTGCGATGGTGAGTTCAACGCTTTGAAGAACCATATTGGCGGCAGAAAGCTCAACCAAATAATCCAATACTTGGAGACTGGAGACAAATCCAAAGACGTTGAGTCGATAAACTTTTCGCCTCAACTGATTGAGCATGGTAAACATGGGGTCTTTCTGAAAAATAGAGCTGCTTTGATCAAGATGAGATTGACTGGCATCAACTCGAGCGCTTGCAAGTTCAAAGAAAACAAGTACAAATGTCCTGAGATTTTTATGGATGTTGTCTCAGAGAAATTGACCACCACCGCGGTGCTGTTCCTAAATGTTGAACTGCTAAGTGACTTCTACTATAACTTCCCCAGAGAGTTAGACATGAAGCTTTCTTCACTTACTAGGGACCAAGTTGAACAGTTTGCGAAAGAGGATACGAAAGTCAGAAGACACGTCGAACTACAACAGCGCAAAGAATTACTGGAGTTGGTGCAAAACAAGATTGAAGATGTTTTGTCATTGCAAAAATACAAGAATGGCAAATAGGTGGATATCTCTTGGTATCACTCCTTCTTCAAATGCTGGACAGGTATGGCGTGCTTTACAAGCTGGCCAATGATGTATATTTGAGCCAGAAAGAACACCAACGAACTCAAGAACAGTTCTCTGAAAACTGGAAGGCCCTGGAACTCCAGTTTGTATCCAAACAGCAACCATATGCCTTGCGATAATACCCACACCACAGTCATCTGGACTCCCTGCCATTTAGTCAAATCTGTGTTTTCAAGCAACAATGGCAAGAGACATAAGTACCAAATGAAATATTGCGACGTAATGACCTTGTTGAATGTGACAAATGTGAAAGTCTGTAGAAATAGCGTAGTTCCCATATCCATCCCGTTATACCAGAACCATAAAGGCAGCACCACCATCGACAAGCCCAACTGCGGAACGAAACTGATGAGCTTTTCCCAGGAAGCCTGGACCTGGCCACTCGACACGTGGTACATCAATTGGTTATACAGCGAAAAGTTGTGTCTGTGGTCAATTCTGCCCCAGTGATAGAGATAGGAATGTTCCAAGAACTCCCATCCATACATCCAGTACATGGCAACACCAAGCGACACGAAAGAAACCCCAACCGAGGCAGAGAATCGGAAATTCGGCCAACTCACAAGTCTGCTCTGCGACAGCAACAATGTTGGCACGTAGATAAGTGGGTATATTTTCAAGTGGATAGCCAATCCCAGAAGCAAACCTGAACCAATAGGCCTGCCTCTTTTCCACAGCCAAATGGATCCCAGAACCACCACCGTCAACAGACTCTCGGAGCTTCCTCTCGTGCTAATGGTGATTACCATTGGATTCAGAAGCCAGCAAATCGATACCACTGCTCTTTTGCTCTCGCCAGTCAAATCACACAGGATCCAGCCCGTGATCAGATCGCACACCACGAACACCAACTTTCCGAACGAAAACCACCATATATGGCACGGCACAAGCAATTGTGCCAATAACGGAGTGTATCTGTAAGTCTCACGTAAATACGGTGATTTTCCCTCGAGCACGTATTTCGAAGCGTCGGTAAACACGTAGTAATCGATATCCGTGTACTTGACCTCCATTGTGGCATCTTGGTATAATCCGAATGCGAAGAATGCTATTCGCAGTAGGAGGGAGGCCAACATAAGCCATTTAATTGGGATATGTGGTACTTTCATGGTGGTATCAAATTCAATGAAAATATAAGAAGTCCACTAATAGATACACCAATGATAGGCGGGTTATCAAGCGTGGAGAGATTGAAAAATCGAGCTTGTGATGCTCATCTCCGAAATTTTGAGCTTCACGCGATTTGAAGCCTGAAAGGTTCAAAACAGCAAAAACAAACCGGACGAATCCGTTGAAAAACTGAAAAATGGGTGTTCGTCAGAAATTGGACAAGTTCTATTACTACTATTTGTGAGTTTTGGCCAATGAAACATTGTATATGAGAAGCTTCTAACTCTAACTCTGCAACAGCATTCTCCATATTCCAATCACTGTCATTATCGATTCGTGTTTGGTAATTCCCCCAAACAGAAGGCTGGCACTTCAGCAAATTATATTTCAGTTTCACATCGAAACTAATAAAGATTATCTTCTGGTTAAGACTCCAGATTGGCTGTACTACTTCGGACTGTTCGAGCTGGTTTTCCAACTGCCCTTCTTCGTCTACGCAGTGCTCAATTTCACCAACGGGGCTTTCAAAAAGAGAACACACAATTATATCGCGTTCTATGGGTTTAATGCTGCCAGCACAACTCTGTGCTGTTTGTTAGACGTCTGGTTCCACGGGGAAGCCCATGGTCTCGTTCCAAGCGAAGTGTACAACCTCATTGGAGTATATCTACCAACATTCATAATTCCATCCTTGATGATGGTAGATTATTTAATTAGATGATCCATCTACAACGTCTAAACGAATCAGTTGTACTTTCCAATCAACTCGGTAGCAAGCTCAATGTACTGGGCCTCGGCGTCTTCTTGCGAAGTTCCCTTCAAACCTTCCCAGCTTTCCCACTTGTACTTCCCCTTGAAGTCAAAAACACCTGGCTTGGTGGTTTCGTTGTCGCCAACGGTGGCTTGCTTGTACAATCCGTACAGCTTCAAGAGCTCGTCGTCAGAGGGTCTCTTACTTAGAGAGGAAACGGCAGCAGCCTAGGAAGCAAACGAATAAGTTAGAAACAGTCCATAGCGGTTATCAATGCCATGTGTAACTTACTTTGTCAGTGAATTCTTGGGAGACCATTGTAATCAATTACTTTTCAGTAGTCGGGGGAAGGAACAAAGGAACAAACGTGTTTTTTTGGAGCCGATGCTTATGGCGCCTTTTCTCCGCTTTTACGAACACGTGAATTTGAGGTCGTGCTCTGGTAAAAACACTTTGTCGTGCCGTGCGTGATATATGTTTTCTTATATAATCTCTTACCTAATCCTTTCACCAATCAAATGTTTCAAATTTGGAAGCACAGTTACAACATAGTGATTCTTCTACCGGCTCTGTACCACATTTATTTCTCCCCATTCATCATGAGATTTACGAGATACCTGCTACAGGTGAAACCACAGGAGATTCTGGTCAAGGCTGCCAGTGGCAACCCAACGGGTTTGACGGGTATTTTCCAACATCCAAACCCACGTCCAGCTTTGATAGCCCTCTACAACGCAACTTTGGATAAGTTGAAGAAAGATTTCCCACAGGAGTCAGTCTACAGAACATCGGTTGAGACTTTCACCCAGAAGAGACTTGAGATAGTAGAGACTACTGATGTTGTTGAACAGATCGAGGCCAAGATCGGTGCGGGTTTGATTGAAGAAGTTATTATACAGGCTAACGAGGAACTAGAGTTGGCAACCAAGATGGCCGAATGGAAGCCTTGGGAAGAGTTGGAGGAGAAGCCTTTGGACGACCAATGGATTTACTTTGGTAAGAAGATTTGAATCTAGTATTTATAAGTTAAAAGGAAGATTCAAATTAATTATTCACGTATTGGACTCTCTTTGAAAATGATAGTAGCAGAAAGGTCGTGATGTGGCTCAAATTTGGACACTAGTATAAGACCGATACGAACGTTTGAGGACTAACCTCACGCGAAATTTTCAGAGCCAATTGATACTCGGCCTTGTTTCATGTTGTCAGTTGGGAGATTTCTTAAGCAAAGGTCCAAAATGTCGTTTGATTCAAAGCTTCCCCTGGTCTGGATAGACTGTGAAATGACAGGTCTGAACACCTTCACTGATAATATTATCGAGATATGCTGCCTGATAACTGATAAGGATCTAAACTTGATTGACGAGAAAGGATATGAGTCTGTGATTCATGTTCCTAAATCTAAGCTTGATGCAATGGACCAGTGGTGTCTTGACCACCATGGCGAAAGTGGACTCATAGACAAAGTGCTAGCTTCGTCAGCTACTAAAGAACAGGTTGATTCCGAGCTCAAGTCATATATCGCCCAATTCATGAGCCCAAGAGTTGGTGTTCTAGCTGGGAACTCTGTTCATATGGATAGAAATTTCATGATCAGAGAATTACCTGAGACTGTGGAGCATTTGCACTATCGCATTCTCGATGTGAGTTCTATCTCTGAGTTTGCTAAGAGACACAATCCTGATCTTCTGGCAAAGTGTCCTCCTAAACAGTACTCTCATACTGCTAGGGCAGACATAGAGGAAAGTATAGCACAAATGAGGTGGTTGAGGGATAATTATTTGATTGGCCCTGATGGCAAAGAATGAGATTTTTGTTTTTTTGGAATTTTGTACAAATTAAAGATTTGAAGAAACGGCTTTTTTAAGGGTTTCCAAGAATTTGTAGGAAATAAGAGGTTTGAAAAAAAAAGCTTCAAAATGTTGTTCTTGAAATTAGCATTGCCAAAATAAAGATTTTAGCTATAGTATACACAATTTTTCACTTAAGTAGCGAGCTTTCTCTTCTTCGAACCAATGTTGACTCTCTCAAGAATCCTTAAATAATCCTCTTCAAGTCTTTGGTAGGCAGTCTGCAGCTTATCCTTTCTCGTTGGAATATCAAGCTCAACCAGCGAATCTTTATTCTTCACATAGAGTCTCCTCTTGATCTTCAATCTGATCTCCTTGGTGCCAAATTCGTTCTTTAGCATAGCCATTTCTACCAATCTTGCAAACTGTCTCTTCTCCAGCTTCGTCTTGGAGATAACTTTCTTGATCCAAGCACTCACATCAAGTCCACTTGTAAAGTCATTTTCTTCGCTGAATACACCTTCTCTGTATAGTCTCTCCAGATCGCATCTGTCTCTGAGATCATCAAACTGTTCTGAGGGATCCTCAACACATATCTCCAGAACTTGATCGTCTTGAAGAAACTGTTCTACCATTCCACTGTACAATTCTCTTCCATGCCCCTTTTGCTGATATGGTGGAAGGATCACAAACTGCGAGATTTTCTTGCGGATCTTGAGGTCCAACACATCGTTCTTCAACGCAACTAAATCGTGCTTCTCCATGGACTCGAAGTACCAATATGAATACACTGTCGAGAATCCAACAAATGAGGGCTTCTCCCCACTAGTCTTGTACACAAGATAAATCTCCCATACCGGGTCAGTCTCGTCTATGTAAGAAGCGGCCTCAATGAACAGCAGAACAAAAATCCGAATTCTCAGATGTAGCTTCGAAGCCTCAGACAACGTGCTCTTGTATATAGAAAATTCTTCATCACCTCTGTGATATGTTTTAATCTTTGTTCCGGGAATCTCAAATTTATCTGCTTCAACGACATCCAACCATTTGTTCTCATCAGAGATGATGGTTTCTTTAGGCAGAAACTCCAACAACTTGGCCTGAACGTCAATGATGTCATCATGATTCTCCAGCTTAGAGCTATATGTGACTGACAAGAAGGGAAACAGAGCGGCACAGTCGAAAGCAAGCGCGATCTTCAGGTCCTTATAGCCAAATATTTGTTCAGAATCACCAAACACGGGATATGTGAAAGCAGGACGAAAACTAAAAGCACCTTGAGGTTCAGCAAGCGATATCTGGAGTGCATCATTGGACGATACTGTCCACTTATCCGGATCAAACGACATTGTATTGAGGAAGTGCGCACCAAAAGTTGGAAAGGTATTTGAAATATTTAGCAAGATTGAGAACGCGTCAGGTAGCTATTGATTATTAGAGTGTATGACTCAAAATTGCGCCGCAAAGCCAATGACAATGTTCTCTGCATTTTCCAACTGAAATGAAGATGACTGGCCTATATACACCAGTCCTTTGGTTGCAAGAAGCAAGACACCACTCAATGTTGTAACTGCAACCTTTCTGGAACACCGGGAGGGCAGAATTTGTCGCAAAGTAATGGTTCCCTCGTTCGCGCGTTTGGCTATGTGTCGATACAGATTTCTGGCGTTGGGCTCCATGCTGTGCAAAATTGGGTTGTCCTCAGTATATGAGTCCTCATCAATGGCCTCTTCCAAAGTATCAAATCGTCCCCTCGGAGCTCGTGAGCTTGATCTGGATGATGTAGTAGAAGAATCCCTGTTTCTCACAAGCTCAGAAACCAGATCAAAACTGGGTGTAAATGGATCAAGATCAATCCCTGGTCCTTGCAATTCAAACTCGGGAAGCTCGACGTGCAATGTGTCAGTAGTAGTACTTGATTGTGTGGAACTGCGTCTAAGTCTTCTGGCATTTTCAACTTCAGAAGATACTGTCGAATCGAGCAACAACGCTGGACGTTGAGGTAACTCAAATTGCGGAAGCTGATTAAGCTGCCCCAAGATCTGGTTGATTTTTATATCAGTCAATTTTGGCATCTTCCGCTTAGCAATGTCAACCATTAGATTAACATAATTTACTCGGGTGTGTCTCAGATCCTCAAAAGACAAGTAAATAGACTTATCGAACGTGAGTCCTACCCTTCTCCGCTTGGAGGGTGCCATTGGCTTCGCCGGAATATTCTCAGGTTCATTCACAATGAGAGGATCAACAGCCCTGGCTGTATCAAAATGATGCTCCATTGTCAAATCTCCACCAAATGTAAAATTGAGCTCTTCGTCGATCGGCTCAAACTCAATATTGAGATCTAAATCGTAATCCGCTTCTGTCATTGGGAGAGAACTCACATCCGCTTCTACAGAACTGGTTCTTGTCAACCTTCGAGCCCTTCTGAGATTTTCAAGTTCCCGATCCTGGGAATGATATTCAAATGATACGTTAGTGAGATTTTCAGGAGTCAAGTCCATAACTTCACAGTTGAGCAGGTCAATGGCGAAGTTGGGGTCATCTTGTAGAAGCTGTTGACGCGTTTCCATCCCGGTTGTAACCACATTTTTGGACCCATTATCGCCAATTAGATGGACACGAAATTGAGCTGTATCACCTTGCAAAAGTTAGCATGCGCGTTCAAAAATATATTCACAATGATTCGGTCTTCATTACGATACACGTATTCGACCTGCTTCTTGTATACCAGGGTAACTCCTAACAAGAGACTCGAGGCGACTCTAAGTGCCACGGGGTCGATTATTTCAATTTCCTTGCAAGCTCGTGATATTTCAAATTCCTGGATTTTGTTCTTCGAAAGCTGTTTGTTTAAAGTGGAGAGGAGCCTTAGAAAGTTAGTTATGGCAAAATCGGACACGACAAGACAAGACAAGACAAGACAAGACGAAAAGTTGATCCTGCCAAAGCCAGCAGCTAAAAAAATTATACCCACCACAAAGAGGCAATTCCATCGCTACTTCCCTTGATTAGCTCAATCATTGTGTGAATCTCGAAAAGAAGAACGCGTAACAAACCATTCTGGGGAGAAGTTACGATAACGACATTGTCGTGTGGCGCCCCAGAGATAAGCACAATTTGAAAAAATAAAGGCATAAAACAGTCAAGATAACGAATACGTTAGTACAAGGAGATAACAGACCATGGAAAATCTAATTCATCAATCATCGTCTAGACCGTTCAAACTATACACACAGATATCGTCCCACATATAGACAAAATACCACATAAAACAATGCCAGACCAGGTAATTCTCCTCTTCCAAACGCCAAAGGTGTCGCCAAGTAGGATCATGTGGAAATACAAAGGAAGAATAATGCAGATTAGAATGCAAATGGCACTTCCTATCAGGGACATGATCTTTCCGAATTTTGAAAAGACGAACGACAGAATCAGGAAAACAGCGCTCAGAAAAAACCGACCCAGAATAAACATTGCTCTGTGATTATGGCTGGTTGGTTCTATCTGAGGATCAATTAGAGGCTCAGTTTCAGAATTCCGTGGTTTTTGTATCATTGCATCCCAGATACTCAAAATTGGACGAGAAACAAGAGGCAGTTTGGCCAATGGAATGAAGCAAATCAGCGACATGATGAGCGTTTTCACCCATTTGGGAAGACCCTTGTTCAGTAACAAGTTTTGCGTGATCTCATCCAAAACTCCTTCTCCATACATGAGGAACCCAAGAGCACCAATAACGGCATCTGTGGTGTATGCAAATGCAAACGTGATATCCACACATGTTGGATACTTCGACTGCGAATGCATATCCCGTTTGAGCTCAGGAAAAATCACATGACCACCCCAAGGAGCCATGAATATGCCCAGAGAGACGAAAAATTCAACCCAACTGGAGGGCCACAGATTGGTTGCTACCGGAGATAGTAACGAACCAGGGGGAGATGATTGCAACAGTCCACACACAAACACCAGGACAACTACCGCACTGGTGCACAGAATTCCCAAAAAGCTGAGAAAAGACAGTACACTCAATGGTAGAAAATTGAGAAAAAATAGCAACGAACAGATTGCTATTTTCCACACCCTACCACCCATTGAGTCGGCAAAAAGAACAACCATAGAGACACCAGCACCCATAAGGTCAAGTAAAAACGTGCATTTGATCAGCCGGTTGAAGTTCTGCCCGACGACAAGAGCACCGATGTCGCTATATGTGTTTAAATCAGGATACCGGTCTAATATTCTACCCAGCAATATAGCAGTATATCTGGTAGCCAGAGCAGCACATGTGAAACAAAAAAGGCCCAGCACCCAGCCTGCATAATGAAAGCCCAAGGGCAAAGAAAGAAGTCCCAATCCTATTAGTACGTTGATAGCATTAAAAACAGTTTGAGAGGGGGTAGACCTCAGACCACGGATGCTTTTCACGCTGGAAATTGCTTCTGAACGAACCGAAGTCGCTGGAGAAAGCTGCTCAAAATCAACATAGCCATAATTAGAGGATCGTCTCAATGAGGAAGCAAACCCGGCCACAACTTTCGAATCCGGCATCTCTTGCGGGTGGAGAGCTAGCTAGGCGAGAGCTTTTTGACAATGCCGAGTCGATGTAACCGCACGCAGCCAATTGACACGCTGTTGATATGGCAGACGAAGCCGAATGGGGTAATTCTGGTTATGTAAGATCTAATGCAAGATAAGAAACAGTTTATGCAAGCACTCGCACGTATATTATTTCACTATGCTCTTGTTATTTGTAGTACTCTTCGATAACACTTGTGGGCATCGTATACTTTCCGCTGGGCTTGTAATCGAACTCATATCCGAAACCCTTGGGCCCACCGTTCTCAATGGCCCTCTTGGTGTCCGTCCATCTGTTGCTTGGAGCAATGACAAGCACGAACACTAAAAGACCGTACCTGTAATCCTGAGTACCCAGAGCTTCGCCCGTATCTTTGTCGTTGACAGAAATCAAATCCGGTACAGAGGCCACGATCTCTTTTACACCATCAAGGGCCTTTTCACAGTAGATATTCTCGTTCTTGAATGGAATCGTCAGAGTTTCGGATCTGTCATCGTTCTCAATGTCTATCTCACCATAAACATGTCCTTTGAACAATTTCTTCTCAACTCTGACGATTTTACCTTTGAAGATGCACTTTCCCGACTCACAGCCACCAACAGCATCGATGATGATCTCTGGCAAAGCCTCAACCTTGGATTCTTGTCTGGCGATGTGAACTGCCCGGCCAATTTTCCACGACAACGAGCATGAGTTGAGAATAGACCTTTCAGCAATATCCTCGTTGTTAATATAAGTGACCGCACCGCAATGGGCACCTATTTCAGCCAGAGACGCCCGGAAAACTTTCTCCAGTAGCACATCATTGGCGGCCTCAGGCATGATGATTGTATTTCCATTACCATCAGAAAGACACCCTGGGGTAAAAACAGTTTTATCGCTATATGCCATTGGAATCATTTGCCAAATTGTTGGGTATGCTCTTCCCATCAGATCACCATCAATGCATGGGACTCCCAGCTCGGCCGCTATCTTGAGCCCGGTCAGGCCGTTTCCTCCACCAATCTCATAAGAAAGAGTAGCAAATGGTTCACGACCAGTGAAACGGGCCAACATCTTGTAAGCATCAAACATTTCAACACCAGCTAACTGCTCGTACGCAACAGTTGGAGAGCCTGCATAGCCAACTGCCAAAACGCATCCTTCATCACCTTCTGGTGTGTACTTCGATATGGCACTGGGTTCGATGATTTTCACCTCTTGCCCCGATCTGATAATGTGTCTGAGAGCAAGCCAATGGTGGTATGGAGTTCCTCCACCACCACAGCCGAGGATGTAGGTTCCAATTCTCAAGAACTCTGCATCCACCTCAGACAAAATCCACTCCTTTTCGGAGTTGATGTGAGGAACATACGTCTTAGCATCGAATTCAACCTCCACATGCGTGATTTTGTCATTGGAAAAGGACGAGTCCTTAACAACGTGGCCACCAGTCTCAATTTCACCGTCGTTCGCCGATTCAGCAGATGTTAGCTGAACATGCTCGTAGTCCACATCTCCAATGACTTTCACCAGGAACTCAATTGTATTAGGAACATATGGAATAGGGTTCACAAGCAAATCTACCGTTACCACAGTATCACGCAAAGCTCCCTTAGCAACAGCTTCTTCTAAAGCTTGGGCCTTAAGCTGCTCCAAAACAATATCTTTGTCTTCACCAGGCTGAATATGCTTGATGGTCTGGACTGTTGCAGAGATCTTCCCAATGGCAGCACCAATGGCATTGACAACTCCGAAGTATGGGGGTCTCAGAACAACAGAAGCACCATCTAAATGATCAGGAGCAATAAAGGAACCTCCTCCGACAAGTAGAACGGGCAACGGTTCGGGAGACGTCTTCATCCTATCTATGACCCTTTCCATCATTGCTTTCAGTTCTGCAGTGAACATGGCCTTGGTCTTCTCGTCAAACTTTCCCCTGACCAGATCGGGATTACCCACTTCATAGAGAGACTTGTCCCTAATCGAAACATCATCCTGTCCAATTGCAACGGTCACATCTGTGGCAGTGGTAATTGAGCCTTCAAACACCAAACCGTCCTTGATGATGTTAGAGCCCACAGAGTCGGGGCCAACGGAAATCTCATTCTCTGAGACTCTCACACGAGAACCACCTCCCAGACCAATGGACTCAACCTGAGGCATAGAGAAATTTGTTCTGACGCCTCCCAGAAGCGAATAGGCCGAGGACTGTCTTGGAAACCCGGTGGGAAGCAAAAGTCCCACATCGGTGGTGGTCCCACCAACATCAACCACAATTACCGACTTACCCTGAATCGCCTTCTCTTTGGAACAAAGAAGGGCCGCTCCTCTCATTGAGTTTGTGGCCCCGGAAGAAAAAGTTTTCACAGGCGTTCTAATGGCCTCCTCGGTAGACAGAACGGTTCCATCGTTCTGGGTAAGCATCACCGGACATGATAAACCCAAGCTCTTCACAGCGCCCTTGAAAGAAGCAATAATCTTCTTAGCAAATGATATCACAGCTGCATTGAGAATTGAAGCGTCTTCTCTTTCAATAAACCCGATGGTGGAGACCGTATGGGACATGATCACGTCGGCACTGGGTATGATCGATCTGATGATCTCGGCGGCCCTCAGCTCATGGTCTCTGTACATTGGTGAAAACTGTCCATTCACGACAATTGCATTGATACCGAGCTCTTTGATCTTCTCAGCGTGATTTTGGAGTCCTTTCACGTCCAATGGCCTCAATTCAGTGCCGTCCACACGATGACCACCATCAAGCAGAGCATGGTATCCATTCAAGATGTGGGCCAGACCAGCTGGAAAATCAGAAAATGGCAGTGCAAACTGCGAGAAAGGTCCTGCCAATCTTATCACAGCTACTCTCTCGAGTTTGGCCCTATCTTGCTCTACAACAGCATTGATAAAGTGGGTGGTGCCTATGGTAACACTGGCAACCTCTTGCTTTGAGATGTCTGGTCTTTGCTCGAATAAATTTGCAATTGCTTTTTGAATCCCATCACTCACATCCAACGTGGTTGCTGACTTATGGAACGCCAAAACTCCCGAGTCCTGGGACTCCAGCTCCAAAGGGTTGATAAGAACGGAATCAGTGTTGGTCCCACCAACATCCACCCCGATAAGCAGACTCTTTGATTTGGTCATTATTGGTTCTTGCACGGATGGCTAAAGCACTTAGCATGCTCGCAAGAATTGACCTCCTGCATTGTTACTGGTATATATCTCTCTGCACCAGAACCGGCTCAAGCCCTTCTTGTGTTTTATATCTAATCTATCTGTCGGGGAAAGTGGCTCGTGATTGGCTCGAACGGCATACCCGTATCGGGCATCCTGCGATGAGCATGGAAACAGTGCAGGTGATTACGCGATTGCGGGATACTTCCAATTGGATTCGTGATGAGGTTGTCGTGATATATTGGGTATTTGATATCTGCTGCTGGCTTTGAATTTTGAATATCATAGGCATTTTTTACGGATCTTTGGTGGGTCATGGGTTATATTTTCGGAAGATCAGAACGTATGTCTATAGAGACTACGTGAGTCTTGTTGTATTGCTCATAGGTTTCCTGCGCACAGTTTACCACTTCTCTTCCCTGATACATTACATTGAAATACAAAATGTTGAATTACAAATCTTAAATGACAAATTCTGGATGAATTATACAACAATAACGACTCTATGTTCAGTTTTACTTGAGCGAGGTTATTTGGCGACAATTGATTGAGGATGGTCATTTGAGGATTCTTCTTTGGAAACTGTTATAACAAGGGAAACTTTCGATGACAATTACTCAATCACGTTTATTCAATGACAGTTATATGATTACCATCCAACGTCTAACTAACAAAAATATCCAAGCGCAGGACCCAAAAACAAATCTAGCTCAACTGGTTCACCTTGATCTCAGCCATGGCCTTCTCGTTCTCAACAGAAGATGAGGCTGCTGCAGACTCCAAAGTGCCCATGTCTTCGTGGGGGATGATGTTGAACTTTTTACACTCATCCAGGGTAAAGGTGCCAAACTGGTCGTACTCGTCAACCTCACCTAGACCTGGTGGTGGGAAAAAGTGATTGATACCGTAATGGATCACGAACGACACGATGAAACCATAGATATAGGCGAGATAATAGAGATGCTGGGCCCCCAGAGGAATCTTGATTTTCTCATTACAAGCATGAACGAAACCAGGCATGAGAGGAGCAAACCCAATGACCCATGCAACAAAGGCTCTCCAGTTGTAGCCACCGTTGAACCAATAGATAGAGGATGGTGTTGGGTTGAACAAATCGCTGAGCTTGATCTTCCTCTTTCTGATGATCCAGTAGTCACAGCACATGATACCAGTCATTGCTCCCAGCAGAACGGAGTAAGCAGACATCACGTTAATGAAAACACTAGCAGTGGAGAGCAATTGCCATGGGTTCATACAAATGGCCAAAACCAGTCCCAGATAGGCACCTCTTCTCAAAGTGAAGTATTTGGGGAACAAACCAGAAATATCCATGCCTGCGGAGAAAGCGTTGTCGATGGTATTGATGGCCAGCTGGCCTGCCAGCAAACCAACACCACAGAAGAAGGAACCGGCACGCGATTTTGGGTTGTAATCATCGGCCATCCATTGCGCACAAATAAGGGGAGGATTCCATATTCCACCGGTAGAAGGCCAGATCTTGGCAGTGGCCGAGGTAGTGAGCATTCCCATAAGAGGAACAATGTTACCATAGAAGAGGATGGAGAAGACTTGGCCGTAAACCTGGTCACCAGAAGTTTTGGCAAAGCGGTTATAATCTGGCTGATTCGTCAGACCGACGGCAATGGTTCCGATAACCGTCTTGATACCTGCAACAATTGCCCAACCCTTTTCAGAGGACGTGGTGGCAGCTGCAGTTGCAGAAAGCAAAGGACCAGCACCGTGGGCATCCCACAAACAGTAAACCATCATACCAAACAAAGTCGCCCCGAGCATCGTGTTCAATGTCGTGAGCAGTCTTTGCGACCTTTCAGGTGGCATATAGATCATGAACACCATCATCACACAGTACACCACGAAACCAACAAATTGTTTGGTAGTCATGTGGGTGTTCTCAGGCATGGTGTTCTTCATGTGCTCGAACGAGGGGAAGATCGAAGACAAAATCACAGAAACACACAAACCACCGGTCCATGATTGCGTCGACAACCAGACGACACCCAACATGATTCTCTGGACAATGGCCAGGTAAGAACCCTTCATACCCCAGATATAACGAGAAACAACCGGGAAACCAATGTGATAATCGGCACCAACATATCCGTTGAAGACAGCCATCAGCGCGATGATAAATCTACCAATGATGTTGGACAGCATGGCCATCCACACCGAATTTCCGATCGAGATCAGAGTGGACCCAACCGTGTAGTTGGAGATACACAGGTTGTTAATGGCCCAGAAACCGGCAAATGTCCATTTGTCCCAGTTTCTTCTATTAGGTGGAAGAGGCACGATATCCTTGTTAATCCACTGGGAAGGGGTGACTTCGCCTTCGGCACCCTTGAGCTTGACGAACTCGTTGACTCTGTGCAGGAATGACATTATGCCCAGGGTACAGAATCTGAAGAAAAGGAGAGAAGAGAACGTCTACGAAAGGGAGCAAAACAATGGGAGGGCCCCGATTGTATATATATATATGCTCGACTGGTATCTACCGCGATAATGGCATGGTTCCCGGCTGAAACTACCCTTGCAATCAACGCACTGACATGTTGGCTCGATAAGAAAAACCTTCGAAATATTTCCGATAACGTCCCGTAGAGGTTATGAGCGCCTGAACCGTCCTTTCGATGTCGGCGCCAACGTGATGTGATTGGCCTGAGGTGCAGATAAGATAAGCGATGCCCTGTCCACAGGCAATGCAATGCTACGTCTGAAAGTTGGGTCTCTAGAGGCCTGCCGCTTGGAAACGCCAGATGTCGGAGCTGGAGGTGGAGTCATCGGAAGCGCGAAATATCAGCCTCACGCTAGCAGGGCTCTGAGTGGTTCAGATCGCGTATACTGAGATCTTCTCGTCCCCATCTACCTGGGCCAATCACACTCAAGATACGCCGTGAAATGATTCAACAGGTTCTCATTCCAAAGAAGCGCAAGTTCTCAAACAGTCCGTGCACACAATGCGTTATATCTGACCTTGCTTGCGATTCACAGCTTCCTTGTGGAAGCTGTGAAGCTCGACATGTCTCGTGTTACTGGCTGCCCAAGATGAAGAGAAGGAAGTCTGTACCAGCTAGTTCACCCGTCGCGGCGGATTCTTTTTCCGAAGCCGTGAATATCAAAGAGTTAAAGGTTGAGGATATTCTGTGCCATTGGCAGAAAAAGTCGTCCTTGGAAAATATACCAATTCCGCTTCCCCCAATCTTCTCGTCTCCATGCTGTCCAGCTTACCTGGATACAGTAACGTTATCGGTGACTGCCAAAGGACCTTGGTCTTCGCTTGGCCCTGGAATCGTTGCCAAGGGCAACACACAACAATGGGATCGCGCTTTAGCCAAGTTATTGCCAAAGAAATCGCAATGTGATTTGCTGATCAAGCACTACATGGAGGAGATCTCATGGATCTACCGAACGATGCACTTGGCGAGTTTCTGCGAAGAATATGAGAAGTTTTGGGCCTCAAAGGTGAAGGACATGGATACAGCCTTCATCGGGTTGATATTTTCGATGCTGGCTGTAATTTCGCTTTTTCTACCGCAGGACAAAATCTCTGGAGAAGGTTACTCGGTGCTGGAGCTCAGGAAATTGTCTAGTCTATGGTATCATGGATGCCGACAGGCGATGATTGTTTCTGGTTTCGAGATGAAACCCAATTTAACTCATCTTCACACATTCTCGGTCCTGCAAACATATTTCTACGCAATCAACGATAGCAACACTTTGCACTCATTACTGGGCCAGGCGGTGGTGTCTGCCCAGATCCTGGGACTCCACGATGTGAAGCAACCATCCGACGAGAACTACGATCGTATTGACTACGAAATCAGGAAGCGTATTTGGTGGGACCTCTGCTCATGTGATACGTACCAAGCGTTTTGCATGAGTAGACCTCCTTTAATCAGGTGTACATCTGCTGTTACGCCTTTACCTTCGAACTGCCACGATTCGGAGATCACTAAATGCTCTATCAAGGTGCGACCCATGAGTGAGCCCACCTACGTCTCTGTCACGATTCTTATTATCCAACTAATGAGAATCTGCAATCATTTGTGGGAGGAGAATGGAGTGTATACCACGGACATCAACAGAGTCATAGAGGTGGATAAAAAGATGAACCAGCTTTTGGAGCAGCGGCCTTGGTATCTTCAATTCTTACCTGATGGCTCATTGCCAAAGTTGCCGGAGGCTGAAAACATGCATCTTGTACACTGGCAATTTCAAAACCTGTACAGTTGTATCATGACTCAAAAACTAAGAATGTTCAGAGTTTACCTCTCACCCAGGAATCAGTATGCTTACAACGCTTGTGAAGCAGCAATTCACTCAGTATTTGATGTTTATGATCAACTAAGAAAAATCCCAAATATTGAAGGCACATCCACGTTTTTAGTGCAGGGGTATCAAACGTTTTCCGGAGCTGTTGCTCTCAGTGCTTTCTTACTCGTCGAACAGCCCCACAATGCAGACGATGTCTTTGAGGAAGTTGCCAGATTACTTGAAGACATGAAGATTCGCAAGCTCAGTGGTGTTGAGCATCCTGTTGTGACTCAAGGTGCCAAGATAATAGCCAAAATGATGGATATTTTGGGAAAGAGAAAGCTCGTGTCTGACAATGCAACCAAGCAATCTCTGGTGGGAATCTCAAATAAGATATACACGGTATTTGGAGGGAAAGTTGTGGCCAAGTCTTATGTTGATCGTGCTAGTAAGAAGAGGGATGTGACTCCGGTTGCTGTAGGGCCAGCCGCGAGAGTTCTGAGAGAAGAAGAGGTTGAGTCTGCGAGTAACTCGCCTCATACCTGGGCAGCTTTCAATGAAAAAGGACTTTTGAACAATCTGGATTGGAGTTTATGGGAATCGTTTTTATTGGATGAACCAGCAGAAGATTCTAGGGTGAAAGAAGAGGGTTAAGAGGAGAAGAAGCAAATGGGAAAGCACGTCTAACGAAAGTTTGGAACTCTAGAGGAATTATTGATCATTTTGTATGCATTCGTGTTTGATTATTATACTCTTTATATACTTATTCTCGATTTCCTCGCTATTTATTACCTCTCCAACTGTCCTGAAAAATCGCTTCCCACTCATTCCAGTTCCACTTGCCCCAGAGATTATCAAGGTCTATCCATTCCATGCACTCCTCATCGTCCATAGGCATCATGTCATCTTGATTTTGAACGTTATTTTCATCACGACGTTGGTCCAAATAGTCTTGAACCTTCTGGTGGCCTCCGAAGACAAAGTAAATATCGTCGCCAATGAGTTTCGAAGGTTTGGGCAACAATTGGCCCTTGGTCTTGTGTCTTCCAAGATCATAAAATTCCAAAAGCATTCTCAAAATTCGAAGACCGTCAATAATCACTGGGGTGGTCAATTTCTGTTTTTCGTGCATTATTTGAAGATCTGATATCACCAGTTCAATTGTCTCTTTGATCTGAGGAGCAGATCGTGGTCGTTCGATAAGAATGAAAATAGCTTGAGCAGTAGCAGCAGAGAAAAGCTGATAACCGTTCTGCAAAAATTTCCCATTAGAAGTCGAAATTTGAGGCCTCAGTTGAACATACACTTGCAGCACCTTGGAAGCCGCATCTAGACATGCCTCGAAAGAGTAGTCGATCCGGGGACTAAGAAAGCTCCGGTGCATTCTGAATCTCTGAGTATATATGCAACTCCATAAGAAATGAAATTGCCAATAAATATCTGATCGTATTCCTTTGGGGATATATGGCAATTGCCCTTCCTTGGTGAATGTAAAGAACCAAGGTAATGCTCCCACAAGCTGTTCGATCTCTTTGTCGATCTGCTGAACGTTTTCGGGAGTGTTAATGTATTCTCCACTGGAAGTCCATAATCTGTTCCAAATCTTCATGAATCTGATCATGTAATAATTGGAGGCCATTCTCAAAGGCTCGGTCAGAGGTCTTGCCGTAACAGAGTTCTCGGTGATATCGTAATCGTTGCAATAGGTGGGCAATGGAGAGGTTGAATTAGCACACGAGATCAAGGGTGGTCTTGTCAAACATAAAGACTGGTAGGTATCGGCAGCACATAAGTCCCACCATAATCTTTTCCTCATTTCAGTCTCAATAAAACCTTTGCAAATTGTTTGCTGGTGGATATCCAACAGCTGGGCCGCAGCTATGCTCTTGCTGAGATACGAGTTCAATAGTTGAACGTTCTTGGTTGCAAAAAGATACGACTGGAGCACCAGAAAAATCGTTATTTGTTTCATTGACGGATTTTTGTCAATGTCATATGCATACATCGCCTGTAAACAGCAATTGAACCAAATTTTGGACATGTCTCTGAGATAAGTTGGCTCGACATCCAGCCGTTCGCTTAACCCCACCGAAGCCTCGTGAGAAGTGGTGCAAAGCATAGCAAATACCAATCCTATATCCAACAGGTCAACTTCAGAGGTAGGCGTGGTCCATAGCTGGTGGTATTGTGTATAGAAAGAGGGCTCGTGGACGGCATTGTAAAGATACTGGTAACTATCAAAGAACTCGTTGATCAGGGTATCACATTGATACTTGCTCGGAAGCAGTCTCACCAGATGCAAAGTCCAAACAGCACCACAAGTATCGTTCTTTTCTGAATAGTATAGAGAATGAAATGAATTGTTGCTCAGGGCATCTACCATGGTTTGGTCAGCGAAATCTTGGTCTGTCTGGAGTAGACTCCAATCTATGTTCTGTGCCTTGAAACTGGGCGAATCGGTGCAGCTCATGGCTGAAAGTCTTCGATCGCTTATAAATCGTCCTGGAGGGTTCTTGCGACATTCATCACCTGTATTGGCCCTAGTGCAGGCAGAACAAGGCAGATTCCTGTCACATTTCATCTTATGAATTCTGCATCTTCTGCAACTGGTGCCCTTCTTGATAGAGGCCACCATAGTTGAAGCCAAGATCTTTCAGTACAGCAAAGCCTCAAAAATCGTGGTTTGAACCAGACGAGCACCCCCACCAAATCACCGATTCTAGTATGCAACAAGATTTCCCAGGCCCAAAACGAACAATTACCCGAAATGCGATTGTTAGTAACAATCAATTGAGATCTCAATTTTTTATTGATCGTTATCGCGCGGGTCCATGCACCAGATGCGCCATGCCTTCTGCAGCGACCAATCACAGGCCGTTGGCCCCGAAATGCGTTCACGCACGCACCATGAGCTCGTTATCGTTTTCAGATCAAGCACAACAAGCGGATGTGGTAGATAAAGTTGGGTTACTGGAGAGGTGCAAAATTGAGCAAAATGGTTAGCAGAGTAGCCTTTTTCTGTTTGCGCTATCAGCTTGATTGTGTTTGGCTTGCGTTTGGCTTGCGTTTAGTTGATTATATTGGGTAAACCTTTCTGACGTTATACCGAGCTTGTTAACACACCAAATGACAAGAACGCTGCTTATTGGTGTCGATGTCGGCGGAACCAACACGGACTCTGTGCTTTTGAACCCAGAAGATTTTGACAAGGAAAACAGAGGTGTTCTGGCTTGGTACAAATCTCCAACTACCAGTGATGTTTCCGTGGGAATTGAGAACGCCATAGACACTCTGTTCTCTAATTGTTCTGCCAGCAAGTTCGAAGTTGCCAGTGTCACGATTGGAACTACTCACTTCATAAATGCCGTTGTCGAGCAAGATAGGGCAAGGTTGGACAAGGTTGCAGTTTTGAGACTCATTGGGCCATATGCTGCTCATGCTCCACCCTTTGGAGGATGGCCCGAAGGATTGGCCAAGATCACCAGAGGCTACGTCAAATCTTTGGATGGCGGTGTCTATGTCGATGGAAGAGAAGTTAAGCCGTTGAATGTTGCACAGATCAAGGAAGCCATTTCTGAGGTCAAGGCTCTCGGTATCAAGGCCGTCGCCATAGTAGGGTTGTTCTCTCCAATGTCCCATACCCACGAGGATACGGTTGCGGAGATGGTCAAGAAGGAGATTGCTGGTGTCAACGTTGTTGTATCTCACTCTGTTTCTGGGATATCGTTTATCGAGAGAGAAAATGCCACCATTTTGAATGCCTCCATCATGGGATTCGCAAAGAAGATCATCACCTCTTTCCGGGCGGCCGTACGAAGACTCGGGATGAATTGTCCGGTAATGTTGACTCAGAACGACGGAACCATCTCACCGGCTTCAGAGGCGATGCAGATACCCGTGCGGTCCTTTTCTTCAGGTGCTACAAACTCCATGCGTGGGGCCTCGTTTCTATGCTCCAAGGAAGCTGAAACTGTAGGGAAGTCCGTGCTTGTGGTGGATATTGGTGGTACCACAACAGATGTTGGCTTGTTGCTTCCTTCTGGTTTCCCAAGACAGTCCGCTTCATATTCGGATGTGGGCGGAGTGAGGACCAACTTCTCAATGCCCCATGTCGAGTCCATCGGTCTTGGTGGGGGCTCTATCGTGAGAATCAACGGAACTGACGTCACCATCGGTCCAGACTCGGTCGGGGCAGAGATCACCAAGAAGGCTCTAATTTATGGTGGCTCAGTAGCCACTACCAGTGACATGACCGTAGCTATGCTGCAGGACCAAGGTTCTGATCTTCAGTTGCTGGGCACTCCCAAGCTGGTTAAAGGCAAATTCAATGGCGACATTCAAAAAGCTTACTCCGCTGAGGTGAAAGTTCTGCTGGAGACTGTTCTCGACAGAATGAAGACTTCTCCTGAGCCGCTGCCGGTATTGTTGGTTGGAGGTGGTTCCATCATAGCACCTGACCACCTGGAGGGTGCGTCCGTAGTACTCCGTCCACCATATTTTGGAGTGGCCAATGCCATTGGTGCGGCCATTGGAAAGCTGTCGTCCAGTCTACAAACTATCAAAAAAGTGAGTCCTGGAAGCGACAATAAGGATGAAATTCTGACAGAGCTGAAGGCCAAAGCCGTTGACGATGTTGTAGCCAAAGGTGCCAGAAGAGAAACTGTTGTCATGGCAGACTACAGTGCGTCCCCAATCCCTTACGTCTTGAACACCATTATGTTCACGGTCAAAGTTGTTGGAGAGGTTGACTATGAGACACTCACTTATGCTGACTCGCAAGGTGATGGCCTTGCTGACTGCACAGTTGGTGGTGGCGAGATCGTGAAGGACTCCAGTTTCAAAGACGATGCTACCGTGGCCAAGACAATTGACATCAAGACTTATCGCCCCACAGTCAATAGTAAGAACCAATGGATTCTCAGTCTGACGGATCTCGAGTTTATTCGCACTGGTGTCTACATTCTTGGGTGCGGTGGTGGTGGTACTCCGTATCCCCAATACCTAGAGTTAAAGGCCATGCTGGAGAAAGGCGATGTCATCAGGTTGGTAGATCCTAAGAATGTTCAGGAATATTCAGACAAAAACCATGATACCAAAGACGTGGTTATCGTTGGGTTTCTGGGCTCACCAACTGTAGCCGAGGAACAGATCCATGGTAGCGATCTGATGGACGCCTACAAGTTGCTTGTTTCTGAAACCAAGCAGGAGGCCAACCTGGTCATTGACTTTGAAATCGGTGGTGCCAATGGCATGAGAGGTTTGTTTTTTGGGTCGTCATCCCAGTTAAACGTCCCAGTGGTGGACGGTGATCTCATGGGTAGGGCGTATCCATACGTGTACCAAATCCTTCCAACAGTGTACTCTGACTCGGCCGTTTACGCACCATCGGCCATGTCCGATGGTAATGGCAACAACCTTGTGATGAAGGATGCAATCAGTGATTTCATGGTAGAGAGCGTCTACAGAGCCTCATTGGCCGAGATGGGTGCACATTGTGGAACTGCAGCATACCTTTCCTCCAACCAGGTGGTAAACCATAGTGTTCACAACTCCTTTTCGCTAGCATGGAGGATCGGCCGTGCCGTACACATTGCCCGTATCTCCTCGGAAATTGACCATCTTCCTCAGAAGATCATCGATGCTGTTGGTGGAAACAACACCGCCAAGCACATGTTTTCTGGTAAAATTGTGGGAGTCGAAAGAAGGCTGTTCAAGGGCCATGTCTACGGTGAATGTTTGATACAGGATGCCAACGACGAGTCCAAATATCTGAATGTTCCTTTCAAAAATGAGAACATTCATGCTGAGCGCCGTGATTCTCCAACCTCGAAGGGCGAAATTATAGCATCATGTCCAGATCTAATATCTGTGATTGACCAAGATACTGGGGAAGCTCTCGGAACTGCTGAATACAGATACGGTCTTTTGGTATTTGTTCTTGCAATGTCGCCCAGTAATAAATGGACTGATTGTGCTAAGGGAATTGCCATTGGAGGGCCAGCTGCATTTGGCTACGACTATGAGTATAAGCCCATTGGAACGTATTCTAAAACTGTGAGTGTCATTGAGGAGTATGGCGAAGGCCAGAATGTGTGAAAATTATTGAAAAATATAGTAAAATTCCATCGCAATATCCTACTCTATCCTACCAATAGTTAGCAAAATCATTCTAATGTCTAGCAAGATTCCAGCTCTGCAATCTAATCATAACTCATTATATATCTGCAACGCAGTCATTCTTCTTTTGGACTCATACACCATCATCTTTGGAAACACCTTCAAAATGGCATCATTTTCACTGGCCTTGGGCAACAGCTCTCCAACAGGTTTAGGCTCAGAGGAGATAAAGGACATCGCTTGAAAAGCAGACGACTCGCACGCCTCTGGCCACTTTTCAGGCGAAGGGGATCCAAAAGTTTCCAAAATTGACCCAAGCAACGCCAGGTCGCTACGATCGGTGTCTGGGATAAATATTGGCTCGCAGTCGTTGGAGAACAGTAAGGTCGCCACGATCCCCAAGGCCCATATGTCAACGGCACTGGAGTATCTTCTCACCGAAAATAGTAATTCCGGAGCCTTGTATCTACCTGTAGCAATATCTGTAATTTTTGCCGCTTCGGGCTCCTTTCCGTAATTGTCTGGCTCACACCATGAGATCCCAAAGTCAATGATCACTGGAGGCGATTCGAGGTCTTTGAACATGATATTTGCAGGCTTGATGTCTCTATGGATGAAACCTGCTGAATGAATAAAGCTCAATCCTAAAGCTATCCCCTTAACAATCTCGGTGCTCCGCTCAACCCCAACTCTGTTGACCCTGGAAAACGAATGTCGACGATCCCCAAAAACCACCTTCTTGCGTGACTGCTCAAACACCAACCCTTGCAAGTCGTACTTGAAAAACTCAAAAACAAACTTGATTTGCCCATTATATTGATACGAGTCCATCAATTGCACGATGTGGTTCTCTTTTTGCGTTTTTTCGCCATACAACTCGCGCAATCGCAAAAGTGCCTTCAGCTCGTTGCGGCTGTTGTGAGGAGGAACGTCATCGTCCTGGTCCGTCACCTTAACTGCCACCACAACGCCATTCCTACCCAAATCAACAGCCTGGTATACATCACTGCAAAGTCCGCTTCCTATTCGCTCGCCAAGCTGGAATCTTTCGTTGAACGTCATACGCTTCGTGGCTTACAACAAAGAAAAATGTGTTAAATTCGTGCAGATGAGTGCAGATGCTACCCAATTTTTTGTTGGTACGCGCCCATGATGGGCTTCCGCAAGTTCCAAGCAATGTTGTCAGTCCACCGATAAGGATGCCGGGGTGCCATTAAATTGCCACGAAGCGCCCATTTTGACCCGTGTTTTCTTTTGCATTTGGGACTCGTGATCCAGTCTTGACCCATAATGTCCTCTATTCTTCCGCCCGAGTGGGTGGAGATGGAACTGGGCGATATGAGCAAATCCATCTTCAACGAGCTGCCTCTATCCGAGGATAAGGCGGATCTGAAAAAGAGCTGTCTCGAAACCGCCTGCGCTTTGCAAGATGGTCAACTTCTCAAGCTCCTAGCGGAAACTCGTGATGGTCTAATCGATTCGAAACTGAGATCCAAGATTTGGCCGCAGTTACTGGGCTTCCCTATTGACCCGCAGCTGGGCTATGACTTCACAAGCAGCCCACCACACAAGGACGAGGACCAGGTATCCAAGGACATTGATCGGAGTTTCGTCTACTATCCTCAGAATGAGGCCAGAAAGCAAGAATTAAAGTCTCGGCTTTCCGATTTGATCGTGGGTGTTTTGCGCGCGAATCCAGAGCTGCACTACTACCAGGGATATCACGATATCGCCTCTATCGTGGTCATGGTCTTCGAGAACGACAACGAGGCCTTCCAGTTTTTGTCTTTACTTACCCAGTTCCATCTGAGAGACCATATGATGAGTTCCATCGACTCTTCGGTGCAGCAACTGGAAATTATTGGCGATCTCATGGGATGCATAGATCCCAAGTTCAATAGGGTGATCAGCTCTGTCAATCCGATATACTCGCTTTCTTCGATTCTGTCCTTGTTTGCACATAACATTCAGAGCTTTGAAGATTTGTGTCTTATATGGGACTTTGTGTTTGCGGAAAAAACAATGGTATTGCCGTTATACATCTATGTCTCTGTTCTGGTGTATTTCAAGGAGGAGATTCTGACGAAGCTGGAGGAGGAATCTGGCTCCAGTTTCAGCAGTGAAGATACATATTTTGAAGAGGACGATCTTCCCATGAATCTGGAGAACAATCTGGACATCTTGCACAGTATTCTGACCAACGTGGTTGGTGAAAATCTGGGTAATGAGTTTGAAATTTTCCAGGTTCTCCATTCTTCTGTGGAGTATCTCCAGAACCACCCTCCCAGTCAGCTCAAGTGTTTCCAGACTCGCATATCGGAGTTCTCAGTGCTCAAGACAACCTCCAAACCGGAAGGAGATGTGCCAGTCTCTTCGTACCTCGAGGACGACCGCTTGAGCACCCTTATAACGAAGCAGATTGACGAGGATAAAGCAAAGGCGGAGAAGAGACGCCTGCAATTGATTGCCTCAAGGAGACCACGCAAGACCTCCAGTATGGATAATTTGAGAAAGTATCTCTACGACCGGGTTCTCATAAATAGAAACAGGAAGCTCAAGGTTTCTATGTTCGTCAAGATATCCTTCACCATTGGAATTCTGAGTTTTCTTCTCCATTACTATACGGATAAGGCCCAGTTCAGAAGTTTGTATGGTGCAGGAGTCAATGGGGTCCACAACATGGTGATAGTGAAATTTGCGTCTTTTTCAAATACCGTCGCAGGAATTAACTTTGGTGCTGCCAAAGAAAGTGTTTTTGGTCTATTTTGATACGGCCAGGTGGGTTTTGTTTGTGGATATACTCGGATCGTTATTTTTTGCGCGTTTTTTATAAAGTTCTAGCCATGGATGAACAGTGTGGATGCACTTGACGGTTATATCGCAGAGTCGTAGTCCAACCACCTAGTCCTTAACGTCTATCTCGTAGACCAACGCCATTTCGGTTGAATATCCATTCCAGCCCCGATTTCCACTGGCACTCACCAGAAAACGGCAACTTGGATCTATCAGCAGTTGAGACAGAGTCCCGCCATGATGTCCTGGAATGATCATGAAAGGAACCTTTCCACCTTTTCCTGAAGACGCTGACGATGTGTACGAGTCATACAATCTCAAATCGTATAGACGGATGTTATCCACCGAGGCGCACAGTAGATGTTTTCCGTTGGGCATGGGTCTTACCACAGAGACAGAGCCCGAAGCCTGTGGAAATTTTAACGTCTTCACGGCCTCTATATTGGTCATGTCAATTTTTCGCAGATCAAACTCCTCGACAGTAGCATTTCTGCGACCAGAAAAGATCGAGTTTCCATCGTTGGACCAACTCGTTGATGATGTCCACGGTGGTGTGCCCTTGGGGATTGATATCTTCAGCACTTTGTTCGATCTGTTCGCTATCCTGTCATCCCAGATATCTATGCTTCCATCAATGGCTGATGTCAAAAATACGTTGTCGGATGTGACTATTGCTTCCTCATAGTTGGACGTTTGCGTTTCCCGGATCTCTTCCTTCATCTTTGTCAACTGATCGTTGGACTCGGTTGGGGTCTCTTTGGGAGACCTTGGAGATTTTGAGGCCTTGGTCGACTTGTCCCCATCTTCTTCATCACTATCTCCAAATAGGGAATCGAGATCATCCTCTCCTCCACTGCTGGGTATGTTGCATCCTCCCACGGGTCTGAACTCCATGCTCGAGATCTGGCCCGTAGAGCCATAGAAGCCATTCACCACTTTCCCCGTGTTTAGATCCCATTGCAGCACGTTGCAGTCCCAAGATCCACTCAGAAACTTGGTCTCATCCTTATTCAGCTTAAGAATGCTGATGGCCTCGTAATGTTGTTTCAGCGAAGTTGGATCATGCAGCTTTGCATGCTTTCTATCAGTGGGCTCAAAATAGTGTAATATCGAACCCTCGTTATACCTTACACTCTGGAGAGTGATTCCACCGGATGCCAGACCAGAAAGACACCACAAAGACTCGCTTTGCACTGCAAGAGCGTATACGGGCGACAATCTGGGGTCGTAAGTTGCCTCGTTCGGCTTCAACTCGCTCTTTTTGATCGGTTGTTCGTTCTCCCAATATGACGATATTATCCCAGCACTGGTAATTGTGTCTTGTAATGAGTGTTTCTGGGCAACTGTGAGCGGCAATTTCCTCTCGATCGTGGATATGAAATCGTATCTCCTAATGAACCCATCTTCTCCTCCAGTATACAGCCACTTCAGTCCTTTCGTAAGGGCGAGAGTATGTATATTTGTGGCCTGGAGAATCGCAACAAATGGATTGAAATCGTAAGAGTTTGCATTTTTGGCCTTTCTCAGTATTTCCGATCTGACAGATTTGTCTTCGCTTATCTCAGAGGCAGACGATTGGTTCGATTTGGTCTTTTTGGCACTCGCAGATTTAATTCCTTCCTCGTCTTCATCCTCGTCCTCATCTTGGTCCATTTGGTCTTCTTCCTCTTCTTCTTCCTCGTCTTCTTCATCCTGACGGTCCTCTTCTTCTTCGTCCTCTTCTTCTTCTACCTCGTCCATCTCCTCCAGCTGTTGAACGGTCTCTTCTTCCTCCTCTTCCTCCTCTTCGTCCTCTTCTTCCTCAATCATATCAACATCATCGTTGTTGAACAGGTCATCTGTATCCATGACTTTGTTTGGATGGGATTCACGCTCTGTTGCACGTGCTACTTGGGCTGGTCTTTGAGGTTCAACTCAAGTTCTCGATGTCATCGTGGAAGTGCGAAGCACATATAACTGGTGGGTACACGACTGTGTTAAGATTGCCGCACCAAAATGGATGGAGAATTTCGACTAAGGAAAACCTTTCAGGGACGTTGACGACAATTACTTAAATCTCAGTATCTTGAGACTACAGACTTTGTTCATTTTAGCTCTTTTATTACTGGTCGACAAGCTATTTAAAAAGTACTTCATAGTCACACCAACTACAAATCACCCAAACTACCTCAGGATCCATTACTCTGGCTCCAAGCATCGACCTCAAGAGATCCAAGCTCAAATCCAGAGCACAAACCCTGCAGTAGTTTGAAGTAACTTGTCAGACAGCCATTTGTGCCCACCCAGGCTCGACCACCCCAGAGAGGCACGTCGAGAGGGTCAAGATCATCGCTCCTTTAAATGGTCGAACCAGAGGTTCAACCATGAAATAAAGGCAAAAATATAAATCAGATGACCAGGCCGCAAAGGACCGTGGACAAGCTAAAGAATTCTCACTCGAAAGGGCACAAAGGTATCTACCTCATCAACCAAGTTGGATTCAGTGGCTCTTTAGAAGAGTCAAAGAGGGACGTGACCTATAGAAATGATCCTACTATTGAAGGTGTTAGTCAATCGGCAAACCAAACATTGAAAGCTATAGGGGCTTCACTTACTGAAGTACGTCGACGAAGAAAAGAAAGAGAAGAGGAGAAGAAGAGGAAGGGCAGCTGGCTTCGAATTTATAGTGAAATTTTTTTTTTTCACTTTGGTATCTGCACACGACTATCAAAACAGACTCGAAAGAGACTGCTGCAGGTTTTTTCAAGCTTGAAAAGAGCGAAATGCTAAAAACCTATTATATTATAGTCAAAAACCTATATACTATTCAAGAACCAAGAGACTAAATATTGTCCAATTCATCAATTAACCTGAAGGTGGAGACGTAAAATGTCCACAAAATGTTGAGAACCTGTACAGGCAAATTTTCATTCACGTGCGGCTGGATAAGTTGGAACTAGTCCTCGAGATCGAAGACGTATCTGAGTCAATAGCCGATTGACCCCGTAAAACTTCCAAAGCATTCCCTCCATAGACTGACTTGATTCCCTTTTCGATCACCTCCCTATTTTGAGGCTCTGTACCCGTAAACTCGCCAGCTACGCACATCCTGCTCGCGATCTTTGCACTGATGATCCGTCTCAGGTAGATTTCCCAGAGCAATGCCATTTGCAAAGATGGATGTCTATCAAGACCATCTGCCCACACGGGATCCTCTAGCATCATCTGCTCCAGAGTGTGGAAATCCTGAGGTTTTCTGGTGAACAGTCTTCTCTTCAGCTTCCTATACTCTATCCAATACTCTGATAGAGCGAGATCAGAATGCACAGAGCTCGAGGAATCAGCATCTCCGTGGACTGTGGCCCTTCTGCTATATCTTTTGTATGGGTTTGAGTGTAATTTGACTGACTTTTTTCTCTGGGGATTTTCCTTTATTTCCAGGTCTGACTTGAATCTAGGAAGGCCCGGGGCAAAGGTTTTTAGATCCAAGTCCTCCCTTTCATGCATAGTATGTAGCGGCGAATCAAAGCCATAAGCACCTTTAAGGAAGTCTGTGTAGTAATCCACAATTGAAGGGTGATCTGTTTGAACCAGTATAATCTCATTGGTGTTGGAGAAGGTTGGCACTGTAAGATTAGAGCGTATCACTGGAGTAGTCTTGAGCGTTTCCCTTTTGGATCTCAAACCATACGAGATCAGATATTGAGGGACAAATGCTTCATCAAGTAAATGGCCCCTTCTCTGAGAAACTCGTATTGAATCCGTCCTGCTGAGGTAATTTTCCAGCTGATCGTGGTCCTTGAAATTTGGCAGAGGCTGTTTTCCGTTGGGGATCATCAGCATTTGCCCTCGTCCCATGGAAACCGGAGCTGATCGCGTCTTCTTCCCTCTTGCTTTAGGGGTTGCACCTGATGGTCTCTTGAAACTTCTTTTCCTCGTCACTTTGAAATCGTAGTGGTTATTGATAGGATGCTCCCCCACACGGTCGTCCGACAATCTTGGCCTCCAACTGTGCGGTGTTCTAGGAGTGTTTGTATGCGAATTTTTGGTGTTGGGCAAGTTTCTTGGGCTTGGCAAATCCTTTGTAACTACCACAGGGGTTCCTGGTTCATCACTGCTGATATGTCTCCTCCGTGTCTGCAGCCTATGTATGGGAGAGTCAGGGTCGCCAAGACCACTGTATGATGTGGTTCTGGCGTTTCTGGCCTCCATAGAATTGAATTCAATGCCTCACCAATGTGAAGTGGAAGAGGTTTGTTGTTCCCCAATTTTCACGATTGGTGAGATAACTTAGGAACAATGGCTCAAGGACCATTTTCTGGAGAAAACTGCTGGATATTAATTTGACCCGATTGGGCAATATGCATAAAATGTCAACAGATCATCGGTCGTGTTCAGGGTATTTTGTGGCCGCACTGTGATAAATATAGATTAATATGGCAAATAATAAAAAGATTGTGTGAGTTCTAAGTGAATCGAGATAGTTTTGGAATTCATGTAGTGAATTTATTTGTTAACGTGCTCGGTAATCTTGTAACCTTCTTGAAATATTTCTGTTCCAGAAACAGCTTGTAGTCAGGCTGTAATTCCGTAAGTACTGCCATGACCATGCATGTTCGTACTCATGCACGCGGTATCAGAATTTCATTGGCCTCACTGAAGGCGAACTTTGCATCCCGAACCTTTTATTCGACCTTTGACTCGATTGGCTACCTCGTCTGCCTCCACGACTGCTTCCGCGACTGCCTCCACGCCCACCGCGGTGGCCACCTCGGAAACTTTTGCGACCACGACCAGAAGAACTCTTCTGGGAAGAGGTAGCAATCGGTGGATCCATTGGTTTATTCTGAGACTGGCGTAGCTGCTGTAGGATTTGCGAATCTCTATTTGCGTTGAAATATGGCGATCTCATCTCGTTGGAGATCGAGCTGACATCTTGGGTGGTTGCTATGGTTTCATCCTGGTTGCTCATATTCTCATCACGAGCGGATTTCAATTTCTTCAGCAACGGTCTGAAGACTTTGAAATACTGGCATTGGCTCGTAGCCAGTCCCTGTAGACAATCATACTCCCTTTGTGTAGTGGGCAGTTTGAGAGCCATGTCCCTAAGCGTGTTATCCGTAGCAATAGAGCTCGTAGAGTTCAAACCAAGTTCATGAAGCTTCCTCGACCTGAACAAACTCAACTCGTTGAAGGCCAGGTTGATCAGTTTCCGTTCCGCTTCTGACTTATTGGCCATCGTGGATTGCAAAACAATTGGTCTGTTATCCACAAGTCGGGTGGTTGCCGCAGCAATACTACTTCTGTAGACCGCACTGGCGGATGTAATTGTTGGAGCTCTATAAGCCGCACCCGAGCTTGCACCAGAAGTTGCACCTGCGGAATTTGCAGAAGCAGTGCGAACTTCAAACGACATAATTATCTTCTTTCTGTCAGAAAGAACATCTCTTGCTTTGGGACCAAGCTGAACGTAATCGCTAGTGTATCCAGCCCCGTTCATGATCTGGTACTCTTCCAGTACTTCGTCAGTCAACAAACGAAAGAATATCCGTTCCACCACAGTTTTCTCGAGTTCTTTGCCATTACCATAGGATGGCACTTCGTTGTGACCAGCAGCCATTATTTTGGTAGTCTTTGACCCTCTGTATAGATCCTGACAATAAAGTAGCGTGACTTTGTCTCCTTGAACAGCTTGAACCAGTTTCGCAATTTGTTTGGCATGCGGAGTAACGTCTTTCGTCTCTTGAGTCACAGAATTCTTGCAGTTGTCGCACTGCTTTTTGCAATCCTCTTTGTTGAACACTTCGTTGAAATATTGCAAGACCTGTTGACGCCGACAATCAGAAGTATTCTCACAGTATTGTACAACCTGCCTCAATTTGTCCAGATGTTTCTCTTTGTTGTTTCTGTCCAATTCTTTGTCTTTCTTGATCATGGTCTGGATTGTCCTTACATCTTTATAACTGTAGAACATGGCACAATCGGAATGGTTTCCATCTCTACCCGCTCTACCAGTCTCCTGGTAATATCCCTCCAACGTTCTTGGTACAGTCAAATGGAAAACAAACCGCACATCAGGTTTATCAATACCCATTCCGAATGCAATTGTAGCACAAATGACCTGAGTTTGCCCTGATTGCCAAGAAAGTTGAACATTCAGTCTGTCTTCGGGTGTCATACCAGCATGGTAGTACTGGCACACGATTCCACCCAAGTGATACAGCTTTTCTGCTGTTTGTTCACATGACTTCTTGGAGTGGCAGTAGATGATCCCTGATTGACCTCGGTACTTTTCGTTGATCATTTTCATCATTTCATCCAGATGGCTCTTGCTCTTGAACAAAACCTGGTAGTATAGGTTAGTTCGGTTGAAACTCTGCTTGAAAACCTGAGGATTGTTCAATTGCAAGTTGTGCATGATATCTTTCCGTACCCGCTCATTGGCTGTTGCCGTCAACGCCATCACGGGCACTCCTGGGTACTGTGTTTTGAAGTAGTTTAAACTCTTGTAGTCTGGTCTAAAATCGTGACCCCAAGAGGATACGCAATGAGCTTCATCAACCACCACACGGGCAAGCAGGCCTTTCTGATGGAGTCTAGAGATTGCATTACGAGCTTGCGCACTGGCAGTGACCATTTCAGGAGATAGATATATCAGATCCAGCTCCCCGTCCATGAATAGGGTCAGCATCGTTTGTCTCTCCGAAAGAGTTCCCTTTGAATTTATCATTCCTGCTTTGATGTTTTTGCTCAGAAGATGTTGAACTTGATCTTGCATCAGTGAGATAAGAGGGGATATCACAATGGTAGTACCTTTGCTCACCAGAGCTGGTAACTGATAACATAAAGATTTTCCACCGCCCGTTGGCATCAAAACAAACACATCTTGACCAGCAAGAGTGGCGTTGATCGCCTCCAGTTGGTTGGGCCGGAACGAATTCAAGTTGAACGTGCTGTTAAGCACCTTGTAAATGTCCTCAGTCCATGGGAACTGTGATTTGGGCTTATCTGAAACGCTTTTGGTCATGTCAATCAACACTAAGTCATCATCTGAATCCAGATCCTTGTTGACTTCTCTTTCCACATTATACTGCGTCATGAAATCCTCATCTTCGTCTTCGAAGTCGTCACCACCGTCGTCTTCCAGATCCTGTATCGTGAGAACCTCTATATCGCCTTCATCTTCTACGTCAGAAGTGAGCTCAACTCTATAAGAATGATCTTCTTCTTCATCCAAAATTCCATCCTCGACAATGAATTCGTCTAGTTCGCGCTGTTCGGCTTCTGTTATAGGCAGCATCTCTTCTTCGTCTGTCTCTAGAGCAAACGAATCCTCAAGCATAGTAGGTTCTTCACGCAATGAACCGGACAACCTTGTTGTCTGCAAAATTTCAATATCATCTCCGTCTTCGTCGTCGTCTCTGTGTCTGTTTCTGGGTGATTGTATATCCAATTCGCTCTGTGACCTCATAGGAGAACTGAAGATGATCTCAGGGCTTGGTGGCTTTTCTCTTACAATGTGAGGTTCTGCAGTATCAGAATTATTAGCTGGTATAACCGTGGTCTGAGTAGTCTGAGGGCCCTGCAGACTTACCCGTAACTCTGTAAGACTCTGTTCCAAGCTCTCAATGCTTGATCGTATCTGAGCCAATCTCAAGCCTGACCTGGACGGGCTTTGAAGAACCTCACACATTTCTTCCAGAAGCACAATCTTGCGTTCACAACTCTCTATGTACAAGGTTTGGAGCTCAGCTTTCGATTTTGTGCCTACCGATGCCAAAGAACTGGGGATTTTAGCGACTCCAGAGTTGGAAAGAAGCTTATCCAGTTCAGCCTCGTCTTCATCGTCGAAACTGTCGGGTATACTTTGGCTTTCCTGCACATTATCCGGCATCTTCGATATATTGCTTATTCCCTGGCCATTTCTGGTTTCCTTTTGCACAGTAGTCACTTTCGTGGTCTTTTCGCTTTGTCTCATGAGCAAACTGATCTCATCATTATCGAAGAAGTCGTCGTCATCTTCAATTGTGTCTGGCCTCGGCCGTTTAGGCTCAGGTATAACGAACGACTTGTCGATACCTCGTTTTGTAAATGTCTCGGATCTTTCAGCCGTTGTGTCAGTTATGAGGACTTGTGTGTCTGAAAGTTGATTCACAAAACCCTCTGTGGCACATCGTCTTAATGGATTTCCAGTCTTTCGCGGGGGTGGAACGCTTGCCTTGGATTCAGTTGCCCAACGCAAATGAGCATCCAAGTTGGTCACAAATGCAGCAACCATTGGTGAAGAAAGACTGAAGGCCACAGAAACGCTTGGTTTGTATGGAAGGCTGAACCGCTTTAGAACGCGTAGTAAATATCTAATCAGCGCCACGGGTGTGCGCCAGCGAATTCGAAAAAAAATTGAAACTTTTCAATTCAAGACTTATCAGTTAGTCAAGATATAGTCAAGATAGTGAACGGTCAGCTCTTATAAAACTACGGATATTGATCCAGTATTTGAGTTATGTCTTTCAAATCGAGCTCCTCCAAACTGGAGGCTCAAGATACAGTGAACAAACTTCTTTCATCGTTCCTCCCTGGGTCCAGTCGCTCCGAGCCCTCTGCAGAAGCCAGAAAGAATAGATCCCGAGCTAGCACGATTAACGACCAGATAATCAGAGCTCAAAAACTACATGCTCTTCAAGAACAAGGCAGGAAACTCAAGCGCAAAGAGAAGGTTGCCAAAAGAGCCAGAGTGAAACGCTCCAAAGAAGAACATCTAAAGGCTACCCGGATTGGGCAGCTGAAGTTTTCAAATGACAACCCCAAGACAAGCAAGCTCATAAAACAGGTTATTGACTCAGGAGTTCAGAGTCTGCAATCATGGGAAGAAGGAAATGCTTCGGAGGAAGAGGAGTTGCAGGCAAGGATAATACGACTGAGATCGAAGGCCAGTGGGCCATCCAATAAGAGGAAGGAAAAACGTGAGAAGGCCTTGGATTTCCAGACGAAGATCAAGAGAGGTGTTCTATCATATCCAGGATTGACTCCAGGTCTTGCCCCTGTGGGTGCTACAGACTCGGAAGACTCGGAAGACGAGCGTGAAGACAGCGGACTGTAGGGTATCATGTTGTAAATTAGGATTTCGAAGGCTTGCATGGAGTCAATAAACGTTAATAATGGTATCTGCATTCATTGAAGCTGAATTAGTAATATTTTCAACCCGAAAGGCTCAAATAGTTCGGGGTTACTGATGAAGCCCCCGATTAGCCGCCCGTCAAGACCAAAGCGGTAATCGTTAAAAAAACCGAGCGTGTTAACGCCGACGTCTCTGACGGGTCCCTGAAGTGTCGGGCATGGGCCGTCACTATTTTGGTTGAAGACATTAAGTGGAGGTCGGCATTGGCCGAAGGTTTGTCATCTCACAAAATAATGAGCTTTGAAATGGAAGGCCAAAGGGTAGCTATAAAAACCATTGGAAAGTCACCGTGAAGTGGAATTGTAATGAATTAGCACAAAAACATAAACCAACCGTCGAAATGCCTGCAGTCTTGGTCACTGGAGCCTCAGGCTATATTGGCGCTCATATTGTCAGCCAATTACTCGAAAAGAAGTACACCGTCATCGGCACTGTCAGAACCGGAGAAAAGGCCAAATTTCTTATTGAAAAATTCGAGGATCCCAATCTGAGTTTCGAGATTGTTCCGGACATTGCTGAGGCCACTGCTTTTGACGCAGCATTCGAAGTTCATCCTGAAATAGAGTTTGTAGTCCATACCGCCGCTGTTCTTCCAAGAGGTGTTCCTAAAGAAGAACTTCACAAGCAGTATGTGGAGACCTCTGTTGCAGGAACCATCAACATTCTCAAAACAATCGAGAAATATGGGCCCAGTGTCAGGCATTTTGTTCTGACATCTTCTTCTGCGGCTCTTGCAGACCTCAGACTTTTTGAGGACTCTACAATCCTTTTGACCGAAGATTCATGGAACGAGACGTCTTGGGAACAAGTTGGAGACTTTGAATTGTTCGCTTATGCGTACTCTAAAGCTGAAGCTGAGAGGTCTGCCAAAGAATTCACCAAAAGACCAGAGGTGAAGTTCACCTTCTCATCCGTTTGTCCAGTCTGGGTTCTTGGGCCGCAGAGGTTCGTTGAGATGGAAGGCAACTCAAGCAGCGAGGCGCAGCTTGTTGCTAGTCTGGTCAATGCTCCAGTCAATTCTCCGGGGCCCTTTGACACTTGGGGGGCTGCTGTTGATGTCAGAGACGTTGCCAAAGCACACGTGTTGAGTGTTGAAAAGTACGCTGAGTTCAAGGACGCCAGACTGGTTCTCGCTAATGCCGAGTTCACATCCCAGCTTTTGCTCAACATCATCAACCAGAGCTTTCCTGAACTTGTAGGAAAGATTCCAGCTGGAAACATGGTTGATCACACTGTCGGTATGAAGAAAAGCCACGCTGCCATTGATTTTTCGAAGACCGCAGAGATTACGGGCATTGAGTTCATTCCTCTTGAGAAGACGATCATTGACGGTGTCAAGCAGATCCTCGAGTACAATGCGCTCAAGAAATGAAGTCTTAACTTTGAATCTCGATTCTTTGGTCGGATGTCAAGCTCAAAAAAGCCACAAGATGTGGTCGAAATGTACTTGACCAAGAAACAGGTTCGGGTGGATTTTTTGCAAATTTATGTTTTAACTTTATATTTATGTATACTTACATAAATTTCCATTTTACTCTTTAATTAGGACAGCTGCCTAGAATTTATATGAGGTAAACCAGACAGCAGTTTGGGTGGCTTTTGCAGTGCATGAATCAGCCGCACGTTGATGCATATTTGATGCATGTCTGGTATACCTCCCGCCTCCCAATTACATATAGGCGCATTTATGAACGAGATAATGCAAATTAACTCTCAGATCCTTGGGCAAGTTCGTAATATTGCTGTCTGCAATCAGAAGCCATTTTGCGAACACTTCTCCGCTTGTCATCCAGTGTGGGAAGCAGGTTCCGGATGACGCCTGTCTTGTAGGGCATCAGCGCAACGAAGCCGATTTTTTCGTTGATGGTAAGTCCCAGTAAACACTTCAGCGTATTAATCTTCACCTCTTCACCCGTATGAGTATCTGGCTGTGCCAAATCCAACAGTCTGGGAATCAACGTTTGGAGTTGCTTCTTGATCAGGGCTGGGTACTCAGCAATGGCAATTTCCAAGATCACAAGACTCGAAGAACGGATCTTATCGTTAGGAATTTCAAGCGATTGCAAAAGTAATGGCGTGATTTCTTCCAGATGAGGAACAATAATGGCTTTGTCTGCATATTTCGCTATAAGACTGAGGGTAATCAAAAATGTGCGCTTTTGGTCTCCACCCCTGTTGGACCCTGCAATCAACTTTGGAATCAAAGTGTTGAAGAACCTTTGTTTGTATAAAGGACTCGTCGATATGTTGAACACTGCGGCCTTCTTGGCAAATGGAAGAGCTTTCGAGGTGGCTCCTGCCTTTTTATAAGCATCAAAACACTCCACATCCGCTACCAAAATCTCAAACGCCTTGGGTGCCACATTTGCCAGTTCGGGCACTTCTAATAGAGAAACCAAATATTCCAAGATTTCGTGAGCATATTTGTCATTCTTCATCACAAGTGCTTTAGTGGACCACACCAAAAGCTCAAGATGCTTGGAACGTTGCGCCAGATCCTCGCTTCCAGAAATCGTGCTCATGAACGATGTACACTTCAAGCGTAAATAGTCATCGTCATTCGAATCAAACCACTTGTTGATGACCAAACTTAGAATTTGAAGATAACATTGCCTCGTAAAAATATCAGTCTCGGTCTCCAGAGCTGAAATGACTCTATCACTCAGGTCTGTTGTTGTGAGGGGTAAGGTCGTAGCTTTGTCAGTTGCAGCGAACACTTTGGACAACAGCGGTGCAGCACTCTCATTACCTTTGGCAAAAACGTCTATAGGTGAGCTTAAAGGTTTTGACAGTAACGAGAATCCTTTCTTCAGGACCAAAAGGTCCATGAATTCATCCAAAACCTTCTGATGAAGGGTGAGATCACTACCGGTAATGATAACTTTCACCACAGTACCTGCGATCTCCAAAGAGATGTTATCATGGTATATCGGCGAGGAGCTGTTGATGAAAATACCATCAAGAACAAGATACAGGAACTGGGGGATGAACTTGCGGAGATAGTCGTTGGTTGACATTCCGGGAAAAGCTTCTGACTTCTTCAGTATGGTCTCCAAGGCTTTTAAAATGGCCCTCACATCACTAACAGAAGTGCTTGATTTGAGTAACACCGACATCTTACTCAGAATTCTGATCATGACAACATCCAAGATCTCTTTATTCTCGGAAATCTCGGCAATTACCTGCAACACTTTCGTCTCGTTATCAATGCACTTATTGGAGCTGGCCTGGAACTTGGTGGTTTCTTCGTCTGGAAGAAGAGCTAGCAGCTGGGGAAGAGTGACCTCGACTATGAGGCTAGGTCTGATTCTCGCAACCTCTTTCAAGCCACCCACAGCAACACCAAACGTGTTTGGATTGTCATCTTCTAGCAGCACCTCTGTCAGACTTTGGACCAATAACTTTCCCTCTTCAAGATTAAGGAGACTCTTCAAGTTGACGATCTTCCCGATAGTTTTGATTGCCAGGCAACGCAGCGAAACCTCAACCTTTAACGAGGCCCCGAGAGATCTTGTCAAAAGCATGAGGATTTCAGATTTGTACTGAAACAAGGCATTAGTTTCTGGATCGATAACGTTGCTCTGTTTGGTAAATAACGAGTCGTATGAATCAAGCACGAACGAGACGTTGGTGATCATAGATCTCTGTTTGGATATGGTCCATGGAGAAGCATCGTCCTCCAATGCTTGCAACAAAAACGGGAACGAAGTGCTTATTACAAGGTTGAAAACATGCACATTGGCACTGGCAATTGCACTCAAAATGATCGCAGACTGTTTGGCCTGTTTGTGATCCGGAGTTGTCAAGAACTTGCCCAGTTCGTTCACCACCACAGAGATATAGTCTCTGAGTCCGGCCTCGTTCTGACCAGAAAATCTCCCTCCCAATGACTTGAACACAGTGAGAACAAGCGGAATCACTTTTTCCTCTTCGTTCTCGGCGTTCGTGTAATACTGGATCAGATCATCCATGCTATTAACACTAGCGACTTCAGCATGCAATATCTCAAACTTCAGCGAATTCCAAACAGATAGCCAGTATTCCTCAATTGTGGCTTCATCGTAGCTGAGAACACACCTGTTGATAGTTTCTAGGGTATCTAGTTTCACAGAAGGGGCTGTGGAGCTCAGCTTCTCAATTAGAGATGGGAGAGCGTCCTTGGCAAACGCAGAATTGGCAGCTATAACCGACCTCAGGGCTTCTTTCAGTTGTTCCGGTGTGATTTTGTAAGGATCGTTTGCAGGTGGCTTGAAGGAGATGGGAAAGTAACAAAAGGCAGCATCAAACAGATCGGCAGATTTGGTCTCAATGTCGAACTTCGATGAAATATGTGTGTTGAGACCGAAGGAAAGTATCAGATTCCTTGGATCTTTCTCATTGGCCGATATGTACAAGAAAGAGTCGATAAACTCGTCATTGAGGGCCACAATCAATTGGTCTTCGAACTTGGTAAGAATGGCCTTGAGCAGTTCGAAGGACCAATATCTTACCTTAGCCAGGTGCTTCTTGGAATCATAATGATCACGTACCGAGTTCAAGATATTAGCAACTTGTGCAAATTGGAATCCCGGTTTCCCCACCAGAATGGTGAGTCCCCTGAGTGCCTCCAAAGTGCATGGTTCATCAGTAAGTTTCGAAAGAAGAAAGTCGGTCAACACCGAGAGATCGTTTCTCTTCAGTGGCGAAACAAGCCTTAAAGTATCAACAAGACATGAAACTGAGCTCGAACGAAGCTTATCGCCATCATCAGTCAGATGAGGACCCAGCAACTTGATGAACTCCAGTAGTGAGATCTCACCGGACTGCAGATACTCTGCCAATGACTTGGAGGACGCTTCCAGCTCGATATCCGAAACGTCTACGGACACAATATACTGACTGATCAGAGATCTAATCAGACTCTGTTTGTCTTCTGCCATGTCACTGTGTCTCTGTAGTGTTTATTAGGTTGCAAAAGAGGGTACTGGCCTCATGGACAACGGCCTTGATACGGTAAGAATATGCGAGATCAAAATCAGTCACGTGATATGAATAATAGTTTATGCACTACCATTGTTCTCTCGTTCAGAAACGCGACCGTGGTCGACTTCACAACGAGACAAGGCAGAGAGACCTGAGTGCAAGCACAACAGTTTTGTTTAAGTTGGTTTTGAGCATGACTTCTCAGATTTACCATGCGTCGAGCACAGCTCCGGTGAATATTGCTGTAAGTGGATAATGCTAGATATTGGTGGAGCCAAAGTTATGTAACAAGTACTAACCCACTTCATGTTCCAGACACTGAAATATTGGGGTAAAAGAGACAAGACGCTCAACCTACCCACCAATTCGTCCATCAGTGTGACTCTGGCACAGGAGGATTTGCGTACCTTGACCACTGCCGCTGCTGGTCCAGACTTCAAGGAAGATACCCTCTGGCTGAATGGTGAACCTCACTCCATTGACAACCCACGCACTAAGAACTGTCTTGCGGATTTGCGTGCTTATAGAAAGGAGCTAGAATCTGGTGACTCCAGCCTTCCTCCGCTGAGTGAGTGGAAACTTCATTTGGTGAGCGAAAACAACTTTCCTACTGCTGCTGGTTTGGCATCTTCGGCTGCTGGTTTTGCTGCACTCGTGAGTGCCATTGCCAAACTCTACCAGCTCCCTCAGTCGGCTTCTGAACTGTCCAAAATTGCGCGTAAGGGCTCGGGCTCGGCGTGCCGCTCCTTGTTTGGAGGATACGTTGCTTGGGAAATGGGGTTGAAGGAAGACGGCTCCGACTCCAAAGCCGTTGAGGTCGCACCCAAATCGCACTGGCCCGATATCAAGGCGTGTATATTGGTGGTGAGCGACGACAAAAAAGATGTTCCAAGTACCTCGGGAATGCAATTGACAGTGGCTACTTCGGAACTTTTTGCTGAGCGTATTGGCACCGTGGTTCCCAAGCGGTTCAAAGAGATGTCTGAGGCCATCAAGAAGCGTGACTTTGCGGCTTTTGCCGAGATGACCATGAAAGATTCCAACTCGTTCCATGCCGTCTGTCTGGACTCGTATCCTCCTATTTTTTACCTGAACGATACTTCCAAGAGAATCATCAAGTTGATACACGTGCTCAACGAGACTGAGGGCGAGATAATTGCTGCCTATACCTTTGATGCCGGTCCCAATGCTGTCATCTACTACCAGGAGAAGGATGAGGCCAAGGTCTTGGGACTACTGCAATATGCGTTTGCCAAGGTGCCAGGCTGGAAAAATACTGGATACCAGATCTCTGCTAAATTTCCTGCAGAGATTATCGGTGAAGACTGGTACAAGGGAGTCTCCAGAATCATCCAGACCCAGGTTGGCGATGGCCCTCTTGATACCGAGGAGTGTCTCATTGACACGGCCACTGGGCTGCCTAAATAGGGGCATTTTGCTGTTGCTAGAGTCATAAGTCATTGAAAATCACATTATTAATTGGACTGGAATGTAGTTGGAACGGAGACGAACATACTCGTCCTATTCATCTACCTTCTTCTCGGCTTCTTCATGAACGGATCATCGTCATTCTCGTAGGAGACCTGTGTAAGCTGGATTTCTTCCAAAGGTTCTGGAAAAAGATTGCTGATTGGCTCGTTATCCGCACTTAGTTGGGATTCTTGGGCTTTCCCAACCAGTCTGCCCCAATTCTTTCTCTTCTTCTTTCTGGGAGACGGTAACTTAGCGTGCTCCAGTGACTCTGCGGAGGCTGTGGGAATAGAGTTGGATTTTGAAGCATCGTTAGTATTCAATGAGTCTGCTAAATTGGCTGGTGGGCTGTAGACGTTCCACTCTGGGTTGCTATTAGAAGGCTGGAGACCCGTGTCTATCCATTCCCAAATGAAAGCAGCAGAAACCACGTGAACGTTCCACTTCTTAGCAGCACTTATCTTGGCCTTGGTAGACATGAGAGAAGCCGAAGATGGAGCAGGCATTTCTACCACTTCTGGGTATCTGTAGTGGAATAGCGGACTGTCTTTTGGAATGCCCAATCCATTAATATTGACCACTAAAAAATCTCTATCCTTTCGAAATGTTTCGTGGAATTCACAGCCGAGATACTTGATTAACTTTGTGATGTGCAAAAGCTCGATTCCTGAGAATCCTGAAATGCTAATGCCGACTCCCGAATTGCTCATCTTCTGGTAAAGCACTTGGCCCCAGCGGTCATTACGAATCTCGCCGTAATGTAGGCTGCGTTCTATGAACCATTCAGTAACTATAGGAAGAGTCTTCGGACCTGTGTAGTCATCCATGGTGCAATTAGACGGTATCAAGATATGAGTTGAACTGGCATCTTCAACACTTGCGATTTCTGAGCCATTGGAGATGAGAACCCTACTTAGCGTTTCCTCTTGCGCCTTCGTGAATAGCGAAATCGCAAATGTGAAATTGTCAAACAGTCTCTGCTCATGATGTTTGGGCTTTGAGACTTCAGCAAGCTCGCGATCCTGTATCTGTGGTTGTTCATCAACGACTTGTTCCTCTTCCCAGGTAGAAGATTCATTCTTGGGCTTGCTCTGAGCCTTCAAATTCCCCATAATAGAACCCCACAAGCTTGGCGCTTTCTTTGTGATTTTGAGCGACTCGTCAGTTTCCGGAATCAGCTGTCTCGTTTGTCGTATTTTAGGCTCATCTTTGGTGACGTGTTCCCAGACCAAACACGAGTTAGCACCCAGGTCTGCTGCATTAATCTTGTCAATCTCGTAGTACTTCATATCTAGAGTGGCCTTTCTGCGAATGCAATCCTCGACCCACTTCGGATGTACTACCGGAACCTTCCATTCAATAGCCTTCTCGTATCTTTTGCCTGATCTCTCCGTCGACACCACACAAGAACTGCTCATAGTAAGTGAATCAGTTACCACACCTCCATTGTCCGAAATAAGCTTTGAAAACTTGCTCTTAGAGTGGTCGCCAATCCTGGAAACACAGATGGATAAGCCGTCAAAAGCAGGCAGCTTATAATGGGCAATATCTAGTCCATCGTCACCTTCCAGCCATTTCTCATGCAATATTTTGATGGCATTCGGCCTCACAAAAACAACGTCAAATCTCTTTTTCACACAAAACCGGTACTTCTCCGTCTCTCTGTCACCTACAACAAGCACTGTTGTATCACTCATTAGATCATTAGAGTAGTCGCCGCCCATCGATCGTATTTTTTTCGTGACATCGTTCTTCACATCTGACGGAACCGACGTGCTGGAGAACGTGATCCCAGTAAACGGTCTTTTCACTCCATTGCTCATGGTGGAGTTGCAGAATCGGATAGGAGAAGCAGTTGTGGTTAAAGAACGCGATATCTACTAAAGCGTCCTGTGGTAGTGTACGTGTGAATTTTCATCGTTGAAAAGTTCGAGCTATTGGAGACATGACATTCTATTGGAACAATCGTATTCGGAGTACAGTTAGTATCATGTTGAAGGGATTCAGAAGCATACAGATAAGAACCTTTGGCTCGACCGCCCTGAAAATGGACGTCAAGTCCAGTTGTCCCGTGGGAACTCCGTTGAACCTGTGGGTCATGAACACACCACAGGAGCCACTGGCCATGGAGGATTCCGAGTATCCAGAATGGCTGTGGAAATTGCAGGACGCGCAGCATTTGCAGCAGCAGAAGGCCCAGGATCCGTTTAGAGATGCCAGGAGCAAGATCAGAAAGGACAATATCAAGAGAATAAAGATGAACAACTTTATGAGGAAGATGTAGTGAGGCTTCCCAGGAGCAGAGCCGTGTGTTAGATTGCTGCAATTTGTATATACAATACTTTGAAGAGGTAAAGATTTTACTTTTGGATAGAACTTCTTGTAGTCCATCTTGCTTTGTTCTATTTTACGTGATTTTATTCACTTCTCGGTTTATTCATTTGGATATTTAGTCTCTTTCAGCACTCAATCTTAGCTTCCCGGACCTTTGAGTGTGTACCGACCAAATTAGCGATGACCAGTGGGTTTTTTACCAGATCATAACACATACATGTCGTAATAAGTTTGAGCTCCACCACAATCTTCGACCGACACCTGCTACAATGCTCGAAAGATTGAAGGCCTCGGGGATATTTTTGGGGTCTGATCCAAAGCTGAGGAATGTCAGCGACAACGATATCCAATCGGAAAGGGTTGCGGTTAGGGGAGAGGACGAGGTTTTCTATGCTGTGAACTCAACGATACGAGCTACGGAGCTTTCGCCTACTGTTCACGATTTCAAGACGCTTCAGCCGGGATTGATTGACTTCGATGTTCAGAAGCTCATTTTGAATCAATCAGGTGATTTGCTGGCAGTTGTTGGCCGGTCCAAGATAGTGGTGTGTTTTCTGCCTCCACCAGGATTCATTGGGAGCACCGGAGGAACCACTTTTCGCGCTCGCCAGCTTGCAGTTGATTCTGCTAACAATCCCCCTGTTCTAAAGGTTCTGTGGTCGCCTCTCAGCAGATACAATTCTAACCTGGTTGTTCTACGAGCAGATGCCACTATCAAGAGTTATGATGTGAGCGAGTCTGCCGCCGTTCCGTACTCTGTATACGCTGTCAATAGCGCTCTCAGGAGCAAACGTCGTGGTTTCAGTGTGAATGCGTTTGATACCGATCCTGTCTCGATTTCATATGGATCCCAGCAGAATCCAAAGGGCGCCTTGACGTTATACATCATGGATCGCAGCGGAGACTTACACTTTTTGTATCCGTTCTTGCCCAATTACCTGTCTATAACAGAGGATTTTATTGAATTGCTCCTGAATGAGAGCACAGTTTTGGCTAATAAGGCGAATGAGGAAAGTATTCAGGCGTATCTGGAACAAGTAAGGTTTGTCTCAGCCCTTTGGAAGGGAAAAGAAAGAGCAGAAAAGGAAGTGGTGATATCGAGTTCCAATAAAGTCAAAAGATATATCTTCAAGGTGGGTTCTAAAAACGCGGAGCTGAAGCTTCAGGGACCACTGTTGGTTCGGCCTTTTCCCGAGGAGTTGTACGATAAGGATGGTGTTGATATAATATCTATCAAAGGAGAGAGCCAGGACTCTGACTTTCTTGCTTGTTCTTACTCGGATGGCTCTATTCTTGTGTTAGTGCAATTAGAAAACCATATTATGAGGTGGAACAATCTTGACTACGACTATTCATCTGGTTTGACACTGGTTGAACACTTGAAGACGCCATCATCCAAAAGTGGTAAAAGCGTGGTAAAGCATTTACACAAAACCACTATCCCATATGTCTTTGCTGCAAGCTCTCTGGATGGTTCGGTGGTGTGTGTCGATATCAGAGACTGGGCTGCCCAAATTGAGAATGCAATCTTTTCTGGCGATGGAAACCTGTTCTCGCAGTCAAATAGTTCTACAGTTACTGTTTCTGTGAAAAGCGGGAAGTTGGAGGGTATCTCCGATGTGGCAATTGAGGGTCATACTGGAAATGTGAGACTTTTGGTTGTCACTCCCTCCCTAGTTGAATTTTTGGAGTTCAACGATAGGGATGACGGCTCGGAGGATTCGACAGGTGTTGAAGCTGAGATCCCATCAAGAAAGATACAGGGACTACGTAGCGCTTGGAACGCGACAGAGGTGAGCCATCAGCTGGACGGCATTCAGAACGAAATACGCAAGTTGCGGGTGTCTGCGGGAAAATTCGACCTCTCTGATAGGATCAGCGCGGATGATAAGCCAATGATGGCTCTCAGCTTTATTTCCGGTGAGATCACCAAACTGGTTGTTAAACTAAACCTAATTGCTCTTCTTTGTCATGGACGCATACAATCACAAAGACAGAAGTTCCAGCAGCAAATCTTGTCTGTGGCAGAAAAGAAGGACTCGTTCTCGGGCCTGGACGATTCAGTCTCCGAGAATGTCAAGAAGATCGAGACCAGACAGCGGGCCATTGATCAGAGGCTTGAAAAGGTGGCTCAAAAGATTCAGAGTTTGAAGCTTGGAAACAGTCCTCTAAGCGAGGAGGAAGCAGCTTTCTACAAAGAGCTGAACCGTGTCAAAAAGGTTGTTGCCGATTCGAGCACTGGATTGGCCAGACGGAGCGTGTTGCTGAAGGAGCAAGTCGAGGAACTGCGTGTGGCCGTCGAAAAATCGTTGATGGCTTCTAACATTAAAGATGGACACAATTGGAAGAAATTGGTTGACTCACTCAGGGAAAGACAACAGTTCTCGGAGCACTTATGTGAATTTTTCAAGGAGACGATGAAGCTGGAAGAGAAAGGTGTTTGGTAGGGGCTACTGAATGCCAAGCCATTTGAGGGATATAGCCTACAGAGGCCCGTATCTAATCTGACATATCTCTCATAATATCATAAATTATTCATAGTCTAAAAAGCACTCAAAAATCGGTAACTCTACCGTTGAAAGACCAATCTCCGTGTCTGGTGGGCTCCTGCTTTGGGCCGCCCACCTCACCAGTGACGGGATTCACATCTCCTTCAAACTCGGGAATGGGCTTGTAAAGCGCGGAAAAGCCACCGATGTCCACTTTTGGCGTCTCCGAGACCGATCCGCTGGCGTTGTACTCGTCAATAGCGGCCTGTGCATTGGCGATCTTCTGTAGCCTCTCAAACTCCTCTTGCTCCTCCTTGGGGAGCTGAGGAGGAGCTGGCGCAGGCTTGTCGAAACCCGACGAATATCTGACAGAATTTTTCAGGATCACGGATGGAGCTAGGCAGAAGCCCTTGGAACTTAATGCTCTGATCATGTTGAAAATGTCCAAGCTGCGGAAAAAACGACAACTATTGCACTGAAAAATCCGTACTTTATCGGAGAGAAATCGGTCTCAAGTCGATGAGCTGCTCGGCTATTCTTACGCCCTTCGCGGCTGTGAAGGCTCTGGTACACGACCTATCTCCACGTCTTGAAAACAGCTTTTTGAAAAACCTCCACATGTTCCCCCGAAGCCCCAAACGCGTCGATGTTTGCGAGAGTATTGCTGCTATTTACCTTAGCGGTTGCTCAACTGGTTGGGCTCTTGCTCTTTGCCAAGGGTTTTTTTCCGGGCAAAGTTGTGCTCAAGGGCAACGGAGAGTTCTACCATGACAGTGCTCCGTTTGAACAACAGTACGACAGACTTGTTTTGATGGTGGTTGATGCCATGCGGAGCGACTTTATGTTTTCGACTGAATCGAGGATGAGCTTTGTTCACGAGCTGATCAACAAGGGCGAAGCTCTGGGTTTTACGGCGTATTCTAATCCGCCGACGGTTACTCTCCCCAGGCTGAAAGGTATCACCACTGGGGCCACGCCTAACTTCCTAGACGCAATCCTAAATATAGCTGAAGAAGACACTTCATCGACTTTGGGGGATCAGGATAGTTGGGTCAAGGAATTGTTCATGAAGGGGTTCAAGATAAACATGTTTGGAGACGATACATGGCTGAAGCTGTTTCCTTCGTACTTCTCCAAGACGGATGGTACGAGCAGTTTTTACGTGGCTGATTTTACCGAAGTTGATCTCAACGTCACCAGGAATTTACAATACGAGATTGACCACAAGAATGAGTGGGACGCGATGATTTTGCATTACTTGGGTCTCGACCACATAGGCCACAAAGGTGGACCTACTTCACCACACATGGCCAAGAAGCAAGGCGAGATGGACGATATAGTGAAGAAGCTTTACAATGAGATTGTTAAGAAAGATCCCAGGACCCTTCTGATTGTTATGGGTGACCACGGAATGAACGATATTGGAAACCACGGTGGTTCTTCCGCTGGAGAGACTTCTGCTGCTATGCTGTTTGTGTCTCAAAAGCTTGGAAAAGTGAGACAAATCCAGGATCTTGCTCCTCTTTCGGTTGATGAAGACTTCAGCTACTTCAAGAGAATTCAGCAGATTGATCTTGTGCCCACCTTGGCTGCGCTGTTTGACTTCCCAATACCGAAGAACAATCTGGGTGTGTTCATCGAAGACTTCCTTCCTCTCTTCAAGAAGGATCGCTCTCTGAATGTGCTGTTGCAAAACGCGTACCAAATGCGTGTTTTATTGGAGAGAGGCGGTATTGACCTTGAAAAGGGGGATTCTGCCCTGTCCAAGGCATGGCTAGAAGCGTCTACTACGAAGACTTCCAGCTCAATCTATGAATTCTTGAAGGAAGCCCAAGATGAACTGGCAGGGGCCTCTTCAAACTACAACTATAACGATATATACCTGGGTCTGGCGCTGTTTGCGATGGCAGCTGTTGTTCATCTCGTTCAATATGTGGTGCTGTTCTCGGCTAATAAGATCACAGGGTTCGTGTATCTGATCGGGTTCGTGCTTTACGCAGCCAGTTTCTTTGGTTCTTCTCTTATTGAAGAGGAGCACCAAGTGTGGTGGTGGCTGGCCATTTCATCCTGTGCCATTCTGTTCGGATTGCAGATCCGCTCAGGGACTAAAGGTTCAGTTTTCACCTCTCTATTAGTCTTGTTTCTTGCTCGTTTACTAAGAGGCTGGAACAATAGTGGGCAAAAGTTCAATCTCACCACCAACGTGAAGATCGGCTCTATTATTGATGGTGAAAAGTCTCTTGGATTGGGAATGACTCTCTTTACATGTTATCTCTTTTCTTCTGCTGTCACTAAAATGTCAAGAGCACAAGAAGTAGTGGAGTTGGTTTCGTTTCTGAGTTCGTTTCTGCTTGGTTCAATTGCTGCTTCTATCAAAATTCTGACCAACTACGAAGATCTCGAAGAAACTCCAAAGTTCTTGAGACCACTCGTGATTTGGATAATGGACAATCTTGATACAGTCAGCCCTCGTGCTTGTCTGGTTCCAATGTTTCAGCTATTTTACATGACTTTGGGATGCGTTCTGGCAGCCAGACTGATGATCCACCGGGTCTGGCCAGAACGGTTTGCAGGCTCTTTCTTTAGCGACCTGTTGCACACCGTGACCATCTTGTTAATAGTACAAGCATCTCAGAGGAATGTGCCTCTGTTTGTCATTTTGCTCCTTCTGAGATGGGCCGTCGGAACTAGTATCTCTCGGGCTACATCCGGTCTCAGTGCAATCTCCAACATCACCGTCTTCAGCATCATCTTGCAGCATCTTTCGTTTTTCTCATCCGGAAGCACAAACTCGTTGTCAACAGTTGACTTGACTAACTCATTCAATGGCGTGTCGGACTATGGGCTGATTTCCGTGGGAGTCCTCACATACATCTCCAACTTTGGAGGGCCTCTTTTCGTCATACTCAGCTCTCTGGTCCTGCTGTACGAATACCGCCACAAAGACGTTTCCGACAAGTTTGACGTTTTCTACCGCAAATCTGTGATCCAGTTTACATTCTACTCCATCGCAGGTATTTTCCTTATGGTTGCCTGCTACTCGCTTAGATTCCACCTTTTCATCTGGACAGTCTTCAGCCCCAAGGTGTTGTACTTCTTGAGCTGGTTCGCCACGAACGTGGTGGTGGACTTTGTGCTGGGGCTTGTTCTTGTGGCTCTGTGGTGACCCTTGTGTACTTTTACTTGAATATAAACGCTTCTGGAACGAAATATGCCTCTAGTAATGCAGAACATATTTTTGATTATGTAAGCATGCAAGTTGTCTGCTTATGTCATCTTTCTGGGCCGGCTTGAATCCAAATCCAAGACCGTTCAGCCAAACCTGTTTCCTCCAACTTCACAGACTTCCCTACTGCGACGCTTGAAGATGACATCCAAGGCACAAAGGATGCCAAGGATCAAGAAAACGGTGTCGTTTTCGGATGTGCCCAAAATCGCCACAATTCCGCCCAACGATAGTCAACTCACAGCAGATTCAAAGACCACATCTCAGAACTCTTCCTCGACATGGGTCCCAAAATTAAACAAGACGGTTCTGACCGTGCCGTTTCACATACCGATGTTTGCTTATTCGTTGTTTGAGCACTACAATATCACGACAGACGCGGTGTCTGCGATGTCGAGGTCTTTAGTGGTGTTGGTTGCGTTCCAGGTTGTTTACGCCTTGATACTGATGCAAAACATATCTGAATCTCCAAAGAAGAAGAAAACCAAGAAAACCGTCAAGAAAGCCAGGGTGAGAGCTCCTGAGTCAGGTGACTTTCTGTACGTGACTTTTGCGTGTGGAGTGACTTTGTTGGGCACACTGCCACTGTTCATAGTGCTGATACTGTTTGGAGCTCCATTTACGGTGCTCCTCAAGGAGACTTATCTATTGGCCGTCCACATCAGTTTCTTGGTACTGTTGCCATTACTCATAGTGTACAAAATTGCTGACAACGACTCGGAAGTGCAGCCTTCTACGGTGTGGTCCAAGCTGCTGACCTTTGAGGTTGCGGATTGGTACAAACAACCAGCGTTCACCATGGCTATAGGCGGAGTGGTTGGAACATGGCTTGGTGCCATTCCAATACCCTTGGACTGGGACAGAAACTGGCAAACGTGGCCAATAACGTTGTTGGTGGGAGCGTATGGGGGTGCATTTGTGGGAAATGTGTTGGGTCAGTTAGCCTCACTTGTGTGAAGAGAATCTTTTGATTAAATAGATATCGTGGAGTTATATCCTGTATAATGAAGCATTAGCATAGAAAAAGCTCTAGCTTTGAGGTAGATTCCAAAGGATGGGCTAGAGAGGATGGCCACCAATAAAAATGATAAACTCTGCTCATTAACTAATTGCAGTCAAAACTATGGTAATGGCAGATATGTTAATATTATCATGTTACCATAATTGTTCCCCGTTTCTATGAACTATTCCATAACTATCCCCTCTTATTGTCCTCTTACTCGTTTGAGGCGCGAAAATGGGAGTCTGCACGACCCTTTTTTGAACACCCTAATAACAGACCTGGCAGATTTACCTGTATTCAACTTGTACAACAACAAGCAAATGGTGAGTATTTTAACGTGAAAATGGCTGTAGAAAACAGATCAATTACTTTCGAGCACTATCTAACTGAACGCAGAGTTTACTTTACAACAACGCAATCAAACAAACGCAGAACCTACGAAAGGACCTCGAAGCGTTTGACGGAAATCCAGTAGGGGCCCCGCTTTCGCTGTTGGGACAAATCACGACGACTATCACGCTGTTGGTGCGGACTTTGGATGAATATGAGAGTTTTATAGCCAAGGAGACCATCAACGAGGAGAAAAAGCTGAAGAACGAAACGAGACTGCTGAATTTGAGAAGCGAATTGGGTGAATCCAAGGAAAAATTCACGCTTTTGAAGAAAAAAAGAGAGCAGGGACTTCAGGATACCGGCAGGACCCAGTTATTCGAGCGTGGAAGAAATGGGGCAGGTTCCGATAATCCATATGACGACACTGCTAATCAGCAGCCTGGAGTTGCGTCTTCATTGAGCATGCAGGAAGGTTTATTAAAAGAAGGTTCGGTTTTGGGAAGAGGCAACCAGCAGTTGGATGAGATTTTGGAGATGGGAAGGGCAACTTTTGAGGACTTGGTGTCACAAAACGAAATCATAGCAAAGGCACAGCGGAAGATGACGGAGTCATTGAGTACCCTAGGCTTTTCCAGAGCAACTATCCGCAAAATCGAGAAAAAGGCATTTGAAGACAAGTGGATATTCTACATCGGAGCATTATTCACATTTTTCTGCTTCTGGCTGATCTGGAGGTATCTCGGGTGATCTTTGAAAAGGGTTTGAGGCCTCTCCTACATAGAATTGGAGCCACCAAAATCGGGAATTGTATTCTATGAAAAGCGGACATTTGTATTTTTGGTGGTTTTATATGCGTCTTTCGAGTTTATTTCTCGGTCTATTCGAAAATACCCCAGTATTTTTCCACTCCATAAGATCCACCGTCCTTCCAGTAGTCGTTGTAGGTGGTGAACATGAGCACCTGGTCCCCGACTTCTTCAACAATTGCCTTAATGGCAGTGAGCTGATTTTCTTTAGAAGGAACAGCAACTCCGTAAGTGTCACCCTGGGTTGGCCAGCCGGTTTCGCAGATCAACACATCCTTGGATGACCCACATGCCTTGTAGATGTTGGCGATTTGGGTCTTCAAGAAGGTACCAGAGTCCTCTGGTAGAACATTTCCGTCCCAGAAGGGATGCGAGTTAACGGCAATGAAATCTGAAACATCACAAAGATCAGTGTTATCCTGAACAGCAACAAGCGTGTCCACGGAAACCACATATCCTGAATAGCCTTTGTCGGAAAGAGCAGATCTGGCACTAGAAACAGCAGCGGAGACCTGCGAGACGGAATAATCTCCGGAGTTGACCCATTCGTTTCCAACAGAAACAGCATAGACACCGTCCCATCCTTGGGACGAAGATTCAACGGCAGAAGATAGAGTCTCAATGTCCGTGGTCAATGAGTCCATATAGTACAACCCTGCAAACAGCTTTTGGTTATCTCCCATGACAGCCATGATATTTTCAACACAAGAACAATCTGGAGCATAGACTCTGATGTAGTCAAAGGCTGAGAGCAACTGGATGTCAGATTGGATCACGTCCGAGGACTTGCACGATCCGGAGTCGGTATATGGCGAGTAGGCAATACCCTTGGACTTTTCTGCGTAACTTGATACCTCGGAGGTTGCAGTCGACGAGGCAACTGCAGAAGAGGAGGAAGCAGAGGAGTGGATGGACGAAGAATAGGGAGAGCCAGAAGATTTTGCGGACGCCTTGGTCGCAGACTTTGCTGAAGACTTTGCTGAAGCTCCTTTCGAGGAAACCACAGATGAGGGCAAAGCAGCAGGCTCGGTAGCACTGCTCACAAACGAAGTCTGCAAAGTGGTTGGGTCACTGGAACCTGGACCAGCCATAGTAACAACCTGAGTGACCAACACGGTGACCACCTCTGGAGCGGCATGAGCTTCTCTCTTGTGGAAATGGTGGTTGTGAGGCAATGCTGCAATCAACGTTGGCACGAATGACCAAAGCAAGAGTGCAGAGTATTTCATATTGCTGGTGGTATGTGAAATTAGAGTTGACGTCTATATGTGAATCAGGCCAGGATCTCTGCCAAAGATGTGAGGATATAAAAAAGATGCAAGTCGGATCTGTGCTTTTGCTGCTAGTATACCGCGTAAAGCAGAGTGAGCAGAATAAGCAAATTAGGAGGACAAAGAGGACTCTTTAGCGACGAGAAGAGAAGGAAATTCAGATTTATAGCACAAGAGAACGAAACCTTATATATCTATACAAACGCTTCAAAACAGCTTGGGACTAAGCCCTTCCAAAGGGGTTTTAACCTTGAGCCTGTAGATCCTGTAACATGCCTGAGGTACGTGCGGCTCATGCAAGGCACGCGCAGCTGCCCCTTCGATAAGAAGACCGACGCGGTTTAAATTCGGCAAATATGTTACATTTTCATAAGTGCAAGCAGTTGACGTATAGATTTTGTGAGGAATACCCCGTATGTCACAGACATTTTAATAAAATGGGATTTCATTAAATTTGTTGTTGGTTATTTGGGTAGATATTGTTGCCTGGTTTCTTGGTCCTGGAGGTTGACCAGATCTGGGCCTTTGCTCAGCCCAAGGGCTTTTACCAAAGGGCTTTTACCCGCGGTGCTCTTTCGCTGCGGCCCCTTTTTTCACTGGGATCGGTGCTTAGCTATATTTACATAATTTTGATTTTTGCTTGGTTTCCCTTCTGGGTATATTGTTTGAGACTGCGAAATGCGGCTGCCATGGAGATGGCGTAGGTCGCGATGGATTGCGAAGGGGCCGCCGTCTCTTTGACAACATGCTCTCTAACAAATCTAACAGGCCCTTACAAAGACTAGGCTCGCGGAAAATAATTTCACAGTTTCTCGAATGCGTCCACCGCCATCGATCAGTAGATTTCAACCGCGTGGCCAACGGTCGAAGGTGCGTTTTCTGAAGTGACGCTTATATGACCTCATTAGCCTTATGGGGGCATATTGGATCTAGGCCGTCAGGCAATAAAATCTTATTTTTACAAGCATGGAAAATAGTAATCCATAACAGCCTGATACCGTAATAGACTAGAATTATATAATATCAAAAGGGAGGAGATCGCCTTCCAAGGTGGGCCCAGAAGGCACAGCGAAATGGAGAAAGGAAATTCAGCACGGTCTATTCAATCTAAAGCAAGCGATCTGAACAAAAAAAAAATCTGAAAAAATATTCATTCCAATTTTCAGCTTCACAAGCCCCACCTTCAAATACCAGAATCACCTTTGATCACCTGTTTAAAGTTTCCGTGAAAAATGTTGTAAAAGTCTCTCTTGGTGTTCTTCAAGTTGATGGCCATGAGGACCGAGGTGGGCTTGGAGAAAATATCGTCAATCTCTTCCAGAGTTTTTCCTTTGGTCTCTGGGACCATCAGCAACTGATAGATCCAACCAATGAACGCGATACCTCCGTAAAATCCCAGGGTCAACCCAGTGTAGGTCATTGCCTCGGTCATCTTGGTGAAGTTGTAAGTGATGATGAATGAACATAGATAAAGCAAACTCGAAGAGCATGTCATACCGTAGGATCTCAGATACGTAGGATACACCTCTGCCGGTACGACCCAGGTCAAACAGGCATACGAGCCGAAGAATCCCATATAGAGAATGACTCCAGTCAGGTAAACACCTTTGGAAGCCCGATTCTCAATTGGAATCAAATAGCCAACACCAACACAAATCAAACCTATGAAGAACCCAGGCAACATGGAGTTGGCCCAGAATCTTCTGCCACAAGTATCCATGTACATGATCGCAGGAATGGTACCAAAGAGCAAGGCTGCACCTCCAACGAGCGACATGTTCACAGCATTCTTGTCGCTGAAACCAATATTTTTCATCAAGGTAGACATGTAGTACATCACGGCATTCACACCTGTGAACTGGCCCAGAATGATCATGATGTTGGCATAGATAAGAGATCTCCTACATCTTGGCACAGTGAAGAAGTCCAACCACATCATCTTCTTATTTGTGTGGCCTTCAGCAGCCTCTTGCTGTTCCAATTGTTGGGTCATGTCCAGAAATTCGATCTTATTGGCGACATCGTCCATATCACGAAGTCTCTTCCAAACACCGTAGGCCAAACCAACTTTACCTTTATGGACGAGATATCTGGGAGATTCCGGCAGGAAGAACATACCAATGAATAGGATCGTGGAAAACACCAAGGAAGAACCAAAGATAAACCTCCATCCTCCGTGTACGTCTTCAAACATTGCCGCAATAGAATAGCCAAAAACTTCACCAAGAGCGATGTTAAACTGGTACAGAGAAACCATGTTACCCCGGTAGGCACTAGGAGCACATTCAGATACATAGGCTGGTACAACCGATTCCAAACCGATACCGATACCTAGAATAAATCTACCAGCATAGAGCATACCACCGTCCCTGGAACCAGCACACAATGCTGCACCAAGAGTATAAGCGATACAGGACCCAATAATAGAGGTTCTTCTTCCAATAGCCTCGTTCAAAGGAGACATGAGAATGGAACCAGCAACAGCACCAAGAGGCATGAGAGACGAAACCAGCGATTGTTCATGACTATCCATATGGAGAGCGCTTGGATATTGCAGAGCAGCACCGGAAATCAACGATTGATCACAACCAGAAAGAATTCCTGCCATCGATGCAAAAAACGCAAGCATGTACACCATGTGTTTTTTGTTTTGGAAATGGACTTTTATCTCTGTGGAAACCATCCTATCGTAAAAACTCATGTTCTGCTGCGACTCTTGGTACAGTTGCTCGAACTTCAGAAAATACTCATCAAGATCTACTCCGTGGAGTTTCTCCAAAGCTTCCAGCTTGTCTGCACCATCGTCGACTTTGATATCAGTTTCTGAGTAGTTGGATACCTGTGAGGTAACCTCGTTTTCGCCAGTCATGTTGTACCTTATAATTGGACTAGACGGAATTAATAGGGATATCAACTAAAGAGGAGAATAAAGCAAAACGCAAGGTATAAGGGGATCTCGGCACGCATTTTACGTTTACACAGAAAGCTGGAATTTGACGGAAACGATCCTGAAAAGCTCGTATGCAGAGTGGATAAATCCCTCCAGCACGGGCATCGGAAGGTAAAAAGCCTTGGTGTGCAGATTACCCCATGGGTAAGGAGTCAGCACATGTTGCTCCGGAAAAAGCTGCAGCAAGGGGACTAAGGATTATTCAAGCGGAAAAAAGCTGGAGATCGCATGGGTTCGGGGCAACTCCACGCTTGCCAATTATGACGCAGAATTCATAGAATTAACTACTCATCAGCTCACTGGAAAAAAGTTACAATTAGAAGCAACAATATAATATCGATCTCACTCGGGAAAGGCTTTTTTTTTTCGAGAATAAGCACTCCGGAAACTTTCCCCGGGAAATCTCACGTAATGTTGCCGGAAAAACCTGGCGGAGAGATTTATGCAGTTTTAATCCGACCTTAGTGTTATGTCAATTATTCCGAATCAATCTTTTCTCTCCACATCATCTTTCACCAAAATATTCTATATCGCTCCATGACCGACTATGGATACCTCCGTGATGCGATATTTAATCGTTTATTTGGGGTCTTGGAGGGGTCGGTCGAGGGGAAAGTCATCCACCGGATTAATCCCGTGGCACAGCCCAAACCACGCAGGAGTGGCTGGGGTATAGCCGGTACTATAATCGATGATGTAGATCTCGGTCCCAGTTGAACGAAACGGGGCCCCTGAAATTTGATCTCAGGTGGATAAGCAGCAAGACCAATCCGGATTGAAAGCTTAAAATCCAAATTGGGTTGACCAATCCGGTCTTACTCGTGGGGTGACTGGAGGGGACCTAAGTATACTATGATACCCGCAGAATGACATGGTGGGATGATGGTACGGTACTGAAACATGGCGCACAACATTCAGCTATTTGGCTAGTGAGCCACTAGATTTAATGCAATTGCGTTCCGGGGCTAGCGGTATAACCTAATTATAAACCCCAACATGAAAACTGCAGGGCCCTGAATGACTGAAAGTTCCAAGCTAAAATTGCAAGTGCGTCAACAGCATGCAAGCCAACAGCGTGACGGAGCATGGTGATTGGAGGGAGGTGTAAAAAGGCAGCAACAATAAGAATTGGCTAAGCTTGGTTATTGATGGAGGTCACGCGCTTAAATATTTGTAGGTATTTTGTCAATAAAACCGTTTGAAAAAGGTGCGCTCGCGTATGATCATCACTCCACGCATTTTGCGCATTGTAGAATCGATGTTCGACATGGCCCATAGCACTCATGAAAGACGTCACAAATCACACTCAAGCCTCGGACACCCTTTGTTCTATATCGAGTTTCTCGAGTATAATATAAGCGAACACGTATGAAAATGTGATACTCGAATCGAAATTTTGAACATGCATTATTCATTTGAGGTTAAATATAGGCATAATAGTTGTCAAAAACACTCTTTCAATCTATGCCTATAACCGTCATTTCAGAACAGAGCTCTTCTGTATCTTAGTAAACTGAGGTCACAACCAAAGAGATTCTTTTGACTGAAGTTCACGATCACCCTGAACCGATAGCATACTGGCCCTTTAATCTCTTTGAAAAACAGTCCTCCTAATATTGCCGGGACCTCTTCAAACAATCAAACAACAACCAGACTTTGCGCGATCTTCTTGCCCCACCTGCCTAGAATTCTGCCCATGGGAACTCCTTTGTTCTTCTCCTTGGGCTTCATCTGCTGCACTAATGCTGCTGCTGGTGGGCCTTGAATGTGAAACCTTGGCTGGAGACCGAGATCTCTGGTTTGTTTCTTGCTCCTGAAAACGACTCTGCGATTCATTATTCGGCCTAATCAGCAGATCTGGGTTTTCGGTACTAGTCCGAGCACCACTCTGACCAATCTGCGCCGTATTTGATCCAGAGTTTGTAGTCATTCCGGCCACAATGCTACTTCCACGTCTCGCACCTCCACCAGCAACGTTTGGGTTTGGATTGGTGCCTGCGTTCGAAACTGATTTGCGCCTGCCACCTCCAATAACAGCCTTTAGGTCGAATTTCTTTCCCTTCTCCATAGAGCTCAGATACAAATCGTGTGGCTTGATCACCACATGCAAGACCGGCGATAATTCGAGGTTCAAACTAGTCAGTTCACACGAATTGTCAAGTCGCATTCCGAGATGTAGCAGCTGTATCTGGTTTAGATCAAGTAGCTCAACGGTTTCAACACCATCGACACTTCCCTTCTTTTCAGCTGAAATACTTTCCCAGTTCTCAAATATGTACTTCTTCAATAACTCGACCGTCGGCGAATCATCACCGCGTGATAGCGCGTTGATTATTTCCTGAGTGAACTCTAGACCATATTTGGATCCGTCCAAGAACAGGAGGAACACCTCTGTTCCAACCAATGTTGCGTTTGCCATTGAAGATCTTGAATATGCCACTCTTGAGAGTCTCAAATCACAGAAATATGCTTCGAAAACCGGAATTTCACCTTCTCACTGCCATATGAGGTTCCTTAATGTCAAAGGGGCCAAACTTAAGCTTCAGCAAATGAAACTCGAAGTGCTGATGCTAGACACAAACACGGAGTTACACGAAATTCACAAAATAATCCACAGACAACTACCACAAATTTGATGGTGTGGTTCAACTCGAATAAACCACCTTTGATGGCAACAAAGAACTCCTTGTTGGAACCGTCACCGTTTTGTGACGTTTCCTAAGCCATCTCAAATACAAAAAGGCATTCTGTGTGAAACTCAAATATCCAAATCGGGAATGATATGTAGTTTTTATCTGTGGACGAGCTTGTTGTCAAAGCAAATCGGTAGCCTAGCTAAGAAACCAACATCCCCGATATTTTCAAATCCGGAACTCTTGGTAGTAAATTAAGTAGTAAATTTAAGGTTCTACTTCTCATTTCCTAAAAACGCGGTGAAATGGAAGAACCACTGTAATGGTGCAAATAGAATACCTGTTCGTGTATTTTCCAATAGTACGCCGCAGTTGGCCTTACTTATCCATCTCCTCACTTTAGTCACCAAAGGGAGGTATTTATTTTGGCCAGAAATTTGAAAAACATCAGATTTCCAGAAAAAAACCTAATTCTACAAAATTATCCCGCGCGTAAATAGTAAAAACTTTCGAATCACTTCAATCAAAGCACAACAATACCTCACTGTTACTGATATACCCTCACTATCCATTACGAACAGAATCCACTCTTGGTCACCTGATGAAGTTTAAAGCCGCATAGCAATGTCTGCCAAAACTCCCGTGCCCCAACCAGAACCACTCGGATGGGACCCATGGGGGCATTGCTTCTTCGATCTGATGGCGTAGACCATATCTTCCGTTCATCCAGCAGTCATCATATTAGCTCTTATTGCATTTCATTGAGTCGTTGATATTCGATATTTGCTTCCAGGCTTAAAAAAATGGACTCAAACGCCGAACTGTAAGTGCACACACACTTCAAGCCTCTTACCCCGTTGTAATACTACTCTGCTGGCCACTGCAGCAGCGCTTGTGTGATTATGTTACTAATTCTTTCTCTTTTTTCCCTCAGACAGCCACAATTGAAGAAGCTCAACTCCTCTTTACTGAGATTGAAACTTTTGGATGCTTTGGGCAGTGGCGATTCTGTTAAGTTAGATGCGATCCTTGAAGACGTCAAGAGCTCTGATTGCTTGCAGGATCCCGCGATCGCAGGCGTTTGCTCGTTGTTGCTTCATTATGCTGTCCAAGTTGCGCCGATATCAATAGTGGAATACATAGTCTCCAAAAGATTAATCGGAGACATCAATTCTACGGATGCGGATGGCAATACTCCGTTGCACTTGGCTTGCCAGTCTTCAAGACACGATGTCATACAATATCTGATGTCTCTGCCCACTATCAATGATTGCATTCTTAATAAGCAGATGAAACAGCCTATAGAGGTGGTTACCGACATGTCCACTGTACAGCTGGTGACAGACGCAAGGACCAAGTTCGTCGAGCAGAAAGCCAATGAACTCAGAACGGCTTTTGAGACAAGAAACTTCAAGAAATTAGAGAAGCTGCTTTCAAATCCGAGAGTGAAGGAACTTTTGGATTTGAATGGAACAGACCCTGTCACTGGAGACACGGTTTTACTGGAGTTTATCAAGAAGAACGACCAGGAGATGGTGAAGTTCATTTTGCAAAATGGTGGTGACCCGTTCAAGAGAAACGTGAGCGGAAAGTTACCTGTAGATTATGCCACAAACTCGGCTATGAAGAAGCTTCTCAAGGAGTCATCAAAAGACCAAAGCATGATTGATCCCGGCAGTGCCGCACCGGCTTCAGGACCCCCTACCTATAAGGGTTTTTTGAAAAAATGGACCAACTTCGCCAGCGGCTATAAATTGCGCTGGTTTATACTTGATACTGAGTGTCGATTGTCTTACTACAAGTCCCCATCTGACATACACAATTCGTGTCGGGGTATGATCAATTTGACGAACGCCTACATCAAATTGGATTCTTCGGAAACTTCCAAGTTTGAGATTATTATCAGAAATGGTAATAATAGCACTCCTGTGAAGTGGCATTTGAAGGCCAATCATGTTACTGAGACGAATAGATGGGTTTGGGCTTTGCAGAATGCTATTCGTTACTCTAAAGACCAAAGAGCAAAGCTATTGGTTCAACAGCAACCACAACCTCCACTCAAGGAGAAGGTTTCCCGAAACAGAGAGAGCTTTGACTCAGCAAGAAACAACAACACCCAAAATATCGGCTTTAGCCACAAGACCCATCAGAGAAATCCATCCGCAACGTCAAATGTTTCTCTTTCTTCCATGTCTGATGCTGAAGAGGCGTCGATAACGAACAGACTTTCTTCAAATACAACAAATGGCATAGCCAACACTGCCTCTGCGAAGAAGTTGCCCAAATCTCCCAGGATCAAGTCTATCAAAAAGGAAAACTTTGGTCTGCCCAACATCAACGAGAACAGCAGACTACAGATACCAGATGTAGGATCTGCTCAGTCGTCTATCAGAGATGATTCGAGTGGAATTGTTGGTTACGATTCTACTGATGACTTTAATGAAGACAGATACAGCGAAGGTGACGATGAGGAGAATGATGATGACGATGCGAACGATTTTGACATTGATTCCAACACGGATTCCATGGCTGCTAAAGCAAGCACTTTGAACACTGAGCTCAATGTTATTCATAATCAGCTTCTGATGGAGATACAAGCTTTCAAGGATTATTTGAAACACAGTGCCGGTGATGAATCTGTTGATGTCTCTTCTCTTACCCAGGTGTGTGGTACGATTCTGACTTCAGTTGAGACTTTGAATAGCAGGTACTTTACAACATTGAAGCACAGAGATGCAAAAATCCTGAGATCGTTCCAAAGACAGAAGGAAGTATCACGGCTATGGGAGGATTCCATCAAGATTCTGGAATTCGATCTTATTGATAGAGAAAGGAAGATTGTTGATCTGGAGGATAAGCTCAAGACTGTAAAAAGGGCATTGAAAGGTGGCGCCGAGACTGGTGGTATTCAAATCTCGGCCCCAGCTAAAGAGGCAGAGGTGCAAAAGATTCTAGACGAATCCGATAGTGACGACGATGAATTTTTTGATGCTCAGGAAGCCGGTCGCAGCGATGTGCCAACTCCCGAAAATGAGATCGACAGGGAGCCTTCCTCTCAAGCCTCCACTGCTTTGCCAGCATATATGGCCACAAGCAGTGCAGTGGCTGGTATTGGTCCCTCAAATGTCAGTTCGGATGAAACGTCCTCCATAACCACCAAAGTGGAAACCGCTAAAGCCCCCGAAGATTGGCAGGAGGCGTCCATCCCGCTCGTTTCCGAGAAGCAGAAAGCCAAATACGAGCAACTCTTGGATGAAGGACTGTTCGTTGGCTATGAAGATCCAATCAGGACGAAACTTCCTCTGGATGACAAGAGACCAAAAATCTCACTTTGGGGTGTCTTGAAATCAATGGTGGGTAAGGACATGACCAAGATCACCCTCCCAGTCTCCTTCAACGAGTGTACTTCGCTTCTTCAACGTGTTGCAGAAGATATGGAGTACACTGATTTGATTGACCAGGCTGCGCACTCAGACGATTCTGCATTGCGAATGGTTTATGTTGCTGGTTTTGCCGCCTCAGAATATGCGTCCACGATTGGTCGCATTGCCAAACCCTTTAATCCATTACTAGGCGAAACCTATGAATACGCAAGACCGGATAAAAAATACAGATTCTTCGTGGAACAGGTTTCGCATCACCCTCCTATCTCTGCCGCATATGCCGAAAGTCCATATTGGGATTACTATGGAGAGAGCTTTGTCAAATCGCGGTTTATGGGTAGATCTTTTGACATCAATCCTCTGGGTATGTGGTTTTTGAATGTCAGACCTGACCATGGTGTTATTGATAAGTTTGGCAAGAAAGTGCCGGAGGAACTGTACACCTGGAAAAAAGTCACCAGTTCGGTGATTGGTATCATTATCGGTAACCCATCCGTGGATAACTTCGGTGATATGCATTTGAAGAACCACGTGACTGGAGACTCTTTGATTCTGCACTTTAAGCCCCGTGGTTGGAGGGCTTCCTCAGCGTACGAGCTGAAGGGAGATGTGGTTGACAAGAATGGTAAACCATGTTATTCGATAGGTGGTCATTGGAACAGCAAGATATTTGCTCGGAAACTGAATCCTGATGGGAACCCACCTGGCGAGCCTTTCCTAATATGGCAAGCGGCACCAAGACCGGAGAAGATGGCTTTCAATTTGACAACTTTTGCCTCGTCTTTGAACGCTTTACAACCTCACCTGATTCCATATCTCCCTCCTACAGACACTCGTTTCAGACCTGACCAAAGGGCCATGGAGGAAGGTGATTACGACGTTGCGCCTGGTGAGAAGCAAAGAGTCGAGGACAAGCAGAGAGCTGCTCAGAAGTATAGGACGGAGAAAGGCATTCAATACAAGCCTCATTTCTTCGTCAAAAAGAGACATCCTGTCACTGGCGATGAATACTGGGAGTTCAATCACGAGTATTGGTTTTTGAGGAAAGACAAAAAGTTGAAGGAGCTTGGAGATATCTTTTAAAAGCGAAACTAACACCATGCTGGTTTACGTCTTGAGCTCATTCGTTATATTTTATTTTTGGAAGATACATATACTCATAATTGACTTTTTTTGACACCAATGTACCGAAGGATCAGCATAAACTGATATCAATACCTGATACCAGTGCCTGATGCCAGCCCCTGGTGTCAGTATCTGGTGCCATGATAAGTAGGCTTTTTCGGGCCCAAGTCCTGTATTAGGCCCAGTGGTCTTCTCAGCCTGTCATCGTTAGACAACTGTCTGGGTCCTTGTAGTTTTGACATAGAGGGCGATGAAGGAATCGTGATATTCTCAAATGGACTTGGTGATGCTAGAGAAGCAGTTGTCTTTGGTTTGGAAGCCATAGCTTGCCCTAGAGTAACCTTTTTTCCAAGAATATTAGATAGTTGTTGCTCCACTTGTTGCTCCAATACAAATTGGAATTCGTTCCTGTAAGATCTGCGTATTTCGTCAACTTCCAACTCCATTAGTTCCCTCTGGTGTTCCAGCTCTTTATTCATGGATTCGTACATCACGTCCTCCACAGCCTTGAGCTTCTTCTCTCTTGTAGTGAGCTGAGACTCCATTTTCCAAAGCTCGTTTTCTCTGTGCGACAACTCCAGCTCCTTTCTAAATATTTTAAAAGAGGAGTCCTGCAGAAGTTGATTGGCCGAAGCCCTTTCCTCTGGGTCCGTGATCAAACACGCATTGATGACCATCTTGAGACGATGAGAATAGTGCTCGGGTATCGGATTGAACGTCCCGGCTTTGATTTTTTCATGTAACGAAAAGTGAGTTTTTGCTTGAAATGGTGGTGCCAGTGAACACATCTCATACATTACACATCCCAGAGACCATATGTCGCAGACTGGAGAATAGGGTTTATCAACCAGCACCTCGGGAGACATGTAATACGGAGTACCCACATAAGTCTTTGCAAATTCGTTCTCGTGCTTCAACATCTTTGCCAAACCAAAATCTCCAAGCTTTACAGAGCTGTCCTTAAGCAGGAATATGTTATCCGGTTTGATATCACGGTGTATCACCACACTTCCTTGGTCTATGTTCTTGGGAGCATTCTCTTCAGGTGTTGATTGGAACACATTTGAAACAGCAGGGATGTCAAACCCGTTATGGCACCGGTACAATGCCAGCAATACTTGTGTGAAAATTGGCCAGATCATTTCTTCTGGAACATACTCTTTTCTCTGTTTGTAGTTCTTGATCACAGTGGAAAGATCGCCTCCATCACAGTATTCCATGTATAAGTGAACAACGTGTTCCTCGGGAATATGGTCATGATGTATGTACTGAACAATATTTTGATGCTTCAGTTCCCTTAAAATCCTAAACTCAGCTGATAACTGCTGTTTTTCCTTCGAGTTCATTGCCACATACGAGATCTCCTTGCGGCCAAAGATCTTTCCATCAGACTTGCGGCGCACTTTGCGTACGCATCCAAATGATCCCCTGCCTATTATCTCCAGAGGCTGGAAATCATCAGCTATATTGCTCATCTGGTGGTGGTAAGAGGCAGTTTAGTGCTTTGAAGGTCGGTCTATACGAGATTAAACCCCGTTAGGCTTGGAGCACTCAAGACAGTTCTCCAGTGTTGATACATTTCCCTTTCGGGAAAACTCAAGGCGGTGCACAATAAGATTGGGTTTCACACTACATTGAGATTTGAGAGTGACTATATCAAATGACGAGATTGCCAGATTACCTTTCGAAGAAGCCTACCTGTGAACTTAGCTCACACATCGAATGTCGTTCCAAAGTAAAAAGTTTCGGTCCAAGGCCCAACAAGCAGCATTCGAGAAAACTTTTGTGGGCAGATATCAGAGGTTGGTGAAGAAGAACTCGTTCTTGTTCCTGGGCATACCCATGATTGGGTCTGTGGCGCTGGGGTCCGTGCTGCTTTCCAACTTCACTGCGATTCGCTACGAGCAAAGAGATGCGAAGGTAAAGGAGCTGGATGAAGAAGAGAGCTTAGCGATAGCAAACCAGAAGAGGCGGAAGGTCGACCTCAAGGAGGAGTACTACAAGCTGCAGGGTTTGGCTGAAGAAAACGAGAACTGGGAGCCCGTGAGAGTTGAGCGTCTGAAAGGAGAGAGCGAGAATGTCTGGTGATAAAGACGTACTGATATAATCGGTGAGACCCCAGTTGTCGCTTTCACTGGTAACTAACAGTGAAAAGCATGCAGAAGCTATTGACAGCATGCTCTGGCCACATGGATAAGAAAGTTTATATATACCCACGTTAACGATACGAATACTGAAATTTTGAACATATTTTGATAGTATTTTAACCATTTTTGGACTATTTTCTCAACCATCTTGAGTCTTCATTAAAGAGAGAAAGCCCCCATCACATCCGCCATAGTTAGTGCACTAACTGTGTGGGATGACATGCAGGCGATGAGCTGAAATTTTTTTGTATGAGTTTGTATGAAAAACTAAACGAGAGGCTCTTCTTCAACGTTTATAACTACAAGTGCAGACCGTTATAGAAGATGGTTTCCTTTTCATGTGAAGTTTGCAATGACACTGTCATCAAGAAAAAACTGGACCAGCACCAGAGGCAGTGCTACGGTGCTTACTTCACCTGCATCGACTGTTCCACAACTTTCCAGGGCACCGAGTACAGGAACCACACCAGTTGTATCAGTGAGGCTGAGAAGTATGAGAAGGCTCTTTACAAGGGGAAAAAGCAGGCGAAACCCCAGCCAAAACAACCCCAGGAGATAAAGCAACAGGAAGTTAGGAAGGAAGCCAAGAAGGAAGTCAAGAAGGAAGTGAAGGAGAAGGCCTCCAAGGTTGTCGCCGAAAAGAAGAGCAAAAAGAGCGATTTGGCCCAGTTCCTTGGCCAGGACTCATCTTCTCTGTACAAAGTTGTCAAGGCTGCCGCCAAAAGTCAGAAATTATCAACTAAGGATGTCTTGAAGAGCCTGAAGGTGGTCCAGAATGAGGACGGCTCGATTGCGGTTGCATTCAAATAGATACATAGATAAGCATTGTACTATAAGTAGAACAAATGGAATAGTTTCTACACACTTGATAATATGAGCTACAACGTCCCAATACTTGAGCTATCCCATGATCCTACATCTACTCAATAATCACCTGTATCCTAAGTTTTTGCAACACACTTAGAAGCTTCAATTATCACCATCTGCATTACAAACCACTTCACTTCTTGTCCAAATCACTCGACAGCTTTCCAAAGAACCTCTTTGCATTACCAACACCCACCTTGAGATCATCTAGAAAGTAGTCCGTCAAACACTCCCTCAGTCTTTGCTCGTTGTTCGTGGGTATTTCATCATCATTATAGTCCAGCAAAGGTTCGTAGTAAAGATCTTGGGTCTTTGTATCCTTGTAAGCGGTGATCTTGAAAAACAGAGTGGCATGGGCACCTGTCTTCTGCAAATGGAAAACGAACTCGGACGAGGACTCCTCATAGTTCCAGCACGAGAGACCCGTCATCATCTGAACTAAGTCCAGAACAGTCTCATATTTGTTCAATTCGGATTCTGCATTGGTGGTATCCGATTGTGTTTGTGTTGCAAGACGCTGCCTGAGCTCTTCATTCTCCTGTTTTAGTTTCTGATTCTCATCACTTATCGCCATGAGTCTATCATTCTCGCTCTGTAGCGATGCTATTAGCTTTGTTCTTTGTTGCTCCAATAGTTCAGTCTCTGCTATTAGATCTTGATACAACTGTAAGGGCGTCGCCGTAGTCAAAGTTGTGAATGTAGATGTCAGAAACGAGGTGTCTTTGTTTTGGAATGCTTCTTGTATGGCCTTCTCGGATGGTAGAACCACCAAACTTTTGGAAATCTTAGCAGAACGCTTCGAATTCAAATCGCTCTGCGTGGCTTGTGACAAAGCCTTTGATCTGGCACTAGCAGCCTTATGCTTTGGAGCTTGGTTTTCTTTATTGCCAATCAGACCGTTGTCTATCTTGGAGCCAGACCCTTTAGCCCTAACAGACATAGCACTTCTATTTGCTTCCATAGCAACAGTCCTCTTAGCTCTTGACATTTCGAGCAAGTCCGTTAAGGAACGGTTTTATTTATTTTCAAAGACCTAACGCCAAAAATCAGAAGCCTTAAGACTTCACCCCAAAGTGTAAACAAATCAAAAAGGTCGTGTACCAAAAAGATAAATCCCACGAAACGGCAAGCGGGAATCTTGATGAGTTCAAAGCTGAATTGGCCACGGACAAGACCACACTTTTCATCACCTCCAGATTACTTGAGTTTACGCCAAACAACACATCTCAACATGTCTCAGAGACAGGATTATATCGCCAAGGTGAGGTATCAGAATGATTTGCCTCCACCTCCGTGCCCTCCTAAGCTGCTTACTACAGCCATATCAGATGAAGGAGACCTGATAGACTCGCCGAAGCTTCTGACGTCTCTGTTTAGAAGGGAAAACTTTAAAAATTTGATTTCCATAGATTCCCTGAAGCTAGATCCTTTCAAGATTCCCGGGTTTGTTGATCAAACCGATGAATCGACGATTGGCAAGCTGCCTGGATTCACCTCTGCCCAGCTGCATCCGGACGATCAGTTGTTGCTTATTGACCCCTCAATGAAGGGAGCTGTTTCCACATCTACTGGTAATGTGAGTTTCTTGAGAAGAACACAGTATATTGCGGCAGACAAGGGAGGTGCTCTTGGAGTCAATAACTTGGCATTGAACTTGAACATGGAGAAGCTCAAGACGAAAGAAGAAAAGACGGATCCCGAGTCTCAGCTCCGTGCTGTGGAGGAGACCTTCGAGCATGCTACGGATACGCTTGTTGAGGGCTCAGAGTTCGAGAACCTGAGACACCCAGTCAAAAAACATCTCAAGGCCAAAAAGGTGTACACTTTCTTGCCAGACACATCCATGATGGACCAGGTGTATATGCATGTGAAGTTCATAGGGTCCGCTTCTATTGTGGAGGACAAGTCCAAGATCCCACTGGATGACCCCAGGGTGGTAACCAGTTTGTTCAAGCCAATGAACGTGAAGGATGTGGAATGGGTGTCACTTTTCCAGACCGGCAAAGAGTCTGCTGAGTCCATGAAGAGGAAGATAGACGAGACAGCCACCAGTGGAGGTGACGAAGAACAGTACGATTTCAAGCACATGAGGGATTACAACATGGATTACATCGAGTATCCCGATATCTTTGAGGAGTTGGCGATAAACCTTGACGAGGAAAAGAAGACGGCATATTTCCTGCCCGTTTCTGGAAGGGTGGATCTGAAGAGACGCAGAGTGGCTCCTTCTTTGGAGCAGTTCATCAAGAATGAAGATTTCACAAACATCAGCCTCACGCTAAGAGAGCCCGACACGGGAGAGGCCATTGCACGTGACAACAAGAGAGTGGTATACGATCCTATGGAGTATGCTGAGATGGATGTGGAGGAGCTAGAGGAGAACCCGGACGAGACGCCGGACGTTGAGGATGAGCAGTAAGCTGCGAGCTTCAAGTTAAAATAAATCGAATTAATTTTTTCTTTTTTTTGGAAATTTCACGGCGCGTAAAAGCCGCTGACAATAGGCGATGACCTCGGGGCGAAATGTAAACACAAACGCATCATGAGGCTACACTGGTTAGGGAACTGTTTTTCTTTCAATACGTGCCAGCCAATCCCACCAAGCTCAAGCCAAAACTTCATTGCTAGCAACAAAAATTCAGCAATGGCTCTACAAGACATTTGCATCAATTTGCTCCAAGTGGCCGACGATATTCTGGCGTCTACAGATGATGCACATTCCAACAGCTACATGAAAAATGGGAGGAAGTATCGGATGACTAACGGCGGGTTCGTGAGGGTTCAGGAAGAGGACAAATCATTGGTGATTGAAGATGGCGAATCTGATGGGAGTACCGCTCTATTTTCGGCTTACACTGTGCTTTCAAAGACAGGATCCGTTTTGGTGGATTACCCCGATCTGTGTCTGTCCATCATGATGACTGCCAGAGAGATAGAGAGGCAAAAATGGTACGAATCCAACACAAAGGTGGTGGACATCTCAGAATCCACCTACGACCCGTTTGCACTAGAAGATGAGGCTAGAGAGTATCTGGAGTCACATACCGCTACGGCGGATCACCTCAAGGATGGGTGCTCGCTATTGGCCGCGGCAAAGATCAATTTTTTCCACACTGACCATCATGTGGGAAAGCCCAAGCTCCAGGGAATAGCCATGAGGAAGGTTGTGACCAAGATGTGTGGTCACACCAACAAATGTCTCAAGTCGGAGGATGTATACAATGCTGTTAGGGCCTTTGTTCATTGGTGTTCTATCCGAGGCGTCTTGCACTGTTTGGGGTTGAGGACCATTAGTATTGAGTCTGAATTAGAGGAGAGCTTTAAATCATTTCCAGAGCAACCAGAATGGATCTGTGAATCGTTAAAGGGAAGATACCCTGCTGGTACCTCGCAATACATGTTGGTAAAAAAGTCTCTGACGGTGATCTCCCACTCTACCTACGGGGCTTTGCTGAGCATACCACCGAACCTGGTGTCGGAGATCCACAAATTCTGGAAAATTTGCGAGGATATCGAGACCAGTCCAGAGCAGTATCACATCCGTTCAAAAGCTGCGAATTTGTCTCTGAGCCCTGTCACTCTGTCGTCATTACCTGACATCTCGAGGATCTTGACGCTTTGTGGGTGCGTTTTCCATGGTTCAAAAGGTAAGGTAGGCTCGAACCTGGTGCTGACATCAAAGTTTCCCAAAAGACAGACCATTGAGCAAAGCTCATACCACGAAAGAGTCAGGCTTCTTAACAGTATCATAGAAAAGAACACAGAGCTGTCAGAGGAGGAGCTTATTGAGAAAATAGGTGAGATGAAGAACAGCTTCAAGCAGGTGATTGGGGCTTTGCTTGAAGAAACAGATTGACAACGGACAGTCTACAAAAGTCTGAATTTTACAGTCATTTATTCAGTCAAAAATTGAAACAACAGTCGTTTTTTCACCTGTAGTTACCTGTAGTTACCTTCTTTCCAAGTTTTAGGCTGAGAGACAGCGAATACGGACCACACCAAGATAGACGAGAATACACAGATTCAGCACAAAGAAAGGGTTGCCATAGCTCTCTAGATATAAAAATTTGGACTTCATTGTCTTTTAACCTCCGTCCCACTTGGTTTTCCTGATGTATATTTATAGTGATATAGACAGTGCTGACCACAAACCTTAATACCGACCAACAATTCGATATCCAGCGAGGCTCGATTTTTTTTGAAGTCTTCAAATACCTCAGGTCATTCATCTAGTTCAACTAATCACAGTTAGCCATGCAAAAATACCGTAAACCAGCGCAATTGGATACACAGTCAGCAACAATCTGTCGTCGCCCTTGCCCTTATTTGAACCGCTATTGTTCACTATTCTCAGAATCAGATAGATGGAGTAAACAGCCCAGACAACGGCTATAAACTCCACTATGATTCTGATCCACTTCCATGTTAAGAATATAGAAATGAGCCCCCCAATTACTATAGGAAACAGACCATAGCCCAGGATGGAGATGCACTGGAAGAGCGAAAGCGCAATGGTGCCCGTGTGCGAAGTGTCGGAATTGGCATCACTAACAGGTGCAAACAATTGGATATTGACAGAAAGTGCAGTCAGAGTTGCCCATAACAGCGTGAAGGCTGCGCTGAAGATTTCCGACGATTTCAGACTGGTCTCAACGGAACGGGTTTGAAGATAGGTGATGATGAGACTGAAGCCCAGGACGATCACCAACGGTCCCCACAGGTCCCAGTCCAAAATCTTCTTGATAGCCTCCTTGGAGTATTCCTCTGTATCGTCCCCAGCCTCCAGTTGACTGGAGTCCAGCGAACCCGTTCCATCGCTTGCAAACCGAGCACCGATCCTTTGCACCAGGACGAGCCTTTGCCTCAGCTTCAGAGGCCACAATATTTGCAGCAACTTTTCACCAATCTTGCTCAAATCACGGTGAAGAGTCACTAGAACCGACTCATCCAATGTATTTCCGCCAGAGAATTGTCTTTCGCTGACCTCAATTCCTGGTGGATTGGGAACATTGTTGAAGGGGTTGGCGAAACTGGCAAAGTTCATGAAACCACCTGCTGAAGGCACTGAGTTGGAATTGGAGCTCGGAATATCATTGGTGGGCCTCGAGGACTGAGCTGCTTCGGGGCGAACAAAAATGTCTTCGTTTTCATCGGCCTCGATATGATCGTCATCATCCAAGATGAAATCGTCTATGGTGTTCGAACCGAGGTTATCCCTTGCCATACTGTATGAATGTGTTGTGTAATTGGACGGAAGCGATCTGAATAAAAAAAAGTCGATAGCCCAAAAAAAGAAAACTGATTCTCAAAAGATTGAGTTGAATCAGTAGGAAGGCAACGAGTTCTCCTCAAGGTATAAACTAAGAGATTGTTCACATCCGTTTATAATCATCATATTCAACTGTCGTGTTCCCGATGGGACACGATCGAAATTTTTTTGAATTTTTAGTACTCGTTTGACGTAACCTGACACATTGGTGGACACACGAAATGGGTAACGACGAACTCATACGGTTTGCTGGAGAAATCACCGTGGCCATGATGCAAATATATGATAATGATGGCCTCTTTACCAATAGACTTTGAGACGCAATTATTATACAGATAATTTGGTGCGACTTTGTGCGAAGACTAGCCCTGAGAATGCTGTTCCAGCGGTGTTGGGTTTGATCTCCTCTCTTCTAAGCAACGCCAAGATGGCTTGCACATTCTCAAACTGACCATTTAAGCGAAAATTTCAGGACTTAAACAACTAGTAGAGTCTCACTAACTCTGACTTTGACTGGTTATACCGCCTTTATATATTAAATAATTCGGAAAGTGGAGCTAGACAGCAAGTGTCCCCAGCGTTATAGACAGTCTGTAGCCTCGCACCTACCATTTACACAGAGCCAATTATCCTTCTTGAACTTATTATGTAAAAGACTATGTGAGTTTATATGTCAATGATGCAGCAATTTTCTTGAGTTTTGTTAAGGGGAATTCTGCTCTCAGAGCAGAAACCAAGCTGACGCACACCACGATGAGACACGACACCGCGTAGACCACCGACACCACTCTGAATGCTTCAAATCCCAATAAGGTGTAAACCTCATGAAACGGAAGTGAAAGGGCTCCCAACGGAAATGTCAAGTTAAACCAGACTTTTCCCAAAGGCACTCTTCCCCTGATTACCCATCCTCCAAAAGTCAGGAATGTGAACCAGATGCCGAACCCCAGAAAGAATAATGAGACTGGGAGAGAGATGAAGCGGAACATCTCACCAATAGCCGGTGATATTTGAGGTTGGTAATCTGATAAGTATTCTTTAATATTCTTCCCTTGCAAAAGTATCCCCCAAGATGCATGTCCAAATAATCCAGCAGGTGCAAAAAGCGTAAAGACAAATGCGTTGGGTGGAAGGCCGTGCGTGATGTACTTCCAGTAGAGTACAGCAACTATGCACAAACCTGATAAAACCCCGTTGGAATAGAGCAAAAATGATACAATCATCGTGATCAGTTTTGAATTGGCATTTCCTAAACTTGGAACCATCAAAGCTCCTGTAGAGGCCACAACAACTAATGGTAACACTATGAGGACAAGCATTCCATGGATATCTGCTCCTTCCATCTTTGCGACTGTAAAAACACGTAACAGAATAAACCATCCACAGAAAAGAGCCATAAAAATGTTCACCCACCACAAAACCCAAATCGCAGTATGATCTTGGTTTTCAAAAAGATAATGAAGCATGTTCAGCATGGTAGAGAAAGCCACCGAATAGGGTCCCCAAAAACTGCTTACTTGTGGTTCATCCAAGGACTTCCAATGAGGGTAAAAGTATAGTTTGAGCAATATCACGACAGTTATTGTGAAAAACATTATCACCGCAATGGCGAACATTATTGTACCGCATACTCTTAACCAGTTAGCCGGGTATGGAAACCTGTATAGTAGGGTTCCTGCCAATGCAGCGGCCACTATCCCAACGTTCCAAACCGGATGGAAATCTCGCACCAGAATTTCCAATAAATATGGCACACTTGGCTCTTCTGGGGAATCTGTGCCCTTCTGGGATTCTATATCGCTCATGTGGTTCACAGTAGGCTTGATTGTGGGGTATGGATGGTAACTGAGACTATACACACGAGACCAACCCTTCTTCTAATAGTTAAGACAAACTATACGTATGACTGATCCAGGGCTGTCAAGAGGCTGCTGTTTTTATTTAAATCAGAAAAAAAACTCCGTTATGGACGGTATGTGTCATGCTTCTGCCTGCCGGACCATGCAGGATATTTCAAACCCCGGTCTGCGGCTGATAATAGAATCTTACACGACCGACGGTTTTAAGTAGGGCACTAATCCATTAACTACACTTTGCCTTTCAGTCTAAGAGTTCAGCTAAACCTCTATATAAACTATTGTGGGGGGCCTTCACTCTTCAAAGATGATCTTCCAGCCTTCAGCAGCTCATCGCATAACAACAAGTTGGCCGCAATACCGGTAGCAGCGGCAATGGCGTTCCGGATCACCCTGAACGAGTCCCAGACACCTTCAACGGTAGGATCCATTGGTTCACCAGACGAAAGGTCGACTCCAACCACGCGGTCCTCGGACATCTCGTCCTGACACGCAAAAACGGTGTCTAAAGCGTCAAATCCAGCGTTTGAGGCTAGGGTCTTTGGAACGATCAGCAGAGACTCTGCAAAAGCAGTGATACCAGACTTGTTTCTTCCTTTCGCAGACTTGCTGTGCAACAAATGTTCGTTGGCACTGAGGAAGAATGCACCAGCACCGGGTATTACGGAGTTATCCCTTATGACGTTGGCAACAGCCCTCAGACCGTCTCTAACAGCATCCTTGGTTTGGTTGACGACGAAACTGGTGGCACCCTTGAGGAGAATGGTACTAGACTTGGGGTTCTCATTATCCGTAACGAAGGTGAATTTCTCTTCGCCAATGGTGTGTTCGTAGATGAGTCCCGAATGTCCAAGGACACTTGGGGTCAAATCATCAACAGAGTTCTGGGCTTCACCACCACAGACCAACTGCAATCTCTCCATGTTGCGTCTCTTTGCTCTTCTCAATGCCAAAATGTTGTTCTTGGCCAGAATATCCAACGACATAGGATCAATACCTTTCTGGTTTATTATAACAAATCCCTTGGAAGGATCCATTCCGCACACTTCGTTCTTCAGGTCCACAATCTTCTTCAATTTCGCGTCCACAAACTTCCTCTCAGAAGCAACTAGCTTTTCACGCTGGTCGGCACTGGAGTAGTAGAATCCCGAATTAACCTCTGTCTTTTCGTACTCCAAAGAAACGTTCAAAATCAAAACGTTGGCGTTTTCCACACGCTTAGGCATATCGGGGTGCCTGGCACCATGATCCAGGACCAAACCTCTCACGAACTCGGTATCGTTGGCACTTTGGTGCAACATAGACATGATCTCAACCATATGCAAATCAAGCTGTTCACCATCCTGAACGGATAACACCGCATCAGTAACGATCGGGGTCAACACTTCAGTCAACTCAGCACTAACCTTGGTGGATAAAGATGATCTTGCAACCTGTAACAGTAGTTCTCTGTCAATAGTAGGTTTCTGAACAAACGAGTTTAAGAACTTCAAACTCTCTTCACGTGCAACTTCGAATCCATCAGTGATCACTCTTGGATGAACACCTTCAGAGATGAACCTTTCAGCCTGTTTAAGCAGTTCACCAACCAGCAAACACACGGTGGTGGTACCATCTCCCGTGATTTCGTCTTGGGCAGTCGCAGCACGTGCAATCATGATCGCTGTAGGACTCTGGATCTGCATTTCCGTCAGTAACACTTTGCCATCTTTGGTTATCTTTATGTTCCCACTACCATCAACCAGCATTTTCAAGGTTCCCTTTGGACCAAGGTTGGATGCTAGTACTGATTGCAACCCTTGAGCAGCCGAAATGTTGACCTGCAAGGCCTGGGCACGTCTAAGAGACTCAGCCTTTGGATTCAGCAGCTGAATTGCAGAAGACATTGTTGGTGTGAGGTGGTAGCGTGATGCAACTTGGTTTTTTTGTCTTCTTGCATCGGACGTGTTGAGCTCGCGTCGAGGGCAAAAAGACATGATTAGGTAGTGCACAAACAGAAACACGGGTAACTCACAGAAGGGCTCCCAACCAAAAAGTTCAAGATTCACTTAGCGTAGCGATTTTGACAAATATTTACAAGGTGCTTTGTGAAATTAAAACCCGAACGCTCATGAGAAACATAAATAAGATAAAATGGGAAAGGAAAAACAGTAGAAAGCACAAATTTGAGTCTCTCTCAATGACTCAAACCGCATTAACGAGTTAGCCACGATGACAAGAAAGAAGTAAGTGAACAGCTCTGTTTTCACGACAACTTTAGGTCAGTCTCGATCGCGGTTTTTAAATTCAGTACTCCACTATCACACGGATCAATTGATGGAGCAGTCCCTGAAAATATCGGAACGCCGCTGGCTTTACCGAAGTTCACAGGCTGCGCATCTGAGGTGCAGGTCATCGTTTCCAGTCGGCGAATAAAAGACTCTCTTGAATTCTCTTCATTGGAGTCGAAAGCATATGTACTAAACTCAATATGCAGCTTGGTACCAGCACCACTTTTGGGTGAAATATCAATTTCCGCTTGTGAAAGGGTGTCAAATCCAAACTGGGGAGTACCCCTTGAGGCCGCATACCGCTTCCTGTTCAGATCCACCGCACTTGGAAAATCAAAAACAATATTGCACTTTTGTTCCATTATACGAGCATTGAGAAGTGGGAGAGTAAACTCCCACTCTCCCGTTCGGGTGTCTATTGTCTTGACAGTGTCATCCTCGCAATAGACCAACAAACGCGACTCTCCCGTCTTTACTCTGTACTCATACTGATTTGTTTGATGTGTTTCGACCTTCACTGTAGGGTCAGTTATGGCAACATCGGGCATCATCCCGTATCGATCTACTCTAGGCGCCGAATTGACGGTGCCCGCAGCAGCACGAGGATTCACTCCGTATTCACCTTCGAATTTCGGTGCTAAACCGATGGTGCGAGCACCAGTACCAGGAATCATCCAGCTCTTCCTGTTTGGAGAAGACTCGTTCAGCAGATGCACAAACCAATGGATGGAACCGGTTCTGCTCAACACTCCGATAGACTTATTACCGCTGGCCCAAACCACCTGATCGATGATGCCAGCCGTTTTACCGCGCTTGAACCTGTCCACCAGAATCACATTGGATTTGAAGGATGAAAAATCCCACATCAATATTTCGTCTCCTCTCATAGTTGTGGTTGTTAGAGCCATATCATATGGAGACAAAGACACATGGGAGCATCCACCAGGAACAGGGAAAGCCATTATTGGTTTCATGGATTCCAAGTTCAGCAGCACCAGATATGATTTCTGATTACCCTTGGATATATCCTGTTTGCTGTTTCTGAAATCAGCTTTCCTTTGAGACGTCTGAGAGACCTCTACAAGTTTCACTGCTGAATCAATCGCCGTGGCTGAAAGAGATTTCATGAACTTGTTCAATAGAGTCCTCTTCCCATCCACCTTTACCGGAGACAGAGGTATCTTCCCATCTGCAATATCTAGCATGAGGTCATCGTCCTCCTCCGGACAGAATGCCAGCCATTCGCCCATATGTGAATACACTAGTTTGTCGTGTACAGACTTGCAACTGAAGCTCGAGACCTTCTTTAGTTGCTTAAACACACTGAGAACCGCGCCAAATGTTTCCACACGATAATCAGCCACTTCCGGATGGCTGTACAAGATGCCGCCGCTTACAGCAGCAAACTCAGTCAGCGTTTTTGGTTCTGCATCCAGAGAGTACCAGTAAGAATAGCGACGCAACCCACGTAAAGAATCGGCAAAGTGGAAATGCTTTATATCAAGTTTCTGAGACTTGTAAATATTATAGAGCTGGCCATCCCGGAGATCCGCATCTCCGTACTCAGCAGGCACCCAGTCCCAAATATAGAGGTGTTTATCAAGTAAAACAAACACTTCGCCGTTCAACCCAAACTGAACTTTAGCTTTTGAATCCAAATCTCTTTCCGATCTTTCCGGGACTTTCGTCTTCAGCCATGCTTTGGCAGGCGTTGAACCCAGAAATGAGGTCAGCCTTGAAGGCGCAATATGACTGATGAGGTTAGTATAACGCAACAAGCTAATCACGCATGCTGTACTTACATTCCATCAATGACTTCATGAACACTTCTAGAGAAGAAACCAGTTAGTATACCAAAAAAAATTGTCTTAAATATTCAATCCACGCAAAATGGCCAAGACTCACTCTTGTTTAAACATTACCCGTGCAACAACAGATAGAAGAACTGATGTGAGACCGAGGAAAACAGAGCTATCAGCTAGTTCAGAAAACTCTGAGCCACAATACAAGCACTACCAGCAAATCAATCAGCAATTTAGGAGGTTTAAACTCAGAAAACACGTAAATTAGCGTTATCAACAAGAGGGTGTTGTGGTCTAGGCCTGCCCCTGTCATCATGTGAGATAACCGCACAGCTTATCGGTGTGCCCGTTGAGAAATGACAGAGAGCAGTAACAACTGCAGTTTGAGTCGTCGTGAGGCAGGTGCGTGTTCTTTGGCTACTTCATTCCGGGATATAACCAGGGTTATCCAATCGTTGTATATACACTCAAAATGCCTAGAATACACAGAGCAAAGTTGTATAGACCGCGGTTGCTAATTTTGTGCTTTGTGCTTGCGGTGCTGGGCTATTTTGGCCATTTATCACCACAATCCACACTCAAACCCGGCGAGAAGGCGAGCGCAACGTTCTTGATGGTGACCAGAAACAAGGAGCTCAGTTCGGTTCTCAAGACGATAAGATCTGTTGAGGACCGTTTCAACTCCAAATACGGCTACGATTGGGTTTTTGCGTCGCATGAACCGTTTCATGAGCACTTCAAGATCGCGGTCGAAAACCTCAGTTCGGGGAAAGTCCAATATGAGTTGATCGAAGCCGACAAATGGGGCTATCCTGAGCATACAGACCAGGAAAGAGCGAAAATGATACGTGAAAAGAACAAACGTCGCCAAATGCCCCACGGCGAATCCGAGAGATTCAGGCTGAAGAACCGGTACATGAGTTACGAATTTGCCAAGCTACCGGCTCTTTCCGGTTACAAATACTACTGCCATGTTGAGCCGTTTACAGAGCTAAAGTGCGACATAGATGATGACTTTTTTGCAGCCATGGAAAGACAGAACAAGATGTTCGGGTTTGTGGATGCCGCAATAGAGCCGAAGTTTACTACCGAGTCTTTGTGGCAGGCTACAACAAGGTTCACAGAGGAATATAGCGCTCTAATCCACGCGAATAACTCAATGCAGTTCGTGGCCGACAGGTCTGCACAACGGTACAGCCAATGTACATTTTCCACGAATTTCGAGATAGGGAGGGTGAGTTTCTTCAGATCCAAAGAGTATGCTCAGTTGTTCGAATTACTGGATCAAAACAACGGTTTCTTCTATGAGAGATGGACCGCTTCAAACATACACACCATTGCTGTTTCTCTTCTGTTACCACGGGATGTTGTCATGCATGTCGACCCCACAGGCTATACCGACATTGAAGGCCACATATCTTGTCCACGGGTTAAGTCGGTTCATTCCCAACACAAATGCTACTGTGACCCAGATGTGCAGAACGCGTGGAGCAGATTCTCGTGTTTGCCCAAATGGTACGCTTTCACGGGACTAAAGGATAATTACAACATGGATCAGGTGAAGGGGCTGGTGCCGCGGTTCAAGGCTCCAAAGAGAAAAAATCGTTATGACAAGAAATATCAAGATACGCTGAATGAGTTGTTTTTTGATGATGACTCCACTGAGTATGACTATGTTGATATTGACGAACAAGAATAGAAAGGGCACGCCTTCGTGGGTTGGACCTCGTGCAGAGTCAACGAAAAGGGCAAAAACACATATATACGGCATTGACAGACATTGGTGATGAGCAGTGGGAGGATTATGCATATATATATATATATATATATATATATATAC